TAGCTATCGTTAACGCCGTTTTTTCCCGATTATACAATATGAACTTGGTATGAACACAATCGAACGTCAGGAAGTGGTATCTTAATAGTAGAACAATACTTATTATATTGTCGCCGAATTACAATGAAAATTCAGGATTCAATTATACAATCAAACGTCAGGAAGTGGTTGTAATTTAGCTCATAAGATTTAATTCCAACTAACATGGCAAACTGAAAAAAACAGCTCTGATCTATTTTAATATGTTTAAATGATGTAGCAAATTTGAAGGTAGGCTTTATCAGGAAGTATTCGATATGAATTACACAATGGCAACACTGCACAAAATTCTTTTAAATTTTGTTTGTAGAAAACTGTTTTCTTTTAAATTTATTGCCCTCTATTATGTAGTAGCGAAACTAGCACATCAAAATATCTGATTTGGAGACAGACTTTTAAAGCCTGTCTCCTTTTGCTACCTACAATTTTATACATGTAACGAGGCTTCTGTTGCGTAGCTAGATATTCTGTGGTACTAGGTTCTTTTAGTGCTCTAGTAGATGTTTTGACTTTTTGCTATCTACCACTAGCCATAGTCTTCGAGCTGTAGCGCAGTCCTCACGGTGTTGCCACGTTTCTTGTTGCTTGACCTTGATGGTAGTTCCTATAGTTTCCTTTAGTGTGTTGATCGTCACAAGTGGTGGGTCATTTGCCACGGCCGCTCCCCTGGCCCCGTCTTTGGCGAGTCTGTCAGCTTCCTGGTTGCCCACCATATTGCTGTGGCCTGGCACCCAGCACAGAATTGCCCTGCCTTGATGCAGCCAGGCCAGTGCTTCTCGGCAGTCCATCACAGTTTTCGATATCACTGATTGCATTGTGATGCTTCTTAAAGCGCCCAAGCTGTAAGTATAACGCAACATTTCCTATTGGTCTATCAGCGCTTTTCCCTTGTCTAAAACTGGCCGCTTCCTTTACAGCGTAAACCTCTGCTTGTAGAACATTGCATGCCATCCACTACATGCCATTACACGACGCCATTCGATAGCGTTAAAGATCGTTGCATGTCAATTTGTCTGAAAAGATGCCTATACCTGTATCTGTGAAGTACCGGGAATTCCCGGTTCTTTTGAGACATCAATAAGAACCGGGACTCGAAATAAAAATTCCCGGTTCTTTCGATACCAATTTTTTTTTACTCGTTAATAAAATGTAATTAAAAAATTATTTTTTGTTACATGCGAAAGTTTATTGATACGTCTAGCGGTCGAAATCAAACTCTTCTAAATAAATAGTGATGTTATCTCTTATTGTTCTTACTTCTGAAGTTCTTTTGAAGTTCCTATAATGTTTATTAACAATTAATGAAGTTTAGATATGTTATTTTATTAAGTATAATGTTGCTCAATATATTAGTTATATTTTATGTTATGTTTTTATAGATATTTGCATTTTTAATTGAAAATGTATTTTTTCTTCAAATTTAGTTACATGTTGGTTTCTGTTGTTTGGTGTAAATTATAAGTTTCCTATATTTTTTTTTTTCGTTTCTCCTTCATTTGTGTTCATTTGTGTTTTTTAGTTAATTAGGCTTCAGAACCAGAAAATCCCGGTCAATTAGGTCAGAAAAACATATAAGCTTAATTCGAGTTCCAAAAAAGTACGGTTCTAGAACGGCTCAAAACAATCACACAGTCTAATTACAACAACCATTCATGTCAAAAGTTGCAAAAAATCATATTGTGCCAGTGTTGTGAACCATTCTAGAACCGTACTTTTTGGGAACTCTAATAAAGCTACTGTTATGACACGTTTAAAAAGTCATTTTGACGGTTCCATTAACATCGATACTCATAGAGAAAGGTAATAAAAAGAGAGTGGCAGATTAAATTAGGACGAATGGCATCGCATTTTGTTTTCCTGTCGCGCAACTCAGATCTCCTAAATTTGTCCAAATTAAGTTACGACTGACGATTTTGCTTCCATCTTCCTCTAACGCAACTGCACAAGCCGTGATCGGTGTGGACGTTGTGTGTTGTCTCTATCATAAATCATAACTTTATTGGAAATTGGCGCGTAGACAGAAAAATTGTTTGAGTTTCTAGGATTTTATTTGGTATTTGTTATAATCAGTTATAATTATTGTATATTGGTGTAATGAAAATTTTATTATTACTACGCATAGAATTAACCGAAATAGGCAGAGGATTAACCGAAAAGAAAGGTAAATTAAATGTGAGGTTAAGTTATTAATATTGAATGTTTTATTTTTAATACTTTTAATTTTATTTTTGATACAAAATGATTTCTATTTATGATTAAATTTAACATTTTTTTACAAAACTGTGATTAAATAAACTGCGATTAAAAGACAATATGGCATTATTATTAGTTTTCCCTTTAATTTTCGTTTGATATCTATCAAATGCTCATTTGAAACTTATGTTGAAGCATTTTAACTAATTTATCTTCGAAAGTTGAATTTGCCAATTAACCATTTAAAAATTTTAGTTGTCTGTTTATATTATAATAACAAATTCAACTTTTGTCGATGTATTAGTTAAAAGCTTCAATAAAAGTTTCAAATAAATTCAAAGTAAAGCAAGCTGATTTAAATTCCCCGGCGCATTCGCCAATTTTTTTAAATTAGTTTGTCCTGTTGTCACAGCAGCGCTAGTGAATGCGATTCCAATTTTTACTACGCAATCTGCTTCTCTCTTTTTATTACCTTTCTCTATGTCGATACTTCAAAAATTTATAAAATACAAACTAGACATAAAAAGTAATTGAATTTTTTGTTATTTGCGCTATTTGTTACTTATAAGCTCAAAAATATAATTATATGCACAAGAAAAATAAGAAATTCTAACGAGATCCATATTATGTTTCCATGATGCGAGTTCTTTAATTTCTTGACATTTTTTCGTATGACGCTATGTACCGTTTTTGCGTAAAAACCATTTTTATGCATTGAAAAATTGCAAGCTTGGCCATTAATATCGGGTAAAAATAACCTATTTTTCAAATAAGCCAGCAACCTAACCTCGAAACACAAGTAATTATTCTTAAGTATGTACAGCGTGTCCGGAAATTAATGCAACAAAATTTGGTCATAGATTCTTGAAAAAAAATAGGTGACACATATTTTTTATTTTTGGCGAGTAGCCCCCCTTTTCGGATTTACAGCCCCCTGAATTTCGCCCCTAAAAAGTGTGTTTTTTTTAATATCTCAGGGCCCTGTTGGACGAAAATCACCAAATTTGGTACACGTTGTTTTACCATAAAATTACATTTTTTGATGCTATTAACTTTTTTTTATTTTAATCAGTGGCGTTCCTATGGTAAGTGCGAACCAAAATGCCCAGAAACCTAAATTGCCGTTTTTTAAATTTTGCTATGAATATTTACATTAAAATTTTAGCGATTTGGCGAGGGGTGTCTCACTATTGGAATTACATACTGTATGTACATAATGTACATTTTCTTGGCAGTCGCTGGCAGTCATTGACAGTCTTATGGCAGTCGCCTATAATAATTACATGGCAGTCATAGGCAGTCTTCTTCGTAGTCATTGGCAGTCGCTTGACAATTAAAAAATATTTTTTGCAGTACGTGTACATTTTTTACCCGAGTGAGACACCCCTCGCGATTTGGTCATGTATGAAAATGGATTTTATTTTTTTATGCGAAAACGGTGCGTCGTACGAAAAATAAGGAATAAAGTTGTTCCAAATTTAATGTAGATTTTAAAAATAATTTTTATTTAAAAAAAACAGTGGCATACCATTTTTTTCTTCAATAATATTTAGTTTAAATACCGTAGGGACGCCACTGATGAAAATAAAAAAAAGTTAATAGCATCAAAAAATGTAATTTTATGGTAAAACAACGTGTACCAAATTTAGTGATTTTCGTCCAACAGGGCCCTGAGATATTAAAAAAAAACTCTTTTTAGGGGCGAAATTCAGGGGGCTGTAAATCCGAAAAGGGGGGGCACTCGCCAAAAATAAAAAATACGTGTCACCTATTTTTTTTTTCAAGAATCTATGACCAAATTTTGTTGCATTAATTTCCGGACACCCTGTATATTACGAGGTATATTTTATTGTTAAATAGGTACTTACCTTGACACTAAATATAAAAAAATTAAAATACTTCATATAAAATAGGTCAACACCAAAAATTTTTGATCGTGTAAAAAGCACGAAGGCGGCTCATTTTCAATGCAAATGGGCTAGAAATGATGCAATCAGCTTCCCGGCCGTCGCCACGTTCGTCTAATCCAGCGTTACCAGATGTCCAACAAAATACCTGTTTAATACCAGTTTAATGCCAAATAAAACCAGTTTATTACCAAATAATACCAGTTTATTACCAAATAATACCAAATTAGTACCAAAAATACCAAGTTAGTACCAAAAGTACCAAAAAATACCAGTATTACCAAGTGCTTGTACAATAAATACCACCAGGGATTTGCCCCTCGTTATTTAATAATTATTTTCATTAAAAAACATATTTCTATCAATTTTATTTTTGAAAACCATCCCTTGCTTGCTGATTGACGAAATGTGCCATCATTTAACAAAAAATTAACCAGTACCGAAAGTACCGAAAAAAACGGGAAATCCCGGTTCCTTAGAGGTTTGGTACCGAAATCACGGTTCCGACAAACGGCTCCGGTTCCGGAAACCCTAATCTGTATAGACTTCTATCTCTTGAGCGTTCATTACTATATAGGTTCTTTTACGGATCACCCTGTATAAAAAAGAAAAAAGTGATTAAATACTTAATTATATTTGATTGTACTTGTTATTTTCTTATACTTTGTCTACGATTTGGTGTATTGACGTCCTTCATTACTGACTACTTAAAAATAGATAGTAGGTATCTGGAGATTTTTTAAAATAATTATCATTATTCAATTAGCAAATTTAAGTCGCTTACATGATGATTTTAGTGTTTTTTATCGATATCAGTATTTGGGAAAGAATACAATCTCTCTACATCATCTAAAAAATCACTTGACATATCAATTGTTTAATTTTCGAGAATATAAAAGCTCAGAATCAAGTAGTACTTGTTTAGTCAATAATTTGCACACCAAATCAATAAAAAATGAAAAGTCTAACTGTAACGTGTCTCTTGGTGACTGTTTCTGCAGTATTTGCAAAACTCCATCCACTCTCGGATGAATTTATTGATGAAATCAACGCGAAAGAATCAACGTGGAAGGCTGGTAGGAATTTCGAAATTGGAGATTACGACTTGGTGAAAACAATAGCCTCTGGATCCTTGGGCATTGGAGACAGAGAACCACTGACATTCACGATTCACGACGAATCTGAGGACGTACCTGAATCTTTTGATTCTAGAGAGGCATGGCCTGAATGTGCTGACGTCATTGGTTTGATCAGAGACCAGTCCAGATGTGGGGGTTGTTGGGTAATTGTTTTCAATCGCTTAATCATCATCATAATCATTATTTTCAGATTATTCAACAATTTCCAATTATGGTGTAGCCTCCCTCACATATTTATACTCTTGCCCACGGCCACACAGAAAGCGTTTCTAGCGTTTTGCGTTTTTTACGTCTCAATAATTGTTCTCAAGCGCTTTTTGCGATTTTACCGTTTTAAGCGTTCTTTTCGATTTGTGTCCATTACAAACACGCAAAAGACGCGGCAGGTCTGCAGTTTCTATCAAGATGTCAATTAGTAACGTCGCAAGCTCGTGGATTCCGGGCCCGTTCAACAATCAATCCTGTGAGAAAAAGATAGGCGAGATCCGCGCGGTTAGTGTTGAAGAGACGAAGATAAAAGATGCTGGGATTGAATTGTGGCCGGGGCATATATTCGGCGACAAACACAATCTACTGCTATATAGTGCCAGTGGTGTGTGTAAAAATTATAATTATTATTTGCCATTTATTTTACGAATTTTAGTTTATATATTATTTTTACAGTTTTTTTATGTTGTAGTGTTGTGGTTACTTGTTATAATTACAATATAATATAATAAATAATTATAATTATATAATAGAATAGTAAATATTACTAGTTGCTAACGCAATTTTAAGACATGATTTATGAAACTTTTTGGAGTAAAACTTCTTTACGCGCGCTGGGAGTAAAAATTCATTTAAAAAAACATTTATTACACGTAAAAAACTATTTTTATTATTTTACGCTAATAAAACTGTTACACATAAAAAAAACTATTTATTACGCGTATAAAACTATTTGTTACTGGTAGAAAAGTATTTTTTGCGCGTCAAAAACTTATTGTTTCTGGTAAAAACCTTTTCTTACGCAAAAAAAAAATATTTTTTACGCGTAAAAAATTATTTGTTGCACGTAAAAAAACTTATTCATTCTGGTAAAAAAACTTTTTTACCACAAAAAAAATATTTTTTACGTGTAAAAAACTATTTGTTACACGTAAAAAAATATTTTTTACGCGTCAAAAACTATTTGTTTTTGTTAAAAAAAACTTTTTTACGCAGAAAAAACCACTTTTTACGCATAAAAAACTATTTTTTACGCGTAAGAAAATATTCCTTTAATCTATTACTTTTTCAACATTTCAAATTACACTTTTTCAAACATTTCCTTCAAATTTTTGAATTTAATAGAATCTTCCTAAACAGTAGATGTTCTTTATAAAAATATTTTTAGATAATACCCTAAAATGAAAAAAAATCTATTTAATTTATTTTTATTGTATTATTAAATATACCGTCCGCCTATGACGGGGTCTCATATTAGAAATCGCTAAAGACGCTACAGAAAACAAACTGATTTGTTTTCATTTGCGATTTTTGCGAGACACGCCGAACGCTACACGCTTTTGGTGGGGCCACTTCTATATAATCCTGTTATTTTGTTTTAGCCGCTAAAGACGCTTAACGCAAAAAACGCTTTCTGTGTGGCTGTGGGGTTCTCTTTGTAGTTGGGCCCATTGTTGTTTATTGTTGGCTATGCGGACCCAAGTTGTCCCTGCTAATTTACTAATATCATGGTCCCATCTCAAGTTTGATCTTTTTCTAGGTCTCTTAATTCCTTGTAGGTACCGTGCTGTGACGTTTGTGGTCCATCTATTATCCGTTCTTCTTGCCAGGTATTCTGCTCATTGCCACTTGAGGGATTTGATTCTGTGGATGATATCTATTACCGGTCTTTTGTCGTATCCACTCTATTCTTTTAAGGTCTATCTTGGTTATTCCCAGCATATTTCGTTCCATTGAGCGTTGTGCGACCTGCAGTTTCCTTATAATGTCCGTTTTAAGTGTCCAGGTTTCGCATGCTTAGGTCATGACGGTAGTACACATTGGCCGAATGTTTTCTTCTTTAGATAAAGTGGCGTTCTAGATTTGAATATGATTGAGTTTCTTCTATAAGTACTCCATGCTAACTTAATTCTCAGAAATCCGACAAAATAAAATCACTTTCAAATTAGCAACAAACTATTAATGCACTATATTTTTTCACTTATGTTTAGGCATTGTCTGCTGCAGAAGTCATGTCAGACAGGATTTGCATTCACTCCAACGCTACAAAAAAACTTATGGTTTCTTCTCAAGACGTTTTGACATGTACGTCAGATTTTGGATGCAGTGGTGGTAACGTCGACGCACCCTATAAGCAATGGAACTCTACAGGATATGTTACTGGAGGACTCTACAACAATTCTCTTCAAGTAAGCATTAGTATAAGTTATTATTACAACTTTTCTTAAGCTTCCACAAATAAAATCACCTTCACTTCTGAATGTTCTTCTGAGAGATAATAACGTTCTTCTGACTCAATGACTAAAGAATATAAGGATATGTATACGGGCTGCAGCAGAATTTGTGACCTTAGACGCCATTCTTTTCATGGCAAACAATGAGTCATCAGCTAGTCACCAGCGACAATTTTAGCGAAATTTAATAGTTTGTGTGTAGTGAACTTTGTATAAACTTTATTACAATGGTGATTAGTTGTTCAGCTTTCAAGTGTAAAAGCAGCAGCGATAAGAAAGAGCCAGGAGATACGTTTCATAAATAAATAAACAGTCCGCTCCACCTTTTTAGTCTTTTCTTACTTTTCTTATTGAATTCGATAATTATTTTTTCTGATATTATATGTACTTGATGTGTGCATTGTACTTGATGTGTACTTGATGTGTGCATCGATACTAGTTTTGCACCTTTTCTTAACATTTTAATACGTTTTTTTTTCGTAATTAATTAGTATGATACCACCACGGCATATAAATCACACGGCAGGCTAACTCTGCCCAGATCCCATTGTTTAAAATTTCTATAAAATTTGACCTTGAAAACACCATTATGGGTGCCGAGTCAGGGCCCCACAATTTACTCTCGGGTGTTATTTGTCCTTGGATTCTTTAGTCATTGTTCTGACTATTTGAAGATGAATGGGAAATCATACAATAGGCAAATTTGCAGCCTCATTGGCAGTCTGAACCGACGCCGACGCCTAGAGACATAGCAGCCGGAGGAGGCAATACAGAGTATTAGAATATTTTTTGTTTGTTTGTACATTGTACACTTAGTTATTGCAGTTATGTTTTTTTTAATATCCTTAGTTCTGTTAGTGTTACTAATATTTATTAAAACCAAGCTTGTATCGTTAATTTTTAACGTTTTTTTTTAAATTTTACTATAGTTTTATTGCAGTGTCACTATGGCATTACGATAATAGTCACCAAAGCCACCTCGTGATATTAAAAAATATCATAAGTGACAGTGAAATGACAGTTGAAAAGATTGCAAATTGTTCGAGGCAAGTTCATTTCGCTCTTAAAAATTAACCAAGGCATACGTTGACCTTAATGTTGACATGTGTCAAAAAACAAAATGCTCAATGCAAGTGACAAACGAAATTATTGCACAGAGTGTTTTAGAATTAAGGTAAAAAACAACATTTCAATTAACTTCGTATAAAATCAGCCAAATACTAAAGTTTATAAAAAAACTGAGTTTATGCGAATTAAAGTTGATAGATTTATACAGGGTTGTTATTGTATTCCGGAAACTTGAGCAGCATAAAAATAAGTAAAAAAATTCGTATAAATGTATGTCCTAAAATGCTTAGTTTCGGAGATACAGGGTGTAGAAGTTTCATTTTTATTTCGATTTTTTTCCAAATAATTTCTGAAGTAACATCAATATTTGGATGAAAATTGGTATCTGGGAGTTTTTTGACATGAGAAATTTGATTTTGATGTCAACATGACTCCTGCTAGTAGAGGGCGCCACCTACATATTTTTTAACTGGTTTGAAGAATAATAACTTTTTGTCTGTGCCTGTATAAAACTAATGAGTAAAAATATATACGTTTATGACGTTTTTTACGTGAAAAAGGTCTCTTAGTAAAAATCGCTACGAGTAATGGTTTTCCAGATATTTCGAATCAAAATTATCAATATCTGTCATCATTGACATAAATTAAACATGTTGACTAAATAGTTATTAGATTGAAATCATAAATTTGAAATGTTTTTGTGCCAAAAGTTCAACAGAAACTGTTTTATCATCATTTTTTGCAGAAAAATATATGGTTAATTTAAAAATATAAAAATTTTCCAAATTTATTATTTTAGTGAAATAACTATCTACTCAACGTGTTTATTTTTCGTCAATGATATGTATTGACTATTTCGATTCTAAATATAGTTAAAATAGTTAAAACACATGTATGTGGCGCCCTCTACTAGTATGAGTCAAATTGATATCAAAATCAAATTTCTCATGTCAAAAAACTCCCAGGCACCAATTTTCATCCAAATATTGACTTTACTTCAGAAATGATTTGGAAAAAATCGAAATAAAAATGAAACTTCTACACCCTGTATCTCTGAAACTAAGCATTTTAGGACAAACATTTATACGAACTTTTTTATTCATTTTTATCTACAGAATATGTTGCCGAATTTTCCGGCACACAGTTCGGACCACCCTGTATACAGTTTGCTTTAAACCTGACAAAAAAAATTCCGTTGTTTTTTTGCATCTTAGTGCAGATTGTTCATACAAATAAATCACTTGCTTTTTCTTAGGGTTGCAAGTCCTATTTCTTGCCCGAATGCGATGAGCATCCCACCAAGTGTACCGACTATGTTGACGCTCCTTCTTGCGTACAGCAGTGTGACGATACATCCCTAAACTACAGCCAACAGTACACCTATGGGTTAAAACACACATGGTTTTCAAATGAAAAACAAATCCAACTAGAACTTGTTAAAAATGGACCCGTAGGAAGTGGCATAGTCGTTTATGAAGATTTCATCTCTTACAAATCAGGTACAGATAATATAGATTAACAAAGTTTGTGATTTTTAGCCGATTTATAGTTATATTTTATACGATTTTATAAGACGATAAAATGGTATTTTGAAATCGCGAGTGAATTAATTTCGGGAGACGATAATGCAATTTTATCGTCGTGTATAAAACAATATTTAAAAAAATATTCAGAAATTAATATTTCAAGGAATTTATTACGAGTAGAAAAATATTGTGCTGGGTTGGCGTTGGTTTCTATGTAATTTGACAAATAAATAAAGCTGTCTCTTTAGTTGTCAGTTTTGAGTCAATATTTTTTAATTCTCTTTCGTGTCGATTGCTGATTAAATTGCAGCCAGAAATGGCTCAAAACGAAATAAGTAAATTACCAACAGATATTCAGGCTGAGGCGACAAACGCCATATCCAAACTACTTTTAAATCCATTTAAATCCCGAATAACTTATGAAAAGGAATACAAAAATTTTCAAAAATGGAAGCAATTAAAAAACGTGGGAGAAGAAATAAAGTTTTTAACCTATCCTCGCTGTTAAAATATCATTTAATCTACCCTTGCGGTTAACGTACTATTTTATCTAGTATTTTTGATAGATATAAGGCAATTTTAACAGTTGCTATGGAAAAAAAGTTATTTAACTTTTCCTTAAGCCTTCTATCATCTATCACTATAACAAGCTACAACCTGTCTGGATCTTTCATACAGGGTGTTTCAAAAAACTTGTGCCATCTCGGAAGTTAAAGTCTTCATTTTTTTAAATTTAGTATAATATTCTTCCATGTGCTTTTAGCGATTCGAATGAAATTTGGAGGATAAAAGTTACTATGCTACTACAAAGTTACTACCTGGTTACTACTATATATTTTAGTGCTAAAAAGTATCGCGGGCTTTTCTAGTGTTAGTTACATTTGGTTAGCAACTTGCAGGCTTTTTGCTGATCCCAATACCGTCTCTAATAAAATTAATATTATTAATTATTAATTTTTCTGACGTCACGCTAGTTACTAGATACTACGGATTAATTATGTTGTAGAATACATGGAAAACATTCCTCGTATATGTAATGTTTTTTGGATTATATTCGACACATTTACATTCGACAGTTTTTTCATATGGGAACGCTGATGAAACTATAAACGTTAGCTAGTTGTTTTTTTTAAACCAAAAAAATAATGAAAAACATTCGAATAAAAATTATCGAATAGATCCGTCATTTGCCTTGAAATATTGTATTCTAGTAATTCGGCAGCAAAAACCATTCATTTATAAAATTCATTCATTTATGAAATTCATTTATTCGTCAGGATCGATTATAATAAAATATTAACTGAATTTTAGTTGTCGCCCTTAATCAGCGTTTTCCCGAACCTAAATAATAATAAAAATAAAAATTTTAGAATAATTTTACACAACAAAATGAAAAGCGATCTTCATTTCATAGCCATTTAAGACGCCTTTTTCTATGATATTGTATTATTTGATGTCATAATTTTTTATATTGATCCTATTTAAAAAAATATACATATAAATTTTGTGAATGCAAATAATAATACATCACTATTAGTAGATATTGAATGTTTTTTGTTAAATTACAATCGATTTTCAAATCCCAAAATTTAAAATATATTTTACATTTTACCCATTATCTTATGCAGTGTCATTATTTGTATATTGTAAAACATTTGATGCATTTGTATGGTTTATAGTTTATTTGCCAAAGTATTTATTACTATTTAATAGGTATATATATTGTACTGGCATTAACTGTATATTATGTATAGTTCATGTAAACTATATCATTTTTAAAATGCAAACCAAAAATACGAGGAATAATTATGTTTTCCGTGTATTAAATTGGCACGTGTAAAACTTTCATTTTAATTTTCTCACCCCATAGTTTGTGAGTTCGATAACCACATTTACTTAACCACATTACTTAAATATGATTATTAAATTCAATTAATTCATATTATTAAAACATCTAAAATACAAATATGTATTTTAAAATTAATTAATAAATTCGTCTCACAACATATTTTTTATTAATCCGTGGTATCTAACTAGCGTGACGTGATAAATCTCACTCCAAGTGCTGTTCTATGAAAGAGACGGCATTGCGTCATTTTTGGCCTCAAGTTGCTAACCTAATAAAATTATTTTTTTAGAAAAGCCCGCGGAACTGTCAAAGAAAGTTATTCGTTTCAAGGACGCTACCTATGCCATACTGGAAAGTTGAAGAGGAAGAACTGTCACTTGTTTTATAATTAGTTCCTTTTCTATTTTAAGAAAAGTAAAAAGAGTTACCTATCTGATAACGTTCAGGCACTCATACCTAAAGAATATCAGTAACTTTTTGGACAGAAGTTTTTTTTATAGTTTGCCATGTTGGTAAAAAAAACAACAAATTCAAAATTCAAAGTTATTCATTTATAGACTATACCTAATTACTACTATATATTTTAGTGCTAAAAGTATCGACAAATTCACCAGTGACGTTTATTAAATAATGCATTACTGACTTATTTTCTTTATATTAATCACAAATTTTAAAATCATGAAATATAAACATTTATTAATTTTCTCAGCATGCAGTGTAATGGAAGGAAAATGTAAATAAAAATTAGAAATCAAAATTATTTATATTAGGTGCTTTATATTACTATTTAAAAATTATATTTACTTTACTGGCAAAATACCAATATGTATTTTTTAAAATTAATTGTAAGTTCATCTCATCTCTCTTAAAAATTGCTACTTCTCAAAAGTTCCTATTAAAAAATAGCCATATACCATATAAAATTAAATAATCGAAAGATCGGACTACGGAAAACCACACAAATTTTCGGAAAAGAATTTTGACCACCTGCACATGCACACAATCGTCAATAAATAAAATTAAAAAATAACTACTATTTTAGTATTTTAACTATTTTAATAAACGCAAAAATAGCACAGTATTTATACGGCGAAGTTATAAAAATTTGGAAGAACTAATAATGCACTGACGCATACAAAAATCAAACGAATACTAAATTCAAAAGCATTAATAGAATTAAAATAAAATTAATATTATTAATTATTAATTTATATAACGTAATTTATTACTAGATTTTATTAAAATTTATAGCACTGATGTACAGTGCTACCTAGAGCAAATTACCAAAAAAAAAAAAATGTTTTTTAAGATAATTGCAAAAGACCTATTTTTACAGTTTTAACATCCTGTAACTTTAAAACTATGCATTTCCACACCCATGTTTATAGGACCTTTTTTCATATATTTTGATGAGGAATGAGTACTTATTTAACATTTTGGCAATTTAATTACATTAACTTATTACTATTTAAGACTCACCCTGTATATAGGTATGTTAACAAACTATGTTATATATTAAACATTCTCCTTCGTTTTAGGAATCTATCAGTACGTTAGTGGAGACTTCGCTGGTTCGCATGTCATTAAAATTATAGGATGGGGTGTTGAAAATGACGTAAAATACTGGATTGTTGCCAACTCGTGGAATGAACGGTGGGGCGAAAATGGCTACTTCAGAATAAAAAGAGGCAACAACGAGTGTGGTATTGAGCACACAGCTATTGCTGCATTGCCAGATTTTAGCAGATTCTAAAAATTGTATTCTTGTATAGATATGTCGTGATATGTATATCAAACACAAGTTTAAAAGAACTGAAGTATATCAGCAATACGTTTTTATTTAACCCTTAACGGCTACACTGAATAATTTTCATTTAAAAATATATACACATTAGGGTGGGTCAAAAAAATCGACTATTTTTTTTCACTTATATTATATTTTCTCTTGCACGCTTAACTTTTGCTATGGCTTCATTATATTGCAAAAATGAAAAACAAGCACTATTACATTCTTGCGAGTGCCTAGTTTACCTTAATTTTTCATAGAAAATTTCTTCGATAGGAAAAATACCGCACAGCACTTTTTACAACGATAACAAAACAATTATACATAACCGCAAAAAACAAAGCGAATTTACGCCAGATTTCTGTCAACGTTGCCAACGTTTAGCCCAATTTACTGTTATTCTTATATTGCCTATTATTCAACTTATCCTTATATATTCTTATATTTTACAACATGTGGCTACCGCGCTAACTGAATCTTTCAAACTCACTGCAATCGTTCAGAGAATGCTAGCATTAGGGAGTTTTCGTTGCTTACAAATTGCAAATCCGGTTAACGCTAATTGACAACTTTGACATTTCAATTTTGATTATCGTATATCGTAACCGCTAACTGCCGATATTTTACGGACGTTAGCCAAAGCAGTTAACATAGCGGTACGCATGCGCACTAGCGCAGTAGAACACAACATTGAAAAATACAGATCTAACCCATGGTACACAGAAAACAAGGTATGATCGATAGCGGCTCCAATTTCGTTAAGTTTGCGCATACCACCTGTGACGTCATACGCCATACAAAAAAAATATCCATATTGTTCAATTGCCACTAATAAAAAAAGACCTAAAATAGGAAGAATTAGGACATAACCCCAAAAGTTATGTTTTGACATCGAGCTTGACATTTGAAAAATTATTTTCACATTTTGACACAATCAAATTTCACAGATGACACAATCTATTTGACAATTTGAAATTGGCGCGTAGAGCTTGCCGACCAATAGTGCCGTTTATCACCTGTGACGTAGTGACCAACCTGCGCAATATCATACCTTGTATTCTTTGTATCATGGATCTAACCTAACCTCGTTCTATTTTGTTTATGTTTTGATTACTTATTTTATCTGTGTTAAACTCGTTGGGAATTCTTAGTGCTTCAACTAATCGAGGAATGTCTTTTTTTTTCAAAGCGGAAATTAGCTTTGCACTCTTGGTCAGATAATATTTCTAGGTTAAACTCTGCTCGATATTCGATGTTGTTTTCAAATCCTTCCAACAACATAGCATCCTTCAAATCCGGTTCATCACTAGAGTCCAATAAAATTAAATTGTCCATCCTATATAGCGATACCCAATAAAGTCATATAAAGCACTTTCAAATCAAACAACAATACAAAAACCAAAAATCAAATAAGTGACAAAAAATCTGTCAGTTTTCGGTTATCGTATCGTATGTCGGCTCCGAACCGATAAACCGAAAGTCCGAAAACTGTTTTTTTTTATCTGTCAAAATAGCGGTTATGGTTACGTATCCGTTAACCGTTCCGTTGAATTTTTTTAAAGCAACGAAAACTCCCTATTCACTAGTAAAAGTTGGTTTAAAAAATAGCTGTTAACTTTTACTGACGTAGCCCTAGCAAGTCAGTGAATGTGAGCTTTTACTAGTAATTGTTAACAATCACTAATTTCCAACTTTTACTGTAACATATACACCATATTGTAGCCCATTAGTGTACTATTTCAGATGTAAAATTTTATTTGATTATAAACAACAATAACACCATTTTTATTTCTCCACTTTAAACGTCAACTAATTCAAATAAAAGAAAAAACAATCAATCAATTGTCGAAGTGACCAGGTCTTCTCACAGGTTGTTCCAAAATCTTGCCAGCCATTAAATGAGATAGGATGTCCAAACCACCAACATCCACAGATACTTCTTTTTCGGACCAATGTGACTCCAGTTCCATCAGTTTCTTGTAATAGTATCTCATTGCATCTTTGTTATCTTGAATAAGAGTCCTAAACAAAAAAAAATGGAAAAAATAAGAATATCTAGCGTTTGATTGAAAAAAACGGCGTCGAAGACGGCTGTGGAATGACAATCGATAATAATTTTGGCGATGTCAATTAAATACATTGTTATGGGAACCAACTTTTTATTGTCATCATATTGTCAGAATCTTGTCATAATCATATGTCATAATCTTATTTCCATTGTGTAAGGACGCTTGTTTTTTGCGTTTTTTATATTAAAAATTGTATTAATAATTACACTTTTATCGACCGCTTTTATACAGCCAAGAATGCAAGTGTTTTCAGTGAAAAGTTAATTTTAAGTTTGTGTAACTATATTTCTATTTTTTTTTTCTCGTTGGACTTTTTAAATACTCGTAAAAATGACTAGAAAGTGTGTGGAAGTTCTAATATAAAGGTCCCCGAATTATCTTTTCATAGACAAGTATTCAGTTGTTCTTTTATTTATATTAAGCCACATGCATACTTTCTGGTTAGATTTCCTATTCGTACGGAGTGGCTAAATGCATTTTTTATATAATTTAATTTTCGTGACAATAAACATTCAATTTATTGTTCAAATAATATAAGCATTTTACAAATTATAATAATAATAGCTCCCGTATATAGCGTTTAACGCCTTGGGAGTAGCAAGGTACAGCTTGCCATACTAGAGCCGTTCGATATACAAAGAAGGTAATGTGGCTAGCACTACGCTTCAACCGCCTATTATTACCTCAGGATTGTGAATCCCAAGTACTCATTTAAGACTGAGTCGACCTAGATACCCAAACTATTTTTATTTTAATAAAAATAGTCAGCTGATGCAATGCCGGGTGTGGGAATCGAACCCACTACCTTGAGATTGGTAGACGAGAGTCTGTACCTCTACGCCACCGGGCACCCTACGCATTTTACAAATTAAATTTTTAAAATTAATGTTCAAATTTGGCCCGCGGATGATAGGTCCTCGACAAGGATATACCGGGTGTTGCATCGTCGGACGGGACATAGGAAATCCCATGTAAATTTTAATAGGGTCAATTATTGGCTTCCCTAATTATTTTAGAGAATAATTCTATTTAGGTTTATTGAAGAGCACTAAAACCTACATTCAAAAGAATAACTATGGATATTTTTTATTAGCTCGTTTACGAGTTATCGCCCGATTTCTTTTTAAATATTTCTACTTTCTTATGGCCCTGTATTTACTTATGAGTGCCAGTCAAGGTAAAAGATAACTGTCAAATGAAGTTGTCATTTCAGAAATTTACCTATTTAGTGGTTTATTATTATTGAAAACTCATTCCTACATCGGAAATCTTAAAGATGTATTTATAAATACAAATTAATATGAATTAAAGCAAAGTAAAGTAATCAATTACAAGGTTAATTATAGTATTATTACAATATTCAATAACTTATTAATTTAGGTACTATTAAATTGTTAGAACTTTAAGATTTAAAAAGACATTCAAATATTCCTCCATCGACTGCTAGACAATAACCCAGGCGATCATTAATTTTTTTCTTACATTCGCTAGTTGGTAAACTGAAATTCTATTGCATCCGGCAGAAATAGCATTTTTTAACTCGTCTAGATTTGGGTATTTTATCCTTATATATCCTGTTTTTTTAAATGGCCCCAGAGAAAGAATTCATTTGGCGAAATATCAGGAGATCTTGCTGGCCAATTTACTGTATGATTTAGGCCAATAACGTTTCCGTTAAAACTATTGTCTAAATATTCCCGACTATGTGCCGGGCAGCCATCCATTTGGTACCAAACTTCCTGATTTTCCCTAGCGGCATCATCGGTATCGGTCTATTCGGATACAGAGCAGCAAACATGTCCGATAGCTTTTGATAACTATTTCCTTGATAATACCATTTAATCATTAATACCTTTTCTTCGGTAGTGTAATTCATGGCTAATATTTTCGATGTAGGTATGAGTTTTTAATAATAATAATAAAGCACTAAATAGATAAATTTCTGAAATGACAACTTCATTTGACAGTTATCTTTTACCTTGACTGGTGCTCATAAGTAAATACAGGGCCATAAGAAAGGAGAAATATTTAAAAAGAAATCGGCGATAACTCGTAAACGGGCTAATCAAAAATATTTGAAGTTATTCTTTTGAATGTGGGTTTTAATGCTTTTCAATAAACCTAAATAGAATTATTCTCTAAAATAATTAGGGAAGCCAATAATTGACCCCATTAAAATTTACATGGGATTTCCTATGTCCCGTCCGACGATGCAACACCCGGTATAGAGTAGAAGCAACGCGTCTGCAACAAAAAAAGGAGATAAATGGAAGTCATTGAAATCTTTGCGACAGTTTCCATAGTGATTTACTTATCCACGTAAGTATATATGTTCTAGGCCCCAAATCAAATGACAATGACAGATACAAAAAATAATATGCAGTAATTGAAATGCCTTAATGATGTCACCAACCTCTTTCATCTGGTTGGCAAATGATTAAGAAAGTTCGACAATATATGACGTGACACTAAACAATGGCTGAACAATCTATACCTACAAGTGCATTCTTTCCAACTATGCTATATGTATAGAGAAGTACGAATATCCCATGAAAACCCAAAATAGGAAAAACTACTATGATATATTGGGAAAAATAGAAGATTTAAAATATTTTACTAAATCTTACTTACTTAAAATCCTTCCTGCTAATAACGTACAACTCGCTAGTTTCAATAGCTGTATAGCTATATTTGTAGTGATTCCGATTGAAGAATATACAGCCCAACCCAATTTGGTCACCATCTTCTAGATGAGCTACTTCTGCACCACTAGCTGTATGTATGGCTATTGTTCCAGTATGTATAAAGTATATTTGTTCACACCTATCTCCTACAATAAATATATTGGTATACCAGAATAATCCAGTGTTCAACCACAGAATTTTTTTTATTTTTAATATAAAATTCAATTGAAATGATTAAAAAGTACTCCCTCAATACAAAAAGAAATGCAATAAGGAATAAATAATAAATCAAATTCAATACAAATTTCACTGGTTTGAAATGACGCGTAGAAAATTGTGGCGTCACCTGTCAGCATTTCACTGAATAGTTGACAGAGGGCGCGAGCCTCTGAAGTAGAGATGGGCAAAAGTAACCGGTTTTTTGAATAACCGGTATTTTCCTCTAAAATAACCGGTTATTTAAAGGTAGTTTTTTTTCACCAGTTAACCTAATAACCTTGCATTACGTTCAATAACCTATAGCCAGTTATTTTTTAAAAAATCGTACTTGTTTAAAACAAGTAACAATTAAATATTAGCTGTTTGAATCGTAAATTTCGAAGAAGCGAACGGTACGGATCTTCCCGATATTTTGACGATAACGGGAGATCCCGCTCCCAAAACGAAAATATATGACATCAAACATCAAATGTCAAAATTAAATCAGGCATCAGGCGAACCCTGATAATAATCAAAACAACGGCCGAATGGCCCTGACAGGTCAGGCCGTAAAACAAAGTACTAATGCCATAGACTACTACTAGCCACCAGCTAGCCAAGTGATACGAACCTAACTTCAAATAGATTCTCTAAATTCTATATTTAAATTTTAACCAACTTTAACAGATTTTCAACGGTTCTTCAAAAGTTTTCCATGGTTTCGCCCAGTTTCACCCACGTTTCACCGTAAATATATTTTATTTGTAGTTTGAAGTCTCTCTTGAAGCTTAGACTAAAGAATACAAAATTGAAGTTCAAGTAATGAATGAAGATAATCTTTCATTATTTATTCATTTTAATCTCTTTATTTTACTTTGGTATTTGATTAAAATAACTTGGTTGTAGATTGTAGAACTTGTGAGTTGTGTGGTTTATTTGAACGTTAAGTAATTACTAGTTTTAATATCATATCCATGTCTACTCAAAAAAGTGAGGTTAGCATTTTTATTTAAATTCATTTTGTACATATACATACTTATATTGCTACAATCTCTATTTAATCATGCGATTTAACTAAGTTTATTATCTAAATTTGAAGTAGACCTATGGTATGTAGAGGTAAGTAAACCTATAGGAAAACTAAATATTTGGTTTTGCTAGGTTAGGTTATTTGAATAACCGGTTAATTTGTGTCGGTTAATTTTGTCAAGTTATTATTTTTTAAAGATAATTCCGGTTAACCTATAACCGGTTTTTTACCAATAACCGCCCATCTCTACTCTGAAGAATACTATTACGACGTGTCTAGTTCTCTGCTACCGTATTTACACCATATATCTTAAAATCACGTTAGGTTTTTCTATTTTCATTAAGATCGTTAAAATATACGTTTTTATGTAGGATTATTCTTTATTACCCCAATATTAAATTTACTTTTATATTTTTTACTACTAGAAATTAAAACTTAAATTTTTATAATTAACAGGTTACTGCCATTTTTATCGAAGCACTAAATACTACCAAAGTTGTTCGGATGTTCGAGTTCGAGGCGTTCGAGGGATCGAGGTTAGATTTTTATTTTTGTGGATTTTGCGTTTGGCGTTAAACACTTTGAGTTTTCAATTTTGTTTTATTGTACCCTCTTTATTATTTTTGTAATTAAGGGTGTTAAAGTTTGTTTTGTGAAGGGCTGTCTAAATAACTCTGAAGGCTCTCCAGAAAATATTTTTATAACTGTTCCTTTGGATGAAAGCCGTCGAAGAGCCTGGTTTGAAGCGGCAAGACAACAATATGTCAGCAAAAGTACGAGATTTTGCTGTGAAGATCCTTTTAACGTAAGTTCCTTGCGTTTTATTTTACAATTAATTTTATATCTACTTTAAAATACATTTAGAAAAATGGTTTTTATTTACCTTTGTACCTGGTGTCAAACTGTGACACTTTTGATAGGTGATGTCAGGGATTGCGAAAGTGTAAATTTGAAATTCTTAATACTGATTAATTTTTTTAAAACAATAGGATGAAATTGAAGTAAAATAAAAAATACGGGTATCATAAAATTGTATGAACATTAATTATTTGCAATAAAAAAACTATGGTTAAACTCCGGATTGTAATCATAATAATTCTTCCTCAGAGAAGAGCTTTCAAGAGCATATCTAAAATCTTATGCCGGGTCCAGACCAAGCAGACAAAACAACGACAAGACAGAAACATTCATGGTTTACAACAAAATTGCGACAAATCCAATACATTTTTGCGACATTTTTGTCTCATTTTTGTTTTGTTTCAAAATTCGGAGACTTTTCAATGTCCCGTCTCGAGTCGGTAAAAATGTTTTCTTCGTATATTTTACGACAAATTGTCGGCGCAGTATGGATGGCGAGTGCTGCCAACAGTAGGAGACCAGTGAAATCACACATGGTTAATAAAACTCATTCGCAACAACTAAACTTTTGACTTTGTTGTACTTTTGTCCTTGCGGTGTGGACAATTTGTCTCAAGTTTGTCTTGTCAAAATTCCCATTTTTTGTCGCAAGTTTGTCTTCTTTTTGTCTCAAAATCGTGTTTACCTTTTGTCGCCTTGGTCCGGACCCGGCATTAGATCGACCACCACTGGGCCCTACAATGGCCGAAATTAAGTTTATCAATGCAGTACAATTTTATACAAAACGTGTAAAAATATGATGTAAGGTAGACATGGGTAGGTAATTTGTGACATGGGGTAGACTCAATAATTTGTTGTTTTTTTTACGTTGTGAATAAATGTTGTTAGAATTGTTATAAAAATATACAGGTCTAATAAAAATAGATAGAAGTTATAATAATTATCTATTAACACAATCTTCCGATACGCTACTGAAGTAGGTAAGTCAAATTGACGTATCTAAATTCTTTGACATTTAATCTTTGAGAAGTAGTAAATAAAAGCAAAAGTGCAAGAAAAAATATATAATTAGTTAATTTTAAGTGAATTTTATAAATGATCGGTTTACTACACGTATGTATATTATATAGTTACTTACTAGCGAAAAGTTGTTCCATTATTTCACTCGATTTTTGACCGAGATCTACCGCACGCTACGCAACCAACTATTTTGCATTATTTTCGATAAACCGCAATAGTGTCACTGTTAATTTAAGTTCTGCTACAAAATTTCCTTCTAGATTTACTAACTTTAAACAAATATCAGTAGTAGAATAAATAATAAATAACATAAAATAAGCTCAGTAAAGACTGACAAATTCACAAAATTTTAAATCAAATTCAAATGTGTCAAATAAATCGTCAAACAGAACTGTCAAGGAGCCCACCCTAGGATCCTTTGTCAGCATTGCATGAATACATATGGATCAAGATAGCATTATGCTCATTCCATAATATTTTTATTCAAAGAGTTTTTTAATTTATATTCGTCATATGTCAAAATAATTTTGTATTTTTTTACGATACTTCAATACTTAACATTATTGTCTAACCTGATTTTGCAAGAACGTCATTAGCTAAAAACACTATTTTCCTAGTACTAGTGATGATCGTATTGACGGTACTTTTAGGCAGCATTTTCAACAGTTCAACTTTGGCTATGAGTCGGCGAGCACCGTACAACAGCATCTCTTCCTTGAGGTATGCTGACAAAGTGGCAAAAATGGCTTCCTCGTTGAAAAAATGATTTTGAAAAGTATATTTGTAATATTCTATTAATCGACTCCTCAAGATCTAAAGAAAATAATAATAAAGGTTGATTCTCACTATACCTTCCATTTCCATTCCATATCCGTTCCGTATTTTTTATTGTATTGACGCTATATGTAAGCTTCCGTTCCGTATCAGTTCCATACTTTTTATTGTACAATTTAGATCATTACGAAAGTTTTATTTTAAAAATTTGTATCTTTTGAAAAAGGTAATAAATTTAATTAAGAGGCGAAAGAATAATATAAATAAATATCAGCAAAATTTTAACAGAGCTGGTAAAAATGTAAGAACTTGACAACGCCGTTTCCGATACGCTTCAGTCAGTGCCTTCTATTAAAAGATCAGCCTGCGGGCGAGATTTATGACGTCACGCTAGTTAGATATAACGGATTAATAAATATGTTGCAGAATACATGGAAAACATAATTATTCCTCAGATTTTTGGTTTGTATTTTAAAAATGATATAGTTTACATGAAATATACATAATATACAGTTAATAACTACAACATATATACCTATTTATAGTAATAAATACTTTGGCAAATAAACTATGAACCATACAAATGCAGCAAATGTTTTACAATGTACAAATAATGTATAGGTGCATAAGATAATGGGTAAAATGTAAATATATTTTAAATTTTGGGGTTTGAAAATCGATCTAATTTAACAAAAAACATTCAATATCTACTAATAGTGATGTATTATTTGCATTCACAAAATTTATATGTATATTTTACAAGTATCAATGTTCGAAAAATTATATTTACAAAATAATACAATATTATCTAAAAAAAAGCGTCAGCGATGGCTATGAAATGAAAATCGCTGGCATTTTATATGTAAAATTATTCTAAAATTTTTGATTTTCTTGGGATTTTTAGGTTCGGGAAAAACGCTGATTTAAGTTTTCACTTGGGTTTTCATTATTTTTAGTTGGTTTAAAAAAACGTTTCGGCTCACTATAGCCTTCATCAGTGTTGTGTCATATGAGAAAAATAGTGTCGAATATAATCCAAAAAATTACATATACAATATAATTCACAACTCATAATGTTTACTGCAATTAATAAACTAATATAAACTTATCAAAAGATGACCACATATTTTTTAAAATTATTATTCTTAACATTAAAATTATCTACATTGACTATGGAGTACGCAGTAAACATTATGTGTGTGGTGTGAATATTTTATATGTAATTTTTTGGATTATATTCGACACTATTTTTTTCATATGACACAACACTGATGAAGGCTATAATGTTAGCCGAAACGTTTTTTTAAACTAAATAAAAATATTAAAAAACCAAATGAAAACTTAATCAGCGTTTTTCCCGAATCTAAATCCCAAGAAAATCAACAAATTTAGAATATTTAGAAACAAGGTTCAATGAATATCAAATTTTCCAAGATTGTAAAATTCTAGTTAATTATTTTATGTGTACCGTTATTTAGGGAATGTCATAGATGTTCATTTCCAAGCCAACTAGACGCCGATTTTTTTCGATGATACGGTATAATTCTTACGTAAAATGTAAATCACATTAGACCAATTAAAACAAAGAAATATGAATTTCTTAGTATTTTTAGTAACACCTTTATTCTTAAAACTTAATTTTGTATTATGCAAATATACCAATTTTATTGTTATTTTATTCATATTGTATTCAGCCATCACTTAAATATTTGATATTAATTTGGTATTATAAATAATCAACACTATTCATTAAAAATTACTGAACAAATATATGTTATGCTTGACAACTTGACATACATTATATATTATCAAACAAAAACACATTCTTCTTTTAAACTGTATCAGTCTTGTCTTTACAAAAATCTTTTTTAAAATTTGAACTCAAAATAATAATCTTTTTCATAATCTTTAATACACATATTCTTTATTTTTCCCTAGATCATAATACCTACTTACGTGTTTGAATCTATCGAAGCTGAACCAACAACGCTTGGAGTGGAGATTCCACAACATGAATAAAATAAACATAATTGTCCAGTTTTCATTAATACAATCATGGGGGAATATTATTTTTAAATTTATTAAAGATATTTTCAATAGAATTCTCTTGATTTATAACTCGTACCCACTTTTCTTGCTCTTCCGGACACTTTAGGCTGCCTAGTATAACTATCCTTTCCACCAGGAACACAACAAAGATGAGGCATAGCACCAAAAACACACTCCACTTAAGCTTTATTGATGAATTGTTAGAGTCTTAAAAACACACACAAAAATCACGATGAGTAAAAAATGTATGGGCACTTTTAGGTTAAATCACTTACACAACGTGTAATTTTTCAATTTTTCTATTTTTTTATGCGAAACCGAGAGTGACAATATATCTGGTAGTAGTTTATGTCACTTAAACACCAAAATAATTAGTTTTTTGCACTACAATAATAAATAATACCAAAAATCATAGAGTTAAAACCAAAAATCAACCGACAAAATATGAAACGGAATCTAACGCAATATCTAAGTATGTACAGCTGATGAAGTAAACAAAAGTCCGCACCCAGGCTGATCTTTTAAAGAACGGTAGTGATTCAGTACGCCCGAGAAAAAATATGTATGGAAGGAAATAATATGGAAGGGAAGGGAAACGGAACGGATAGTGTGCATTGTCCTATTCATTTACATGACATACTATTTTATGTAAACGGAAGGTACCTGATATGGAAGGTATAGTGAGAATCAACCTTAATTAGCACACTATTTAATAAATATTTAGACACACGAACATATTTAGCGAGATGACACTCGAGACGAAAAGTGATCCTGATCGAAAAAGTGTTAAGCAAATGAGAACGTTGAGATGAGTCTTTGGAGCGTCGTAACTCGGGCCCTATGTGAGCTAGGAATGTCGAAATTTTCATGATATTTTGACGACGAAAAAATCATCCGATTTAAATTAAATTTGGTATGTCGCAATGACTAAAGAATACAAGGACATGTAACGCCCATATTATACGGGCTGCAGCAGAATTTGTGACGTTAGACGCCATCATTTTGTAGACTACGGGTGAGTCACCCATGAGTCACTGCCTCGTCAACAGCGTCAATTTTGGCGATTTTTAATAATTCGTTGTGTTAAATGAACGTTGTATAAACTTTATTACAATGGCGATTAGTAGTTCAGCTTTCAAGTGTAAAAGCCGCAACGATAAGAAAAAGGAAAGAGCCTAGGAGATGGGTTTTATAAGTAAATAAACAACTCCGCTCCACCTTTTTAGCGTTTTCTTATTGAATTTGGTAATTATTTTTCTGATACTATATGTACTTGATATATATATATATATATATATATATATATATATATATATATATATATATATATATATATATATATATATATATATATATATATATATATATATATATATATATATATATATATATATATATATATATATATATATATATATATATATATATATATATATAACGTCGATACTAATTTTATTACTAACATTTTAATGCGTTTTTTCGAAATTAATTAGTATAATACCACCGCCTACACCATAGGCGTAGTCAAAACATTTATCAAAAATATAAATCTCGCTTCAAGCAGCTAAGTTAAGAAAAATATATGGCCATGACACTGTTTGGAACCATGGTAACAATTTGGTGTCGGTTGTTATATTATGTCCTTGTATTTTTTAGTCATTTGTACGTATGTCGATAGATTGTGGCACTGTGACAGTTTGGTTTTGATGTAAGAAACGTCAAACGTTGACGTCGTTTGATCGCGACCATCTTCATCAAGGTGGAACTAAGGATTTGATATTAAAGAAAAATGTGGATCGATTTTGGCATAATTGGGGACGGGCTACAGGATGACGCCCTCGACGTTTCGAACCGGCTCTAAATGGCCGAAATCATCAGGATTTTTCTTAATTATGGGTCGATTAGAATCAAACTCGGCACATGGATAGAGTGTACCCGAATGGAGTCCTCAGACGTTTCAACATTTCAAATGCACTGTTCTGTACCAGAGAATATTAATCACTTTCACAGTTTTTATCAAAGAGTATTCTTTTTTTGCATATTTACCTCGGGTAACTTTTTCTGTCTCATGAAAACTTCAAGCTGCAAATAGTATTCTTCGTATTTACTTTCCGAAATAGTAACTACACTAAACAACTTCAAAATACATGCTATTATATAAAGTGTCCATATGCGACCTAATACATCAACATCGTTATTTATTATTATATTAGTATTTCAATGATTTATAAAGTCGAGAATATACGTAGCGAATGTGGCCAATCGTTAGCATTCAGTATGATCAAATGAAAATGGAAATCGCAATGTCTGAAAAAAACATGGATACGAATACGTATGTACCTACGCGGACGAATAGGAACATTCACCAAGTATATTCTCGGCTTCAAACATACCATTTATCATAACACAAACCATTAAAAACTTTTCTAAATAATTATCTTTCTCAATCGGATGTGAACCTACACCGGTACCGAAAAAGTGACATGCAATGGCAAGAAAACATTCAGCATAAGCATATCCAATGGTCTTACCGTCAACAGGATGTAAACCAGCTTTACCTGCCCTAAGAAATGTTTCAAAAGAATCAGTTTTTTTAAACAAATAATTGTAATAATTGAAATCCACCACAATACACCAAAACACTTTTCTTTTAAACAGTAACCAAGTCTTCCTCTTAGTCTTGAGACAGTGCTAGAGGGGATGCTCCTGTGCTATCCTGACCAATGTGCGAGCCGTCTGACTGCCGGTAGACTACTGCCGTTTACTACTGCGCATCACATCTGTACAGGGTATCCCATTTTTATGTGTTTTATGGGATTTCTCGTTTATGAGCAGGGATACAATGATGCGATTTTCACATTACTTTGCTACTTTTATATGAAATTAAATATGCTAAACATTGGATTGTCCTGGTCTCCTTAGTTCCTGAAATACAAGATGAATTTGTGATGCGCAGTAGTAAACTGATGTTGAATATAGATATGATGCGCCGTAGTGAAGGCAACGGCTACCGGTAGCTAGACACTCTGTTCAGGAGAGCAAAGCAAAAAATATATTAAAGAACCAGCTTTCTTAAAATTCTCTCTCAAAAACGTTGCTAGCTCTTAGACTATAAGTAAAACAGCGAAATCGTTATGGAAATGAAAATATAAAATGACACCAATCACAAGCAGATCGTATATCCGATGAACGGGAGCATAAAAATGTCTTTCATTCGTCAATCGTCTTTAAATTCAACCAATAAAATTAATATCGTATCAACGTATCGTCGTACAACGAATGCATAAAAATCAAGCTTAAGAGTTTCCTCAAAGACAAAGTCTCACATCACCTAAACGAAGATGCTAACATGTATAAAGTGTTTTTTGTTGCATTGTGGTGAACTAGTGTTCAATTTTGCAAGAAGGGATATTAAAAAAAATGGGGTATTTACCATGAACGCGTACGAAACGCTTCAGCATGTGCTGCCCAAGGAATATAAAAGAAAAAGCATGTCCAAGCGTTCAAAATCATTACAGTTAGTAACAATAACCTGATGCAGTCGTATACTTCTTCACGTATGTTAAAATTCGTCAGGATATCTTTTAAACAAGTAAAAACCGTCGCTATTCTGTAAAATTAAGAATAGGTATACAATATTTTGGTAAACAGCATGTTATATCACGTTAAATCTTTAGATCTAAGGTTAAATCTTAGATCATATTCTTTATCATATTATATACTTACGTGGATAAGTAAATCACTATGGAAACTGTCACAAACATATCAACGACTTCCATTTATCTTCTTTTTTTGTTGCACACGCGGTGCTTCTACTCTATCTATCCTTGTCGAGGACCTGTCGTCCGCGCGCCAAATTTATGAACATTAATATGAAAAATTTAATTTGTAAAATGCTTATATTTGAACAATAAATTGAATGTTTACTGTCACGAAGATTAAATTATATAAAAAATACATTTAGTCACTCCGTACGAATATCAAATATTCTTAGGAAATCTAACCAGAAAGTATACATGTGGCTTAATATAAATAAAAGAACAACTGAATAATTTACTTGCCTATGAAAAGATAATTCGGGGACCTTTATATTAGAACTTTCACACACTAAAACTTTTAACACTTGCTAGTCATTTTTACGAATATTTAGAAAGTCCAACGAAAAAAAAAAATAGAAATATAGTTGCACAAACTTAAAATTAACTTCTCACTGAAAACACTTGCATTCTTGGCTATATAAAAGCGGTCGATAAAAGAGTAATTAATACAATTTTTAAAAAAAAATGCAAAAAAACAAGCGTCGTTACACAATGGAAATAAGATTATGACATATGTCGTTACACAATGGAAATAAGATTATGACATATGAATATGACAATATGATGACAATGAAAAGTTGGTTTCTTAGGTTGGTTTCCATAACAATGTATAATTTGTACCTTTGAATAAGAAGACTATAAGGAAGGAGCATATCAAAAATCTTAGGTACACCGCGATGGGCCTCAAATATGGCCGACTTAAATTCCGGTTTATCAGTGTCGTTCTAATTTTATTTAAAAAATGTAAAACTATGATGTAGGGTAGACGTGGGGTAGACTCAATAATTTGTTGTTTTATTTTACGTTGTGAATAAATGTTGGTAGTTATTAAAATTGTTATAAAAATATATAATTCTAATAAAAATAGATAAGTTATAAGTAGTTATTAACACAAACATCCGATACGCTACTGAAGCAGGTAAGTCAAATTAACGTATCTAAATTCTTTGACATCTAACCTTTGACAAGTAATAAATAAAAGCTAAAATGCAAGAAAAATATATAATTTAGTTAATTTAAGTGAATTTCATAAATGATCGGTTTACTACACATATGAATATTATATAGTCCCTTACTAGCAAAAAGTGTTCCATTATTTCACGCAATTTTTGCCGAGATTTACCGCACGCTACACAACCAACTATTTTAGAGTCTTTTTCGATAAATCGCGATAGTGTCACTGTTAATTTAAGTTCTGCCACAATTTCCATCTAGATTTACTACCTTTATACAACTATCAGTAGTAGAATAAATAATAAATAACATAAAATAAGCTCCGTAAAGACTGACAAATCCACAAAATTTCAAATCAAATTCAAATGTGTCAAATGAATCGTCAAACAGAACTGTCAAGGATCCCCACCCTAGAGTGCTTTTTCCGCCCACCATGCATGAATACCTGGATAGCATTATGCTCCTTCCTTAGTCTTCTTATTCAAAGATTTGTACTTTCTTAAACCGTGTCAAATTGTGCTTATTTTGAAAATACGTGCAACTTTTAATACGCATGCGCAAAGTAAGGTCCTCGAGAAAGACACACCTATTGAACGTTTCATAAATGCAAGAAGGTTTGAAAATGACATGTCGTGATGTTGGAGACATATTTTTTAATGCTAAACTTATAGCGTTGATTTATCCACGTAAGTATATATGATATAGGCGTTAAATACACTATAACTGTAGATCAGATCTGTAAGAATCATAAAAAACGTAAATATTGTTACGGATTCCGTAGGTCCACTAATTTAAACTCACGATAAAATACTTAACAAATTTATTATCTCACTTTATACACACAATAACTAACTATTTATAAAATTCCTTCACCAAATTGTCCGATTCGTAATAATTTAAAGCGCGGTATATTCGAACTTCAAAAACTAAAACTTCAAAACTGCTCCAACTGCCAAGCACGGACCTTTACAAATACTTAAATAAATTATTTTAAACCTATTTGGACCTTTATATACTCCTACTGACTGTATCCCGAACCTTCTACAATTCTCGGAGAGCGCTCTACTTCATACTGGACAATTTCATTGTTTGATTCGCTATTTGTTGACTTGATTAAGAGATGGCACCTAAGAATGTCTTTTACTTTCTGGCGGATGCGCCATTTTTCTTGACACGTTGCGGTTGTGTAGGCAACCAGTGATACATTTTAGCGCTACATACACCTTGACATTGACCCCTGCCTTCTCAAATTTGATCGTCCCGATCAAGGTTTCCTGTCTGGTATCTCTTCAATCGATCCAGATGTATTACTTTCATCTTACTTCTAGGGCTGCGTTGAATTCGGTAGACATCATCATTTATCCCCTTGATGACTTGAGGACCTTCCCATGCTGGAGTTAACTTTGAAGACCTTCCCTTCTTTCGCTGCGGGTTATATAACCATACCATATTGTCCTGTTGAAATCCCGTAGAATTAGCTCTGAGGTCGTAACGAGCTTTCATCCGGTTACTGGCTAGCGCAATCTTCCTTCTAACGGCCTTATGAATGTCCAATAATCTTTCCTTCTTAGCGATTCTTTTGAACGACAGTCCAACGCTATCCTGTTCCTTTTCTTCCCCAGATCGAGTACTTAGTCTTTGTCTAGCTGCGCAAATCTTACAACGTTGACACTATTTCTTAACTTCTTCGAAATAATCCACCCAGTAAAAACGGTCTTTCAGCTTGCTCAAGGTCTTGTTTACTCCAAGATGGGCTCCAGTTTTACCACCGTGAATTTATTCTAATACCTGGGCAATATTCTTGGTACCAGTAACTGAGTTGTTACTGTCCTGCCATCCGCACTTTCCCACGTGCGCTTTAACAATCCATTATTCTCAATCACCAGTGAATTCCACTGAGCCCAGAGAGCTTTGAAAACCAGCCCTCTGTCCGCAATATCCTGCCACGGTGGTCTCTCGCCGTTACCTTCCTTGAGCCGTAGAATTGCTCCGATGTCTGGATCTTCCATTTGATCTTTCCTCAATTGTATCGTCGTCCATTGTTCGTCAGTTCTCAGTTTAATATTCCTTATTCTGATAGTGCTTTCGCGATGTTTCATTTTCTTGCCCAAGATAGGTCGTCGTCGATCTGGCTCGTTGTCGATAATTTGTACCCGTCCTACACGGCACTCAGGGGTTTTCTCCATTTTCCCGAACACAGTCTTCTTGGCATCACCAGGTATCATCACAATTTCCGCTGATCTTGCTTCCATATTTCCTGGTCTCTTCTCTTTAGATACAGAAAATTCCTCATTTCCGATTTTCAGGATGTTTCTAGAGTGGTCAAACGAAAAACCATGTTGACTGATCACATCCATACCCATGATAAAATCATCTTCAATGTCTGCCGAAACTTCAAATTCCCTAACTCCAGTTCCATGAAAGCCTCTCCCCGTACAACGGCCATTTCCCCCGTAACTGTACGTAAATACACTCTTCTTCTAAGAGGCATTATCTTCAATCCTTGCACTGAGTTAGTCCGCACCAACGATACCATAGCGCCTGTATCCACAGTCATTCGAATTCTTCTACCATTGACCTTCCCGTTGATCACCAAACTGTCAGCGGTTTTTCCTAGACTCCTAATGGAAAACATTCTAGAGGCTCTGTTTTCTGTTCAGCCAATACTCGCCCATTGGTATTAATTTCCTGGTGCCTATGTTCTCTGAAGGGTAAACGGAATCGCATTTCAACCCGGCAATCCCGTTTGATTCCTGCCACATCTATAGCAACTTATGTCCTGGAGTCTTCCGATGTGCCGATGTTCTCTTAATGATGAACAGAATGGTATTTGGATGCGACAATCCCGTTGGATATGGCCATTCCTGCCACATCTATAGCACCTAATATCCTGGGATCTTCTCTGGTCTGGGTGTTGTTGACTCTCTTGTTCACTAGTAACTCACATAGTTTATTAAACATCTCCTCCAAACCTATGTGAGAACTCTTTGGCTGTTCCTCAACCGTTACCGAGCCTATCTTCGGTTTAGGAATGGCGCTAAATGCAGCATCTATTTTCAGCGCCCTGACGAGTACTTCGCTGCTGGTCGAAAATCGCGATATTTGCAGTGCCCTCTGTAACTCGTGGTCCTTAAGTCCGCTGATAAAGCACTGGGCAGCGAGTTCCTCCCTAAACCCTTCCGGTGCTTCTGGATATGCTAGGTGTACCAGCCGACGTAAGTCTGCTTCAAATTCCTGCAGACTCTCTCCGGACCTCTGCAGGCGTGCCTTAACTGGGCCTGGTAAAGTTGGCGTCGATGTTGGTCGCCATATCTTCTGTCCAGTGTAGCGACCAAAGTTTGGTATTCCTGCTGTTGGGCTGCAGGAATAGTTTGCAGGAGTTCCAGGGCAGGGCAACGCAGCGCGATGACAAGTGCCGCTGCTTTCTCCTGGTCGGTACATCCGTTGGCAGCGGCGGCTGCTTCAAACTGGCGGTGGTACATGGTCCAGGTGGTTTGTACATACACCTTGACAATATTTTTTGGTTTGAATCATTGTAGTGATCTAAGAAGTCATTTGGTTAGGTAAATTGCAAAATGATTTGTGATTTAAATCTTTTAAGAGATTTAAGTCTTTTTATAAAACTTAGAAATAACTTAAGACTCAAGATTTAAGTCTTTTTTGAAACTAATTTGTTGTAGCTCTGCTGTATAGATATAGTTCATAACACATAAACTTTTAGTCACGTGATTAAGCTTGACCGGCACAGCGCAGCGTTACCCACTTTTACATATTTTCTTTTAATCAAAATATTTCAAGAAACAAAAATACATTAATTATAAATATACAAACAGTTATTATTTACATCAACAAAACTCACCTTCTTAACAGCACTTAAGGGACATAAAGGGCCATTACTACCGCCTTCCCGTCCAAAATGTTCTACTAAAGTTGCAATGAGTTTTTTTACGATTATTAAGCTATCTAGTACACGTCGCACTAAAAGAGGTTCTAAAAAAAACAATGTTCCACTGCAAGGTCTGCTAGCAAAAATGTTATGCTTAAAATATCACAACAGCATTCATTTAAACCAAAAACTCGTAATACAAGACTAAAGTGTCAAAACAATAAATGTGGCAACTTGATATTTTTTACAGCAGAGCTACCACCTGAATCCCCAGCGGGAAATTTAAATTTCAGTTAGTTAGCTTGGCGCCGAATATGTCCATGGTTGGCAACAATGAATTTAAAATTCGCGCCCTCGATTACGTAACTAAAAGCTTAATTGGCATCGAATATATATTGTATTTGTATTTTTCTAATACCTCAATATGCAAATCATGTTTAAAACATACATAGCCTTTATCACGTCCCAGTATACTCCGAATTTCATACACATAATAAAGTCCACCGCATAATACAATTCTACATAGTTTTTTAGAATCATGGTGGGATCAATGACTATTTCCTTCGTCTTATAATTGGGATATCCAGTTATAAAAAAGAAAGATGCAAGAATCGCCTCGAGAGGTGACAGTATATAAATGTAGAATTTGAAGAATATCTCGTCTCTTTCCTGTAATTGCACACCTAGATTATCCTGTAACAGAGTATAAATTATTTTAATTAGTTTATATTATTTTAGTTATTTCTAGACATAAATATACAGGGTTGTTTACCACATACGACACGGAGTATTGTAGCTAAACGGTTAGATTTTTACAAATTGTAAGTTTTGAGTTCGTTGAAGGACTATTAGAGCTACAATTTAAAAATATTTTTACAAGATAGAGTGTCCCAAATAAATAAAAAATATTATAATCGTATTTATTTAAATGGGACACCTGCATATCATTTTATTTTTAGATTCTACAATTGAAATAAAGGTAAATTTGATTAAGGTATGTTTATCACACTGAAACCTTCCGTTTTTGAAATATTTTCAATTTTATGAAATTACAGTAAAAATTTTAAGGCTTCATTTCTCCAAGGGTATTAAAGGTTTTAATACTAAATATTTACTGAAGATTATTTATTTATCAGATATTGTGTTGCAATAATAAAAATTATATACTACCTTATACAGAGTGTCCAAAAATTTATATTAAATAATTACTAGCTTTAAGCGGTAATAACTTGTTTAATTTAAATGGAACACCCCGTATATTTTACGCAAAATTTAATTGTCTATTAAATAGTATTATAGCATTTTTTACCGATGTATATATCTTCAAGTTTTCGTAGAAAATGCATTTTCTTATATTAGAAAATTGCGTTTATCTCATCAAGGAGGCCGAATTACACAAAATATCGAAGGATACTTTTTAATTGGCATTAAACGACCTACACGATTTTTATACCAAAAAAAAGTCAATGGCGCACAGGTTTTTTTTGCAAAATATGCCAGTGATAACCCATATGCACGTCCCTGGTCCCTGATGAATTTATATCGACACTTTTTTAGTGTTAAAATATATGTCGCATTATTATAGTAACTTTTACCCTCAAAATTTCATTTGAATCTCCAAAAGTACTTGGAAGAAAATTATAATAAATCGAAAAATTATTAAGACTTTAACACCCTGTAGGGAAACAAAGCAGAATCGGACCTATGTTGATATGAAAAATAAATTTTATTTTACGTGAGGAATCTCCCCACGAGAGATGGCATATGTTTTTTGAAACACCCTGTAAGATCTTGAAAATTAGAAAACATAAAAAATATATTTACCGCTGCAACGTGTATAAAACTCATATAAAACGGTGATAAAATAATTTCCACTATCCATATAACACAGAACATTGCTTCTCTGATTTTGTTAAAAGTGCTGAACGGATGAATAATATACGCAGGTCCATGGAGATGTCGTTTCTGTTCCAATAACATAATCGATTTGTTGCGAAAAAAGCGTTTCGCGCTAGGCGAATTCGGGTTTAATGCTAACTTTTTCCTTATTTTCCTGAAGAATATCTTATACCACGGAGCGTTGGGCGGTAGTTTGGCCAAACCAAAAAACTCTATCTTTAACTCGCAATTGTGTGTGTTTACAGACTTGGACGAGCTAGACATTTTTCTGGAAACAACTGAAAACAAAATCTGAAAATATAATTTATATTTTATGTTATTAACGTATTGCTAGGGAGATATGTGACACCTGTGACATTAATCTCTTACTTAAGCCACCTTACTCTCCATTTACTCTCTTGCCTTAATTACCATAGAAATAGAATCGACAAAAACCAACAAAAACATAGAATTATAGCAAGAATTATAGAACAAAAATTGACAAAATAATTGGTTTTTTCCGCCAAAACAATTTCCCGCTTTGTTGTCAAACTTTGAATAATTTCTTTGCTGTTATGTAAATATCTTTTTATTTTTAACTCCATGTAAATATCTAAATACATTGTATTAATTTAAATATTATTCTATGACATGAAAACAAACAAAAAGTTAGATTATGGGATGGTTTATATTGATTTTGATAAACCTGTTGGGGAATAATACGTCTAAAATCCATTACGTAGGACCCAATTTGCTACTTATTTTAGAAATTAGAAAAACGAGATAACCAAGACGAACTAAATAAAAATAGAACAATTTCTTTGTCATTAATATAACAAACAAATATGCTACCAACTGATTGGCAAAATTTAAGTAATTATTACAAATTATCCACTATAAAATAACAAAATACGTTATAAATACAATATTTCCTTCTTCTGAAATAGACTAAAAAGCTGGCAACACTGGTAAACCTGGCGTCGATATCGACAAAACAGAAAACTGTAACGGGGATGTGCCGTTCCAGGGTTATGTAGAATAAAATTGTACTGAATATGGTACTTTACTAGAAATATTTGCTTTTCTTAAAGGTGGAGATTGATTTTGCGATGAACCTAGCTGAATTACAGAAGAATTACAGAATCTGTGATACTGTGATAACGCTATAACCAGGTTTTTGGTTTGAAAAGAAGACATTTACCTGATTAACTACGTGTAGTTTAGTACATTTTAAAATTATGGCAACACTGCTGTCTAGCTTTGTGAAAAGTGAGGTTATTTAGTTATCTTTGACACGCCGAAATCCTGGTATTAGATTTTAGTGGTATTATTAGTGAAAGACGCTTTATTTGGGAATAAAAAAGCCCTTTAGGTGTATTCAGACAACTTGAAAACGTTTTTAACATCTTATAACAGTACAATGGTTGATCAACTAAAAGAACTATACGAAAAATACGAACTTCTGGCTTCAGCTAAAGACGCCATTGGCGAGGTAAGGAGAGAAGCTTTTGATTTTGCATTGTTTTTTTAACACTAATTTGTTTTTAGCATGAAAATGTATATTTAGAATGCGTAGACGGTACTAAAGGCGGTACGAAAGAAAAAAAGCTGGCGGCGCAAATCATTTCCAAATTTTTTAAACATTTTCCCTCCCTACAAGACCAGTCACTGAATGCCATTCTGGATTTATGCGAAGATGGAGATAGCGACATTAGGATTTGTGCCATGAAGACTTTACCGATTTTGTGTAAAGATAACAAAGACCATGTGACCAATATTGCTAGTATTCTGTCGCAACTTTTGCAACTAGAAGATCAAGATTACACTACAGCATGTAATGCATTGACACAGGTGTTTAAAGAAGATCCAATTAGTGCAGCAAAAGGAATATTAACTAATGTACAAGCTCCGTCAGATGAAACAATTAGAGAGAAGTCTGTAACATTTCTATATAAGAAACTTACAAAGGTTCAAGGGAAATTATCTACCGAACTAGAAGATTTACTTATCGACGAAGGAAAAAAGCTTCTTCGGGTATTTATTTTATTTTGCTCTTATATTTTTGCATGTATTAAATTTATAAGCGATACTAATTAAGCTTTTAGTTACGTAATTGAGGGCGTGATTAAATTTATTGTTGCCAACCATAGATATATTCGGCGCCGGGCTGAATAACTAGAATTTAAATTTTCTGTTGGTGATTGAGGTGGTAGCTCTGCTGTAAAAAATGTCAAGTTGCCACATTCGTTTACTTATTTCCTGACTTTGTCATTTGTTTTGACACTTTAATTTTGTATTAGATTATGAGTTTTTGGTTTAAATGGATTGTGTTTTGATAATTTAAGGTAAAAAATTTTTACTAGCAGACCTTGCAGTCGAACATTGTTCTTTTTAGTGCTGTTAAGGAAATGAGTTTTGTTGATGTAAATAACAACTGTTTAAATATTTATAATTGATTTATTTTTGTTTCGTAAAATATATCGATTCAAAGAATATATCTAAAAGTGGGCAACACTGTGCCGGTCAAACTTAATCACGTGACTGAAAGTTTATTTCAACATTTATATTCTACAATATGTTATTTTAAGGATTCAACTTCCAACGAATTTATGGTAATAATTGAGTATTTAAAGGAATCAAAATTAGTAAAAACGACAAGCGGTCAACAAGAACTAGTTGATTTAGTAGCTGAGAGAATTGAGATAAATGAAAGTTTTAATCCCTTTGAAGAAGGAAGCCATAATGTTGACCGCCTAGTTTTATGTGTTAACTGCATTCTTCCATTGTTTAATGTAAGTAACTTTTTTAACCCAGATATGCCCAAACAAATTTTGTGTTTAAATTTAGCTTAAATTCTTGTTAGTTGGATACCTCATGGCACAAAACAACCAACAGAAATTGGGAAAAAAATCCTATGGTAGTGGGTCCATAAATAATGGGTGTCCTTTTAAAAGGACAGTGGGCAAATAAACGTGGGCAATTGAAACATTTTTTTTATTTAGAATTTATTTTATTAAAAAAAAAACTAAAATAAAAGCACAAAGTAAAAACGACAAAGAGTTCTTAATTATGGACGAGTATGATAAGTAATTAAACAGCGCACATGAAGTGTTACGTCACATTTTCGGCATTTTGTTGACACTTTTTTATGACACACCCTGCATCTCGTTTGTTTATCTTGCTCTTCAATTAGGTGATCCAATCTGTCATACCTCGTTTCCACGTTTTCCAATGGTGATGTTTTAAGCCTTCTACATAAATTAAGCCCCCTGTCTTCTTTATTACTTTGAATAAGAGACGTGGCAACATTTCTTCGGAATGCCAAATGATCGAGTTTGCCTCCCTGTTTGCGATGAAGTTGCCATGCGTTTTGCTCAGCTGCATCGAGTAAGTGTGTTATCAGGGGAAAATACCATTTTTTGCCTCTAATACTGACACGATATAGGCTGATATTTTGATCGCTCCGATCCACACCCCCCATACTGATGTTATATTTTTTTATATTCTGTGGTTGTTGCACAGGCATTCTTTTTTTTTTCTTTTTGAGAATAGCGAGTGACCTGATGTAATGGAAATACGCCATAATAATTTGAAGCCATATGCACCATATTATTATCGGACCACTTAACAAGAACTATAGAATTATCTTTGGATGTTCTAAAATCAAAATCTCCTCGATTTTTCTTGAGGTCTGCATCAGACGCCAACTGACAATTTCCTAGCCGATTTTTTCTTATAGTCCCCGTAGCCCTCACGCCTTTCTCTGTTAGGGATTGTATTAGGGGCAAAGTCGTCAAAAAGTTATCGAAATAAATACTGTACGGAAGTTCTAATTTCGAACGTAAAACATCAGTGTACTCCAATACAACAGAAGGCCCCAACCCTAAGTTTTTGTAGCAATCCTTGATCTCAGATTTTGCGCCCTGATATGGTTCATACCAGATTATATATCCAATAGCTGAAGCACCAACCCATAGTTTATACCCATACCTCAATGGCTTGCCTCGTATAAACTGTTTACAGCCGTGACGACCGAAGTAAGGTACCATAGCTTCGTCGACGCAATGAAACTCATCAATAGGGGCAAAATCAAGAAATCGACTATTTATTTTATCAAAAAAGGGTCGAACCTTAGCAAATCTATCGTTCTTATCCAAATTATTGTTGTCGCAACAATGTATGTTTGACAAAATATGTTCAAAACGGTTTCGAGCCATGGAATTAGACACTATATTATTATGACAATCAGACGAATTTTCCCAAAACATTCTGCGTCTTGGAACCGAAACATAACCACTCAAGAAAAGTATTCCAAAAAAAACTTTGATTTCTTCTGGGGTAATATCGGACCTTTTGTTTTTACTAGCTGCGTAGTTATTAGTGTAAAAAACAAACATGTCTATTATCTCCTTGTCAAAAAAGTTTTCAAATAACTGTATAGGTGAAAGATTGTTCGATGGCAAAACAAAATTGGGCCATTCAGTTTCAAGACGTGCATTTTTTATGTCGAATTTTTCCCACTTGTACGTTTTTTTCTTGAACTCGTCATAGTGCCTTTTAGACAACAATCCTTTACGCAACTCTGACAGTGGGATTTTGTCTTCATCTTCCCATTCGTCGTCGGAATTATGCGCGAACAATTCGGCTTCTACTCAAAGCTGAGCAGTTGGTAAATTGTTGACGTCGACAACGTCCTCATCGCCCGAATCTTCATCGCTTAAAACTTCGCAGTAGTTAGTTGGTGGCATAATTACAATATCCACTGGATTGATACCGAGGTCGTCTTCGTCTTCTTCCAAGACCGAAAGAAGATCAGCAAGCGTGTCTCGCCTAAAAAAATGCAGTATATTGGCCCACTGTCCTTCTAGAAGGACACCCGTATTTCCACCCACGTGGACGCAAACAAAATGCAGATATGAACATAACCTTATTTTAATAATGTAATGACACTATTTATTAACTAATTTTAAAACCCTACTGGATGATTATGCCTTCCAATTTTAAATAAACTTACCCGCTTATTCTGAAGTCGTAGTGAACATCCATAGCGCTTACTAAAACTCAAATATTCACAAAAAAAACGTTCAAAAAACGTATTGGTTCATACTAAACATACAGTTTATAGCTTAAACACGAAAAATAACATAATTCCATCTAACGGGAACCGTCTGATTTATGATAAGCGTTGTTAAAATAGAGACCTGTAAAATGTCCTTCTAGAAGGACAGTGGGCATATCTGGGTTAATTACAAGAAGAGACACATTTTATTATTATTTTTTTAATTTTAAAACCAACATTTTTTGATCTGATTTTTTTGGCAGTTACTGTTAGAATTTGTAGTTTTTTGTCAATGTTTCAATATTTTGACATATTTTTTCTTATGTATTTAATACATGGATAATGAATATCCTAGGAACAGCTTGCAATAATGAGCTGTATCCATAGAAGAAGCATAATAATTATTAGTTTATAAAACATACATTACAAATACAAACATTTTAAACACAACAATAGAGCACATAGCGCCTATTTTTTTTATTTAACAATGAATAAAATTTATAATATAGTTAAATGTTATAGACTACTAATTAACTGTTAACAAGAACTCAATAAAAAGCATATAAATTTTGGTTAAAAAAAACTGTCCAATAATTTCTTAAATTTTTAGGCAAATATTGAGTCAACAAAATTCTTATTGTATTATATAAACCAAGTTTTACCACAGTGGGATTCTATTGGTAGTCTCCCTGATGGAGATAAAATTCAGTTGAGGTTATTGAGACAGCTTGCAGAGCTTAGCGCCCATTGTGGCAACATTGATAATATTGCCGAGATCCTCGAGAAAATATTTAACAAACTAAAGGTAAGTTTTCCTAAAGATACCATAGAAAGTTTCAAAGTTTACATTTCAAAGTTTACCTGATGTAATTTTTTTCTCTTATCGATGTTTCTGTATTTAGGAACATTGTATACAGGATGGTTTGAACTGTATTCCAGAAACTTCAACAGCATATTCTGCAGATAAAAATATGTAAAAAAGTTTGTATAAATGTATGTCCTAAAATGCTTAGTAGATACAGGGTGTAGAAATTTCATTTTTATTTTGATTTTTTCCAAATAATTTCTGAAGTAACGTCAATATATAGTGTCTGGTAGTTTTTTGACATGAGAAATTTGATTTTGATTTTTATGATGACTCCAATTTGTAGGGGGCGCCACCGACATGTATTTTAACTGTTTTGAAGAGTAATAACTTTTCGTTCGTACCTGTATAAAACCCCTGAGTGAAAGAATATACATTTCCGTGATTTTTTACATAAAAAAATGTATATATTTTATGTAATAGAATAGGAACAGTCAATACATGTCATTATTGACAAAAAATAAACATGTTGAGTAGATAGTTATTTCACTAAAATTATAAATTTCGAAACTTTTTAATTTTTTTAAATTAATCATACGCGATTTTTACCAAGATACCTTTTTCACGTAGGAAAAGTCGTAAATGTATATTTTTTTACTTAGTAGTTTTATACAGGTACAGACGAAAAGTTATTACTCTTCAAACCAGTTAAAAAATATGTAGGTGGCGCCCTCTACTAGTAGGAGTCATATTGACATCAAAATCAAATTTCTCATGTCAAAAAACTACCAGACACCAATTTTTATCCAAATATTGACGTTACTTCAGAAATTATTTGGAAAAAAATCGAAATAAAAATGAAACTTCTACGCCCTGTATCTACGAAACTAAACATTTTAGGACATACATTTCTACGAACTTTCTTACTTATTTTTATCTGCAGAATATGCTGCCGAAGTTTCCGGAATACAGTTCGGACCACCCTGTATAGTTAAAATAATTTTATAGGAATATATGCCACTACCACCGGAAGATGTGAACCTGAACGATGTACCAAATCTGGATTTTACTAGCGTTGAATGTTTGTTATACACTTTTCATAAGCTAGCGAGGAAGTTTCCGGAATTTCTAATAGGAGATCCAGACTTGTTAAAAGATTTCCGATCAAGACTGCAGTATTTCTCCAGGGGCGTGCAGGGATGTAAAAGGGGTCTGGATAATACTCTCAACTCGAAAAAGGAAAACTTAACCGAAGATGATCAAGAGAAAATCAAGCTGGCGCCCTCGGTTTTAGATAATATCAATAGCATTATTAAAGATCTTTTTTATCAACCCCCCTTGTACAAATGCAACGTCCAGTTGTCTTTTAAAAAGGAACTTAAACAACCAAAGGTAGTACTAAAAGAATATACTGATCAAGATGGTGGATTTCTAACTAATATATATTTTAAAGATAGCTGAAAAACCAACCGGTGCTCTAAAGAGACATATTCCAATTACGTTTGACTCGAGCAATGGTACCCCAAATTCAAAACAAGGAAGGACGAACAAGAGCGGCGAAGAGAGGAAATTGTATGCACCACCTAGTGGTAAATTTAGCAGTGGCTTTGGTAAGTTTTTTATCTATAAGGTGGTTTCTTTCAAAGTTTTTTTGTTGGTACTAAATAGATGAATTAAAAAAAGTTATGTTATGTATATACGGTAATCGCAAAAAAAATTCCGATGCACGTGATCAACTTTGAGTGACAAGCGATGGCGACAGCGCTGCCAGATTGTGATGGATTTATGAGATGAATCTTAACGTAAAATTGGGAAACAATATAATGTATTATATAATATTTTAAAGATTTTCACGTTTTATTTTTAACTTAATAATTAATATTTTAGTAATTATTAATTGGTTTATTTGTTTTATAGCTTATTTTACTTATTACATATTGGCAAAAACTAGTCCATTATGAAGTTTATTCTAAGCGTTAATATAGGTTATTTATTTATTTATTTATTGATGTACATCTTACAACGCTATAAGTGGTAATAACAAGTAAGAGGGTGCTATTAATGCACAATCTAATAATCACAGAACTTAATAAAAACTGACTTTGAAAGTGGTATAATGTGCTTATCAATCAAACTTACTTTTTTGACTGCAGTCAAGGGTAATAAAGGACCTTTATTGTCACGTTTTCGTTCAAATTTTTATCAGGGAAGCTACAAGCTCTTTGCTTCGACTGTTTAAAATGCTTCGGCATATTTTCAACATACAATTTCAAGAAATGCAATACAAAAACTCGAAAATTTTGTTCTTAAAAGAACTATTTGTACTTAAAAGTGCAATTAAAAAAAGTATGAAAATAGGCAAAAAAAACGAGAATTGCTCACAAAGATTCAACAACAACACGACATTATACAAAATAATGACTCACATTAAATTGTCAAATAATAAAGGACAACATTGCTGAACACGGCGCAATGTGACCAACCTAGCTATAATAAAATTCGGTTCAAACTAATTTTTGCAGCTTTAATCTAAATAAAATATCTGTTACAATCATTTGCTCTATAAAGTAAAATGAAGAGCTGCTCGGTATCTTAAATTATACAACAAATTTAAACATTTTTGTCAACATTTCATTTAGTCACGTTTATAGACTTTAACGTCAATGTCGATGATATGATTGATGACGTGCATCGGAAAATGTTTTGCGATTACAATAGTTTATTTTTTTCTACCCACATTTTCCTACAAACGTAAAAAACCGGCAACACTGTATGCCGCTTTTGATTTTGTCTCTCTGTCTGTCAACAGCTCATTTATATTATTCTCTGTCACACGCATTAAAATCCAGACCACATAAATTCGATGACCAGCAGGGTATATATCAGGGTTGGCATGATTTAAATCTGTAGAATTGTTAATGTTATCGGTATCGGGCAGAGTTATGAAGATTTAGCCATTAAGGATAGGACTTTAATTGGAAATAAGTCCTAGTCATTTGGAAATCCGATTTAAATATTGTTTTGAATTAAAATCAAAAAAATCTGATTTATATTAAAAAATCGGATTTTTTTTACTTTTTTTTAAAAAAAAATCATGTTTTTTCCAACCCTGGTATATATTCTATGTAATAACCTGATTTACAGCTTGATATTAATTTTTCTTTGTCATTTTTTCCTTCCAGGCAGATCCAGCAATCGCGGAGGATGGAACAGGGGCAGCGGTGGTAACAGAGGACCAAGAAGCCACAGGGGAGGAAGCAGGAATTGGAGAAACTAGCCCGGAAATGGTAGTTTCACAGGTGGGTATTATAAAGGTCACATATTCTTGCGTTGTATATAAAACAAGTTACAAGTAGCAAACGTTTAAAACAGTTAATCTCAAAATTAGTAAGTTCTTTATTTAAGTCCGATTTTTGGTGAGAATATTGACCTATTCTTCAGTTTTCACTTAGGTAATCATTAGCAAGCGCCGTTCGTTCTACACTTTACACAGATTTAATATTTTAATATTTTTTTTTAAGAAATAAAATGTTTGTATAATTTTGATTTTTTTCTGATAAAAATTCCTTGTATTCGATTCCCGAAAATAAATTTCAATCTTTAAATTGTTCTTGTTTTTTTTTGTCGGCGTAGAAAATATTGTCAAGAACATATAAAATAAGGTTGTATTTCGTTTCAAATGTTTGTTTATTATTGGTTATGTTTTCTGTTGTGTTTCTGCATGTTCATGAAAAAGCTATATTATTGTCACCAAATTAATCAGAGCAAAAAAGAGCTATTTTTTTTTGGTTTGTATGTCACTCAGCTGTCATTCAATGTCATTTGTCTTGCAGAAAAAGCTTGAATTGTTTAACTATATTAGTGATGGGTTGTTATTTAACTATCTGTTATTTTATAACAATTATTTAGAAATAACATAACGCAACCGTTACTGCTTTTAAAAAATAACAGATATAAAATAACGACACGCAGAGATCGAGTGTTCGTGAAACGAAGTCGGCGCTCTGCACCGCCACGAAATTCGATGCTGCTCGAAGCAATTCCAAAAAACAACTAGTATGGATGGAAAACCTATTATTTCGACAACCATCGATACAGGCGGCGAGATACAACGGACAACGGAGTGGGGTATGCGCTACGGCGCGGCGCGTCGTGTTGGGCTGACAACAGCTTAAAAATAATAGGATATAAAAGAAGCAGCTTTTTTGAAACAGTTGCGGGCATAACGCCTGGCTGTCGAGATAACAGGAGTGGGAAAGGAGCGCTGCTGCATCGGTCGATTGTCGATGGAGGCTCGCAACGGGTTGGAGAATAACGCATCAGTTGTTTTAGCTATGTTGTTTTTTTACCTGTTACGAGCATAACAGAACGGCGTTCGAGATAATCGGAGGTTTGAAACAGGTTGGAGAATAACGCATCAGTTGTTTTAGATACATATTGTTTTTCAACCTGTTACGAGCATAACGGGCGGAGGTCGAGATATTATGGCGCTGTATGTTTCAATACTTTGTTATTAAGTTTCAATATTTAAGTATTTATTTATTCTGAAAAATTTTCAGAATAATATTTTAAGATTTTTTAAAAATGTATACAGGGTGTTTTGAAAAATCTGGTCATTGATTAATCACGATCCTGCTTAAAGCCCTTGACGTAAAAAGCTGATTTTTGGAAAACGGATTGACTTTAGGGTGTAGAGGTGCGATAAGAAGGGATTTTTCGAAACTCAAATTCTAAGGGGGTGAAACCACCCTCAAATATTAGAATATTTTTTATTTAAAAACTGGTGAGTTTTTCGAAAAAACTCTTAAACACGTATATTTTATTTTGTTGTTTTACATATTTTGAGATTTTTACAAAATATATACAGGGTGTTTCATAAAATATGACCACTGAGTAATCACTATTCTGCTTAAACTGCTTGACGTTTAAAGCTGATTTTTGGTAAACGGATTGACTGTGGGGTGTAGAGGTGCGATAAGGAGGGGTTTCTCGAATCTCAAATTCCAAGAGGGTGAAAACGCCCCTCAAATATTACAATATTTATTATTTAAAAAACGGTTAGTCTTTCGGGAAAACGATTGGACACGCATAATTTATTTTGTTTTTTTACATATTTTGAAATTTTTTAAAAAATAATACAGGGTGTTCCAAAAAGTTGAGTAATTGATTAACCACGATTCTGCTTAAACTGCTCGACGTTTAAAGCATATTTTTGGCAAATGTGAGAAAATTTTATCCAGTTTGTATGTTAATGGAAATTCTTGCTTTGCTTTATCATCACCATTACAAATTAATAATTCGATGCGAACGAAGTCGCGGGTACAACTTAACAAGTATAGCTAGAGACGTGAGAAATATAAAATAAGAGACGCCCCCCGATGCGCAGTGGACATCCCACAAATTTGCTTCAATCAGATTTTTCGTAGCGTAACTGCATCTCTCTTCCGCCGAATGCGTTCTCTCTCTATCGTGTGCGCGACCGGTGCTATCCCCAAGTCTCTTCCTATATTTGTCAAACTGTACATGCTAGTTTAAGTGTAAAATTAATTCGAACTCTAGTGTGTAGTTGGTTTACTTATGAAGAATATACTACACATTTTCTTATATTGCTATTTTTTGACCGCAAATGGTAAAATCATAACGAAGAGCTTCTCGCCCGTCGAGTGAGATGCACCCTGTACACTGCTACGCAATTCAGAATCTACGCGGATCGAGGGGTAGGGCGTAGGTAGATCGGAATTTATAGATATAGACGAGTGGCGGCATTTTGGCTTTTTTATATCGCAATTTGTAAACAGCGCTTATTTGTAAACAACCCCCGTTTTTAGAGAGGTATTTTAGATAACAATCGATATTTAGAAATGTTATGACACCCTGGAAATACTACCACCGAGCACGTCATTGTTGCAACTGCGTTAATACGCCTGGCGGTGACCGCCTCATATTCTTTCAGATATTTAGCAATAAAATAAAGAAACCTGTTATTTTTAAGCTGTTATTTTAAGCTGTTTTTTATAAATAACTATAACAGTTTCAACTGTTATCTAAAAATAACAGTTTTGCCCATCACTAATTTCGTTTCAAATGTTTGTTTATTATTGGTTATGTTTTCTGTTGCGTTTCTGCATGTTCATGAAAAATCTATATTATTGTCACCAAATTAATCAGAGCAAAAAAGAGCTATTTTTTTTGGTTTGTATGTCATATTTGTTGTTTGTATGTGTAGCTGTCATTCAATGTCATTTGTCTTGCAGAAAAAGCTTGAGTTGTCTAACTATATTAGATACCAATTAAATTTTTAGTTACGTAGTCGAGGACGCGATTTTTAAAATCATTGTTGCCACCCATGGACATATTCGGCGCCTGGCTGTCTAACTGGAATTTAACTTTTCCGCTGTGGATTCAGGCTCTAGTTCTGCTGTAAAAAATGTCAAGTTGCCACATTTATTTATTTATCTCCTGATAATTGTCATTCTTTTTGACACTTTAGTTTTGTATTACGAGTTTTTGGTTTAAATGAATTGTTTTGTGATATTTTAAGCTTAAAATGGTTTACTAGCAGTTGAACACTGTTCTTTTTAGAAAATTTTTTAGTGCGAGTTGTACAAGAGAACTTAATAGCCGTAAAAAACTCGTCGCAAGTTTACTAGAATATTTTAAACGGGAAAGAGGTAGTAAAGGTCCTTTATGTCTCTTAAGTGTTGTTAAGAAGGTGAGTTTTGTTGATGTAAATAATACCTGTTTATATACAGGGTGGCGCACCTCATTCGCCTCGGTTGATTATACGAAAACGGAAAGATCTAGAAACAAAATATTTTATGGGTATATGTGGGGACGGAATGTGCACAATTTAAAATTATTTTGAAATGTACAGGGTGTTTCAGAACTAAGATCCATACCAAAGATATATTTTTTCTTATGAAACACCCGGTATTTTATTTTATTTTTGGATTCTTGGACCCAAAAAAAGGTATTTATTATAAGGGTTTAATATGTTTAAAATCTTTGGTTTCTGAGATATTTAAGGATATTTAAAAATGCATGCTACATTAGAATAGATTATTAACACCCTGTATATTCCCGTTCAGAACTAATTCCTGCGCTGACTTTTAAGCCAGAGAAATAAACTTTACCGAAAAATTTGATTGCTTCGTTTATTTTTAATAATTAACAGGGGTATCAAGAATTGCTGGTCTATTTTAATTTATTTTACATAAAAACTTCGTTATTTCAAAAACAACACCCTGTATTTTTTAAAATAAATCGAAGCAGATTCAAATGCTCTTTCAAACTGTATTAGGGTTTCCTATACCTATCTAGCTCAGATTTTGAATAAAAAGCTATTTTTCAATAAAATGGCAATCAAGATGGCTGGTGTCGCCATGGCAATTTTCTAGTTAAAGTTAGTAACTCTTTTCAAAATCGACATTAGTTTATGGACATTATTATTTAGATCTATAACAGTTTACTTAAATTTAGCTGCAGTAGTTTAATAAGTAAGTATTCATTATTTTATCAAGACAAATAAAGCAGTATCTGCTGGTGGAACGAATGGATATGTTACCAGTGATTTTATTTTGTGAGGAAAATTGCTTCTTGACCTCAAGGGCTTATGCTCAAAGATATCCCAAATAGGAATCTTCCTGATAAGCTTTCCTTAAAAAAAATACTTTTTTATTTCGCAGAACTATGGTAGTGTGGTTTATAAAAACCTAGTAGGCAGAAACCTGTCGTTAGAAAATTAATTTGCCGTAATTGGTTCTTTTATAGAAAATCCATATAGGTACTTATCTACAAGTGAACGTAAAATAAATGAAAGAACTACTTCTTCGTTTTTCTTGATAGAATAATAAATACATATTTAATAAATATTATTTAAAAAACTACTGTGAGCAAATTAAACAAAAATAAACTGCTATAAATTTAAATTAAGTCCATAAACTAATTTTGATTTTCAAAATATGTAGCTACTAACTGTCACTAGAAACTTGACATCACCCAAGTAGCAAATTTTATTTTATAAAGGTTGTATAAACAGCTATGTGATAATTTTTATAGGATACCTCAATTCATATAACGTGCTATATGACCGTAATATGATAGTATTACAACCAAAAAAGGCCCATTTTTATACAACCGTTTAGTAGTATAGAAGTTCTATAAAAAGGGTATGCAACTCTTATGCAACTATTTTACACAGCATTATATGACTATTATAAAACTAGTTTTATTGTGTATTACGTGGTCACATCTGAGAAACAGAACAATAAAAACATTTGATCATTTAGCGAGGTACAAGAGTATTTTATTTTTTACCGAAGAATATTAGGAGCAAATTATATTTTAAGCGTGTCGTAAAATGAATCTAGAGGATGTGGATTATTAAAAAGGAGACTTTACTCGACAATGAAAATGGCGGGCCAAAAGGTACAACAAATATGTAATATAAAAAATCATTAATAGGGTTTGAAAAGTAGGGACAATTTTTGTTGCGCCGAAAATTTTACTGGTAGATTATAGATATGTATTTGACAAAAAATTAAAGCGCTTTAATTTCGATTTAGGTTTACGTATAAATTTAAACAATAAAATAAAATAAAATTTTCAAAAATTCTTGTTTTTAATTTAATTAAACAGTTTATTACTGTATGTGGGAATATTATCACAAAATAATTCTCAAAAAAAACATTTTACAATTTATTTTGATGTTTTTAAATTTGCTTCATATAATGGTGGCCATAGGCCATACAAAAATTCTGCCTTAAACATGGCGAATTATAATGCAACCATTTTATTATAAATGAATCCCTTAAATAAGTCTTTGTGGTAAAATAAAACGGTATAAGATAAATATCTATCATTACGCAGAATTTCCAGGCACTATAGAACTATTTTTGACATATTGAGATTTGTGACAAATGGATGTTGGCAAATCTCATTTGATTAGTATTTAAACTAACAAACATGATCAGGTTTTCATGGATTTATGCACGCAATGCATTTCATGCATGCCCGACGAGTGAGCGGCAACCTAAGGACTTGGAAAAACAACAATAAAACAATACAAACATTACTACAGTAAAACTTTTACATCAACGTGGCAACAATGCTTTGAAGAAGCCAGACAACCCGAGAGGTTTTGGCTTTTGGGAACCCAGGGAATTCTCGGGATTATTTGCCGTAATTTCGATGAGTTTTTTCTTACATGCTCTTTATAACTACCACTGCGTATGTTAACTTTTTTCCAACTTTGTCCAGAATTCATAATAGCTGTGATTGATTATACTCGTACGTAGATATTACTTTTGCAACAACAACAATAACAAAATAAATAACTACGTATACCATTTAATTTAAAATGAGGTTATATTATACATTACCAGTTTTATAATGCAGATATTACAGCGAATTTATTTTGTTAATCACAATTTTATCATATAAGGCTATATAACTAGTGTTGTATACAGCACCGTAGTTAACGCAAGAAAACATTCTATCATACAACGTAATACAACTTTAATAAGACAAGTTTAAGTAACTATTATATGATCTTGTGACTACTAGTTATATGAATATTATAGAACTTTTACATGGTGGGTATAAGAGTCTAATAAAATAATATGTTTGTTATCATATAGCATTGTCTTATTAAGTGTTATATCATACTAAAAGAAATTATCGTTTAATGCGTTATAGGATACGTTGTAAAAACTACTAGAAAATAGTTTAATATGACAACTTTTATTAAAAAACAGAATGGTCGAAACCAAACGCTTTTAGAATTTCTTTTTGCTACTTGGGCAGCCATCTTGGTTGCCATTTTATTGAAAAATTGCTCTTTATTCAAAATCTGAGCTAGATAGCTATAGGAAACCCTAATATAGTTTGAAAGAGCATTTAAACCTGCTTCAATATGTTTAGAAAAATACAGGGTGTTGTATTTGAAATAAGGAAGTTTTTATGTAAAATAAATATTTAAAATAGACCAGCAATTTTTGATACCCCTGTATACATTAAACAAAGCAATCAACTTTTTCAGTAAAGTTTGTTTTTCTGGCTTAAAGGTCAGCACAAGAATTAACTCTGAAAAGCAATATACAGGGTGTTAATAATCTATTCTATTGTAGCCTGCATTTTTGAATATCTCAAAAACCAAAGATTTTAAACATATTTAACCTTTATAACAAATACCTTTTTTTGGGCCCAAGAATCCAAAAATGAAATAAAATACAGGGTGTTCCATAAGAAAAAATATAACTTTGGTATGTACCTATCTTAGTTTATGTATTTTAAATAGTGCACATTGCCAGGGGCGCTATTCTGTACAATCGTCGGTATCGGTAAGTTACCGACAGCTATCGGTACGTATGGCCAATGAGCGTCGTGTAAATTGTTGTTGTCATAGTTTTGAGCTGTCATTAATAGGACATATAGCAAATTTGTACCGAGATTATCGGTATCTCTACCGTGGGGTTAACAAGGGCACGGTAGAGATACCGATCCTCGTCGGTACAAATTTGCGATATCTGTCATAGGACCGATCGGTAACTATGACAACAACAATCAACACATGTTTGCTATATACAAATACGTACTGATAGCTGTCGTAACTTACCGATACCGACGATTGTCGATGCCGTGTACAGAATAGCGCCCCAGCCTACATATACCCATAAAATATTTTGTTTCTACATTTTTCCGTTGTCGTATAATCAACCGAGGCGAATGAGGTGCGCCACCCTGTATTTATAATTAATTTATTTTTGTTTCCTAAAATATTTTGATTAAATGAAAATATGTAAAAGTGGGCAACGCTGTGGCGGCCAAGCTTAATCACGTGGCTAATGGTGCGTTTAGACTTGAGCACGCACGAGCTGAGCGTGCGCGCACGGCATTCGTTCGCGCCCTCGGCTCCGTTCAAATTAAAAACTTATTTTTCGACGAATGAAGTGATCCATTTGTGCGCGCACAGCAGAGTTGTGTTGGCGAAAATAATGGACGATCAAGAAATAGTCGAGGCTGCAGTCATTGTTATGCACAGCTTAATTATTAAAAAGAAGACAAATCGAAAACATCGTCGCTGGTGGCAAGCCCAAATTTTTAGAAATCGATATAATTTACTGCAACAACTTAGTGTCTGAGGAGAGCTATGATCAGTTCAAAAACTTTACAAGAATGACCATACACGACTTTGAATATTTACAAAATTTAATAACACCAAAAATTACGGACAAAAGATACAAATTTTAGAATAGCAATTTTGTTAATATCGACATATTCAATATTAATTTTATTTACAAGGTTGTGCCATGCGTTATATTTTTTTTTTATTTTTTAATAATACAAAGAATGTTTGTTTTCCCATAATATAGGCAGCTTTTCATATTTGTCAATTAATAATAACGAAGATTCAGTGATCCCCTCCATAATTTTAATAAAGAAAACGAAAAAAAAATCAAACATGCACGCACGAACGCAGATAAAACAAATTGTCGGTGCAAATTGAGCGTTCGCGCACACATAAAATCCCTTTGAGCACGGACCAAAAGCCGACACCAGACGGCTCACGTTCGCGGCTGCTCGCGCACAGACAGATTCAGAGTGAGCGTGCGCGCACAGCCGTTTACACTTGAGCATTCGCGGAGGATCAGTGCGTGCGTGCTCAAATCTAAACGCACCATAAAAGTTTATTTGATATGAACTATAGATTAACAGTTTATTTGCATAGTAATGTTCAATATTTTTTTTAAAAGATTAATCAAGCATTAAAGTATAAAACTGAAAAAATCTAATCGAGTTATTTTATTAAAGAAAAAAATTTTGGGTGTGTGTTAATACAAAACCAACAAAGCTGTGTATTAAACAACACATTCCATACAAAAAGTCTATAAATAATAACTATTTCTTACTGTCAAACTCCAAGAAACTTCTTGCATTTTTTATTATATTTATCAGTATAACTTAGGTACAAATAAAAAACGTTTTAATATTGCACAGGAATAAATAAAACACAACATATATAAAACAAAATATTTTATTAATAACAATTTCAATAATTTACAAACACTTACTGAATTTTATACCTTTCAGAGTTGGTTAATTAATCTTTATTTTACTGTTACAAAACTCAATATATCTAATATTTATTATTTTCCAGAACGTCTGTTATTTGACGCAAATAATAACTCATAGATAAATGAAACAAGTTTAGATTGGAAAGTGCCCATAAGGACAATGTAAACACTATTTGGCGCTATTCTTGCAATTCTCTGTCGCGACCCAAAGCTTTTGATAGTTTGGGAGCGGTTCGGGTTTTTCCGGAATTATGTCGCCCAATATTGTTTATTCAAATTTATTATTATTTTCTTTTAATTTTATAAATAAAATACAGTGTGTTGCATACAAGAAACTTTATTTTATATAAGGACATGTATGAAATGCCTATGAAACATTGGAAACCGACGTTATGCCCCTATCCAAAGCCCCTATCCACGATGATTTTTGCAGTTCACAACACAGCTTTTTAAGTTTTTAATGTCACTTTTTCACAATTATCACGGGTTTGAGTAAATAGGACTTAAATTAAACTGACAAGAGCAATAATTTCCTTCAAAATAGACGCTTTAAACACTTTTCGCTATTTTTTCAATGAGGACGGTTTAAATTTTGAAAGATTTTATAATTTTTGAAGATTCGGACTTTGACAAGAGAAAATTATTTCTGTTATTGTTTGCGGTTGTCTTAGCAACGCTAGATCGCGTACAACGGTCGCGACCCAAGTCAATAATATATTTTGACGGGATTTCCAATCTAAATTTATTTCCTTTATCTACGTAATAACCTTTAATTTGACAAGAGATTGAGAAATTTCAAAAATCTTAAGTCAAGTTCATACGCATCTGCGTCCGTGCGTCGTGTATCGTTCCGTTAATCAAATTATATTGAAATATGATCTTTAATTTTTTAAATGATTTTTAATTATTATTAATTTTAATTTTAATGATCTTTAATTTTTTAAATAAATCAATAAGACTGGTAAAAAAACAACAAGAGATGACGGATTTATATATATTTATATATAAAAAATCAGATATAATAAAACTATTATTTAATAATCTAATGCACAAATTAAAGCTACACCTCGTTTAATCCAATGGGGTTGAGGTTTTTTCGCTGGAATTTCTATACTCAACACATAATTTGTTGAATGGCCAGTTGTTGACAACGTTCCAGCTCTTGTCAGTGTCTTGTATACTGGACATTCATACACGTTTGGAGGTCTAGTGTGGTTCTCTTCCGGTAGTAACCATATCACCGGCATTTCTGTAAATTAGTGATTTTTAGAAAATAAACTAAAAAAATTGTTCAAGTGCGAGTCGGACTCGCGCACGAAGGGTTCCGGACCATTCATTATCTATACATTAGACACTATATTATTATAAACTTTTTTTCCGATTTAGCTGAAATTTTGAATGCGCGTATAAGTAATTTTAAAAAAATTAACACATTACTAAAAATTGTATTAATCAATAATAAATATGTAAAAAGTAAAAATAAATATATGTAAAATTAAAAAAAAACGATTAAAAAAAGTCGCCTTGACTAGGATTCGAACCTGCCTTACTACGGCTCCAACGTCATAGCCGCGTAAAGTCCTAACGCTTTAACCACGCGGCCACCGAGAACTTGAAAGATTCTATGTAAAATTCTTACTTAAAAGATAATGTTTAGTGAAAGTACTTTTTTTTATTTATAAACATTTATTTAATTCTGTTTTTAGTATTTGTTCTTATAGCGGCAACTTAGATACATTATCTGTAAAAATTTCAACTGTCTAGCTATAACGGTTCATAAGATAGACCTTTGTGACAGACGGACGGACAGCGAAGTCTTAGTAATAGGGTTCCCGTTTTTACCCTTAGGGTACGGAACCCTAAAAATTAGTAAACAATTAAAATATCAATATTTTCGATAAACACGTGGACTGCTCACAAATACACGTATTTCTAAGCCGTAAACTGTTACTTTTCGTCTCGCTAGTTCGTGTGTCACGGCCTTGAATTTTTACACCCAACACGCGTAAAGAAGTTTCACTTCAAACAGATAGAAATCAAAAATTTAGAAAACGTAATATATGTAGATTTTTCGGGACAAGTCATTTTGGCTATTTCAGGAATAATGAAAATTGAATAAATATAAAAAATAATGTTATTTTTTACTCCGAAAATATTTATTAGTTTTTAGTTATATTTGAAAAAAAACAGCAGGTATTCAGAAAACACATTTTTGTAGTTATAGTTATTAACGTAATAAGGCCGATAAACAACAAATAACGGCCGGGCTGAAGTTTGTGAATCATCATAAGCAGCCAAGGCCGTTATTTGTTATCGGCCGTGTTGCGTTCTAGATTTTTCGTCATACTGCAGATTTTTTAGAGCAATAAACACTACTATTTAATAACAAATTTTATTGAACAATAACACAAGTAAGGATAAAAAATACATAATGTCTTATACTAAAATTCATTTTTCATGATAATGAACATGGAAATTAAAAGTGCACTTGTTGTTCTTAGAAATCTGTAATCCTTCCCAGGGATTTACAGATTTTATAGAAAGAAGATGATGCTACTGAAGAATGGCAAATATTTGTATCCACTAAAGACACATTATTTTTGGAGCTATCATGAAAAAGTTGATTTGTTATTTTCATTCTTTTGGAAACTGATTTTTCTATGTAAGTTTCTGCCACTGTTGAAGACTCCCATCCTCCTAGCTCCTTTAGCGATAGTAAATCACCACCATTTTCGGCGAGCATGGTTGCTGATGATCTACGAAATGAATGCCCTGTATAACGTTCTGGATTCTCCAAGTTCAAAAATTTTGCAATTTTCTACGGTACGCTCCCGGTGGTATGTATACCGACGATTTGCTTAACACACTTGCCTTTCTTGTAACCAATGAAAAATTTTGGATTGTCAAAGTTACGAGGACGCAGGTTGATGTATTTTTGTATAAACCATAGGCATCAAACGGAAGGCCCGTTTTGGAATAAGAAATTTCCTATCTTTCTTATTTTAGTATTTCTTAATGAGACAAGAATATTTTTCTCCGAATCTTCGAAATCATCAACTGTGAGTGACCAAAGCTCGCTGCGCCTACAAGCTCAAGAATACCAAGCACCAATACAATTTTTCGAGTAACCAGGTGTAATCATCGGCATCCAGTAGAAAATTATTTATGTCATTCTCCGACAGAACTTTGGCTTTTTTGGTGAATAACCTTCGTTTTTGCGCCTCAGAAACATGAACAGTTTACCAAATCTATGAACAAATATAATTTAGATGAGTATGATTAAATATCGAAGAATATAATGGCTTTTTACCTTGATATGTCGATGTTTTCATACTCTCAACGCAAGCTTCAGCATGGATATCTTTGTCCACAGTGATGTAGGAGAATACATTTCAGACATTCTTTTAGCATAAGCCAGCAATACCGCTTCATTTACGCTGTTTATACTTCTATCCTGCCGCCACTTCAAAAAATTGTCATATTCCTGCTGATATCTCTCTCTGGTTATAGTCGGAAGTAAATTTTGAGTAGCCGCAGCCGCTTCCTCCTGTATTTCCAACGGAATTTCTCGCGACATCTCGCTATGGTCTATTTTCCCAATTTTTGAAAAGTCCAACTGACAATAAATAGTCATTGTTGCAGGTGACAGACGTTACGATTACCTTAGAAACTTAACGGCCGCCGGCCGTTATGATAACGTCCGGCGGACGTTATATGCATCTTTTCCATTCTGATTTTGCTTATGTTATAATAATATAACAATATAGTATGACGAAAAAAAATTTATTTGAAATATTTAAATTAAATTTGCAACGTTCGCTATGTAGGAATTTTGTCATTTCGTTAAAATTAAAACAACTATTGGATTAAAAATTTAAAAAAAAATATATTCAGAAGAGATTTATATGAATACACTGCAATTGTGCAGTATATATTTCTAAACTATTCTTTTGACAAAAATAATTATGATACGTCAATTAGACTTAGGTACTTCAGTGGCGGATCTGATGTTTGTGGCATTAAATAATTTAAATCTCTACAGCTTCATTCAGAACTTCGCAATTAGTGAAATAAATTAGTGGTTTCAATTACACTTTATATAATCTACGAGCTAGCAACGTTTTCGAGAAAGTATTTTAAGACGCCTGGCTCTTTGATATATCTTTCACTATGCTCTCTGGAACAGCATGCGGCCCGTCTGGCTGCCGATACTCGTTGCCTTCACTACTGCGCATCGGAAGAAGATCCTATATTTTTTTTAATTTAGTCCTATAAATTCTAATACTGAATATAAGTCGAACATGTCTCCATAGCGCAGTGTGTAGAGTTTCCGACTACGAACCGAGGATTCAGAGTCATTTTATTTTATTTTCGTTTATATTCTGATAGTAAAGTATTAAATAATTCTGGTGATTCAAAAAAAACAAATATTTAATATAAGGACTAATAAAAATATAGGATCTTCTTTCAATGCGCAGTAGTGAACGCAACGGGTATCGGCAGCCAGACGGGCCGCATGCTGTTCCAGAGAGCATAGTAAAAGATATATCAAAGAGCCAGACGTCTTATAATACTTGTTTTTCCGACGTTGCTAGCTCTCGTACTAATACTTTTTAGTTTACGATCATTCACAATGTTTAAAAAAAACAATTAAAATTAACAAATATCCTAGCAACAGCTTGCGTAAGTCAGTTGTATCCATAAAGAAAGCCTAATATTTAGCTTATAAAACAATCAACTTTTGAGTTCTAACCACAATTTCAAAATCTTGACGGAAGATAATCAAAGGCCAAAATGACATTTCTCGCAAATTTCGAAGTATAATTAGTGGAAAAGTTAAAAGTTTGACAACTTTTTCTACTAATTGAAAATGCCTATTACTAGCGATGGGAACTATCGAATGAATTAGACTATCGAATGGTTACTGAATGAATGATTTCAACTATCAAATGGTTTTATTCGAATAAAATCATTCATTCATTTGTATACTAAAGCATATGTGACAACCTCGCCGTGCGAATAAATGGTTATCGTTGCGCCACGAGCCACGACTATCGAATGCTTTTGATAAATGAAATTTAGTATTCGTTTGATTTTTGTGTGCGTCAGTGCATTATTAGTTCTTCCAAATTTTTATAACTTCGCCTTGTAAATACTATGCTATTTTTGTGTTTATTAAAATATTTAAAATACTAAAATATTATAGTAGTTTTTTTTAATTGACTATTGTGTGCGAAGTGGTCAAAATTTTTCCGAAAATTTGTGTGATTTTGCGTAGCCCGATCTTTCAATTATTTAATTTTATATGGTATATTATGATTAGGTTAGCTTGCATTTTTTTAATGGGAAATTTTGAGAAGTAGCAATTTTTAAGAGAGATGAGATGAACTTACAATTAATTTTAAAAATACATATTTGTATTTTAGATATTTTAATAATATGAATTAGTTGAACTTAATAATCATATTTAAGTAATGTGGTTAAGTAAATGGTTATCGAACTCAAATTTTGGGGTGAGAAAATTAAATTGAAAGTTTTACACGTGCCAATTTAAAAAAAAAGTTAACAATGTATTTTGTTTATGCTAATTCTCTTACGTGTAGTTTTTTGCGAAGAAATATTTAATTTATTTTTTAAAGTAAATGCCAGCATAAGTAAATATTCTTTTTAAATACTAATATAAAGTAATAAAAAGTAATATAAATAATTTTGATTTCTAATTTTTTATTTATTTTCCTTCCATTACACTGCATGCTTAGAAAATTAATAAATGTTTATATTTCATGATTTTAAAATTTGTTGTTAATATAACAAATTAGTTCTGTAATTATTATGATTTAATAAATCAATGTTGCCACACATTTAGAGACTATATTATTTTTAAATAGGATCTAATATAAATACTTTTGACATCTATTTGTTGTTTATATTTTGCTACTACTAAAAAAAATGTTTATATTATTAAATGATTTTAAATTTGGTTGTTAATAGGTATAACAAATTATTACTGTTATTATTATTTATTAAACGAGTCTTTGCTTAAAAACATTAAAAATCATTTTCCTACATCCAAAATAAAAAGTATTATTGCAGTGGAACAACAGAATATTAATAAAAAAATGCAAAACATATAGACATACTATCCCTAACTAACTAATGCTAAAGAATAATATTCTTTGCTAATACCAACTAATACGAATATATGGCAACAGCGCCCTTCATAATGTATTTTCTGTGTAAATACTAGCATCTCAATAAAAAAAATAATGTGTCCTTATCTTTATTTGACTCCGCAAAAAATCAAAGATGCCGGCTTCTTTCATAGCATTGCCACCGACCGCTGTTGGGTTTCTAGAAAAGAAACCTACGTCGCCGGACGACAACGAAAATCCAGTTTATATTTTATTAAAATCGATCCTGACGAATAAATTAATTTGATAAATGAATGAATTTGATAAATGGTTTTTGCTGCCGAATTACTAGAATACAATATTTCAAGGCAGATGACGCATCTATTCGATAATTTTTATTCGAATAGTTTTCGACGAATGTTTTCTTACTAGCTATCGAATTATTCGAATGAATTGCAACTATCGAATGTTTCGATAGTATTCATTCGATAGTTCCCACTACTACCTATTACTAATTTTGACGTTCTGAATGCTTACATTGAAATTAGAGGAACAAATTCCTACGCTAATTGAAACCACTAATTGCGAGGTTCTGAACGAAGCTTAACTTACCTATATATAATTCTTTGGGATTAGATTCGTCTAATATCTTCATCGACGCATTCCATCTGGCTCCTTCCAGAAACAAACCCCAGATACAGCATCCATCGGACGGTCTTTGTTTGGGAAAATGGTCTAGTACCTTAAATGATGTATTATGGTTGATTCTACGTACGATTTTACTTAATACTGAAGCATACTTTAAATGAGAAGTTTATTGTATCTATGGATACTATATATTTCCTCGCGTAATTCTGTAACGTTCCTGTCAAAAAAGCCTGTGGAAAGTAAAATCCAGATATCCAAAAAATGGGCGGTATGCCTTGATCGATCCAAGTGTTTAGAAATTGGAGTCTAGCGAGTAGATCGGTTACCCATGCACCTAAAATATGAAATGTTAAAGAACGGAAAAGCTCACGAGTTAAGCTTCATTCAGAACCCCGCAAATAGTGGAATAAATTAGTGGTTTCAATTACACTTTACACTTTTTAGTTTACCATCATTCACAATGTCTAAAAAACACAATTAAAATTAATAGAATATCCTAGCAGCAGCTTGCTTTAGTCAGTTGTACAGGGTGTCCCACTAAGAATAGCTCTCGGCTGTATCTCGGAAAATATTAGTCGTAGAGCTTGCGGAAAAAATATTTATAACTAAAGAGGCTATGAGAAATTGCTGGAAATTATTTTCAACTTTGTAGAACGGCCGCTAGAGGGCGCAACTGCTATAAAAAATAAAAAAATTGAGTTTTTACACAATTTTGTCTAGATAACTAGTACTATAAATAATAGCTTCATAGTCTACAAAAAATTTTGAATATTTTTTGTTAGAACCATTTTCGCCTATCTACCAAAATAAAATGGTGGGGAAAGGTTCGATCTGTTTTTATTTAAATATTAATAACATCGGACTGGATAAACGGAATCCAACAAGCGAGGGCTCGTTTAAAAGAGCGTTTCTTCTCTATATTAGACCGTATAAATGATACTAATAAGCTTTTGAATGTAGACGCATGTAGAATGTAAACATTGCGCGTTTTTTTAAAAAAATTAAATGCGATAGTAAAAATAAAAAGTCGGTGAAAACCGCATCTTGATATCCTCTTTCAAACCAAAGATATTAGCAAAATAAAATTACACTAAATCACCACAATACACCAAAACACTTTTACTTTTACACTGGACGCGCGTTTCGCTAACCATGTTAGCATCATCAGCAGATGATTATAAACTAAGATAAAAAGATAAAGATATTAGCAAAATTATAATAAATACGAAAAAATAAGCTCTTAATTACATTATTTTTATAACGCGGTTACAATAGCCCTCTTGATTATGACCATTCTAGTAAAAATAAGATAAAAAAGATTTTTATATTCAAAAAATCAACAATGTACCAGTATCGTATTTATTATAAATTTTCTAATATCTTTGGTTTGAAAGAGGATATTAAGATGCGGTTTTCGCTGACTTTTTAAGCTTTACCATCAAAAAACGCGCAATGTTTGTTAAATTGTAAGTCCGCGCCCCCTAGCGTCTACATTCAAATGCCTATTATTATCATTTATACGGTATAATATAGAGTAAGAAACGCTCTTTTAAGCGAGTCCTCGCTTGTTGGATTCCCTTTATCCCAGTCCGAAGTTATTAATATTTAAATAAAAACAGATCGAACCTTCTCCCACCACTTTATTTTGGTAGATAGGGGAAAATGGTTCTAACAAAAAATATTCAAAATTTTTTGTAGATTATGAAGCTATTATTTATAGTACTAGTTATCTAGACAAAATTGTGTAAAAACTCAATTTTCTTATTTTTTACAGCAGTTGCGCCCTCTAGCGGCCGTTCTACAAACTTGAAAATAATTTCCAGCAATTTCTCATAGCCCCTTTAGTTATAAATATTTTTTTCCGTAAGCCCTTCGGCTAATACTTTCCGAGATACAGCCTAGAGCTATTCTTAGTGGGACACCCTGTATCTATAGAGAAAGCCTAATATTTAGCTTATAAAACAATCAACTTTTGATTTCTAACCACAATTTCTCTTGACTGAAGATAATCAAAGGTCAAAATGACATTTCTTGCAAATTTTGAACTATAATTAGTGGAAAAGTTAAAAGTTTGATAACTTTTTCTACTAATGGAAAATGTCTACCACTGATTTTGACGTTCTGAATGCTTACATTGAAATTAAAGGAACAAACTTCTACGCTAATTGAAACCACTAATTGCGAGGTTCTGAATGAAGCTTTAATTTCCTCAAACCTAATGGTTTCAAAGAAGGGTAAGCTTTGCTAGCCCATATTTGCGGAACCATATTACTATAAAGACTTAAAGACATTTTTTCTAGTACTTCTGACATGACCACCAGTCCTTTTAGTGCCTTCAGTAAATCGTTGAGCGTGATACGTAGTACCGTCAACAGTTTGTTATATCTTATAGCTTCTTGGATGAGGACGGTGTTTAGTGATTCTTCGTAAAGAACGGGGTACCTAAAAAATAATAGGAGAGCAAGTAAGGAGTTGTGTCTCTACAAATAGCACTGGAGTCATTCTTCATTATGTTCTTAATAATATTGAGAACACGCAGGAGCTATAATGCGTTTTTTGTTATTGTAGTCTATCCAACAGGAGGCAATCTCTGACAGTGACATTCGTTTCTGTCATTTTAATTCACAAATTATATTTTCTATCATATTTAGGATGTCGTCTGTCGAAATCGTCTCTGAGTTGTTGGACATACTTTAACAAACTGTACGCTGGATTATACCGTACGATCGAAAAAAAAAATGGCGTCCAGTTGGTTGGGAAATGACGATCGATGACATTTCCCATATAAATTTACATATAAAATGACAGCGATCTTCATTTCATAGCCATCGTTCACGCCGTTTTTTCTCGATTATACGGTATATGATTGGGTTAAAAATACCGGGTGCGTTTCAAAAGTGGCTCACCTCTATATCTTTTTCATTTTTTCAGAACAAATAACGAGATTTGGTATGTTAGTATATAACAAATTAGGATTGATTGACATATTCAATTGTTTTTAGTCACTTCCTTTTTGACCGGAAATGACTATAAATTTGGATTTTTAAATGGCACCGTCGGTATTTTTTTACTTCATTCGATAGAAAATGTCACTCTGAATAGAATGACATATCATATGCCAACTTTTGAAATACCAAGTGTGTGGTATAAGACATTGAGATATGATTAAAAATACGATTTAGGCATCTTTTAACCGGCCAGGACAAGACACTGAAAACATTAGACGATCAAATATATTTTTCCAATGTCACTAGATTAAAAATTAGTATTTTTAACATAGCCATGGCCCTCTAGATTAAAATTTAAAATCTAATTTTTTATTAAGCGATAATGTCAAAAGTTGACATATAATATGTCATTCTATTCAGAATGTCATTTTCTATCGCATAAAGTAAAAAAAAAAATACCGAGGGTGCCATTTAAAAATCAAAAGTTGTAGTCATTTCCGATGAAACAAGAAGTGACCAAAAACAATCGAATACTCCAAACCAAACCAAATCAATCCTAATTTATGTCATATACTAACATACCAAAATCTCGTTTTTTTATCTGAAAAAATAAAAAAGTTATAGGGGTGAGCCACTTTTGAGACGCACCCGGTATACCGCCGGCAGTAATTTATCCAGTTTGTAAAAATAAACATGTTTTCCTAACTTTTTCATTATGTAATCCAAATCAAATAGCGGGGGTAGTTGTGCCAAAATACTCTTCGCTGATTTGGAAGTTACTTCTTCCTGGCTAGCGGCCGCTCCGCCCACTGTTTTCGGCTGTAACTTTAACAAAGTCGACAGACATCTATAAGTTTGAGCCTGGGCAAACGTTATGTCAGCGTTCGGGTGCATGCCGAATAGTTCAGGGTCGTCGTTTATGGGGAATGTTTTTATGTAATCCATATAGTCGATAAACATGGACGTTGTAGGCAACTATAAAAAAATCAAATTTTGTTTTAAGGAAACTAGCTATAATACATACCAAATAAACTTTTAGTCGCGTGATTAAGCACGTTGCCCACTTTTATATATTTTCTCTTACTGGAAATATTTTAGGAAACAAAAATAAATTAATTATAAATATACAGTGTGACCCACTCAAGACCGGGCACCCTCCATAAAATCTGTGTTTATAGTCCGATTTTGATGATTTTTTTTTCAAATATAAAGTTTCAAAAAATGTACTTTAGGGCTCAATGTCATGTTATTTCACAAAAAACAAGGCCTACTTAATAAAGTTTTTGTGGTGAAAAATTTGCAAAATCATATTAGCGATTTTTTTTCAAAAAATTTTAGTACACCCCTACATTCGGCATCCCCCAAAACAGTTCTGTACCAAATTTCGTTTAAAATTATTAATTATTAATAATTTTGCAGTTAAATTAAATAATTCCCTATTTTTGCCAATTTAACGATGAGTTTCAAAGTAACCCTGAAAAACAACAATCCACGACAACGAGTTTTATTACAAACAATGAAAAATACTACAAGCAACACAACCAACCGAATAATAAGTTAAACATATTCAAAATAATTCTGAAGTTTGCTTCTACCAGCCCTCCATTCAGTTCAATACATTTGTCGCATCTTTTTCTTAGATTAACAGTTACATTCCTAAGCTGCTGTGGTGTAATATTTGCAGAAGCCTCTGTAATTCTAATACGTAATTCATCTACAGATTGAGTGTAGACTTGTAAACTTGTTGCTTTTAAGAAACCCCAAAGAAAGAAATCAAGGGGTGTTAGGTCCGGGGATCTCGGTGGCCACTCAATTAGCGGGCTATTTCGACCTATCCACTTATTTTCAAAATTTTCATTTAACCATTCCCTGACAACTGCCGCGTTATGCACAGGTGATCCGTCCAATTGAAATTTTAAATTCAAACGGGTTTGGCATGGTAAATTATGTATTGCATCCCAAAAGTCATTAATCAGAAAATTCAAAAACGTTGGACTATTCAAATTTCTCTCAAAAAAATATGGACCAATGATTCTATCATCAAGTATGCCACACCACACATTTAATTTCTGAGAATACTGTCTTCTTGTATTGATCACCCATTCAGGGTTTTCGACTGCCCAGAATCGCGAATTTTGAGAGGATACTACTCCGTTTGTACTAAATGTTGCCTCATCACTAAATAAAATTTCTTTTAAGAAATTTCTATTATTTAAATACTCTGCTTGAGCCCATAAGCAGAATTCTAATCGTCTAACATCATCTCCGTTTTCCAAAGTGTGTAAAATCTTTGGTTTAAAGGGTTTAACTTTATTAGTTCGCAAACATCTCCTAATATTTTCCCTTGGTATATCCAAATCAACACTGGCGCCTCTAATGCTTGCACGAGGATTGTTACGAAAATATTCTAATATTTCCTCATTCCGCCTATTTATTCAATGTTCCGGCCTTCTGTTTTTTAGTAAGTATTTTGACACACAACCAGTTTCATTAAAAACTCTATTTATTCGTTGAACCGTGCTTCTACTTACTGCAGGTCTGTCGGGATGTCTGTTGTTAAATTCTCTGGCAGCTTCTCCTGCTTGAAGATAGTTATCACCCACTAAACGAATCATTTCAATTTTATCCCTAATATTTAATTGTTCCATAATGCAAATAATATTTCTTGATACAACACTTTTCTGCGTGCTATTAAATTAATATTCAATTCTACGCTGCAAGAATTGACAGCTAATAAAACCCATTGTTGTGGATTGTTTTTTTCAAGGGTTACGTTATAACTCATCGTTAAATTGGCAAAAATAGGGAATTATTTAATTTAACTGCAGAATTATTAATAATTAATATTTTTAAACGAAATTTGGTACAGAACTGTTTTGGGGGATGCCGAATGTAGGGGTGTACTCAAATTTTTTGAAAAAAAATCGCTAATATGATTTTGCAAATTTTTCACCACAAAAACTTTATTAAGTAGGCCTTGTTTTTTGTGAAATAACATGACATTGAGCCCTAAAGTACATTTTTTGAAACTTTATATTTGAAAAAAAAATCATCAAAATCGGACTATAAACACAGATTTTATGGAGGGTGCCCGGTCTTGAGTGGGTCACACTGTATAAACAGATATTTTTTACATCAACAAAACTCACCTCCTTAACAGCACTTAAGGGACATAAAGGGCCATTACTACCGCTTTCTCTTTCAAAAAAATTCGAATACGGTGGCGATGAGTTTTTTGCAACGGCTATTAGGTTATCCTGTATACTTCGCACCAAGAGAGTTTCTAAAAAGAGCGACGTTCGACTACAAGGTCTGCTAGTAAAAAAATTTAGGCTTAAAGTATCACAACACAATCGCTTTAAACCAAAAACTCGCAATTCAAAACTAAAGTGTTAAAACGAATGACAATGTCGTTAAATAAATAAATAAATGTAGCAACTTGACGTTTTTTACAGCAGAGCTAACACCCGAATCCTCAGCGGGAAATTTAAATTCCAGTTAGTCAGCCCGGCGCCGAATATGTCCATGGTTGGCAACAATGAATTTAAAAATCGCGTCCTCGATTACGTAACTAAAAGTTTAATTGGTATCGCTTATAGTAGTAATCGACTTACCTGATAGTAAAGCTCATTTTGGTCGAAAACATAACCTTCCTGAACAACTTCAGGTTTATAGTAATCAGCTAAAACGTTCATTAGACATCTCCTGTCCCAATCGTCTGTAACTCTACCGCCATAGTTGATTTCACCTGCTGTGTATGTCAAAACCTAGAATTCATCAATTTATAAGATACGGATTAAACCACATAAAAAGTAATAATGATAGTTATTTTTATACAAGACGATAAAATGGTATTTTTATTTTTATGAAATCGCGAGTGAATTAATTTCGGAAGGCAATAATGCAATTTTATCGTCGTCTATAAAACAATATTTTTTTCATAGCGAGTTACGTTTTAAAAACTATTCAGAAATTATTATTTCAAGGAATTTTTTACGAGTAGAAAAAATATTGTGCTGGGTTGGCGTTGGTTTCTATATAATTTGACAAATAAATAAAGCTGTCTCTCTAGTTATCAGTTTTGAGTCAATATTTTTTAGTTCTCTTTCGTGTCGATTGCTAATTGAATTGGAGCCAGAAATGGCTCAAAATGAAATAAGTAAATTACCAACAGACATTCAGGCTGAGGCGACAAACGCCATATCCAAACTACTTCCATTTAAATCTCGAATAACTTATGAAAAGGAATAAAAAAAAATTCAAAAATGGAAGCAATTAAAAAACGTGCGAAAAGTTATAATAAGTTTTTAACCTATCCTTGCTGTTAAAGATCATTTAATCTACCCTTGCGGTTAAAGTACTATTTTATCTACTATTTTTGATAGATATAAGGCAATTTTAACAGTTGCTATGGAAAAAATCAAATATAGACTACTACTTATAGACTATAGTTCGTTAATCATTTTATTCAATGTTTTTTAGAGTAAAGTAAAAGTAAAGATTTCAGTTAACATCTCCTTTTTGCTGCCTGCGGCGCTATTCTGTAAAATCGTCGGTATCGGTAAGTTACGACAGCTCTCGATACGTATTTGTATATAGTAAAAATGTGTTAATTGTTGTTGCCATAGTTACCGATTGGTCCTATCGACAACAATAAATAATTAACACATTTTTACTATATACCATAGATTTAGTAAGAACAGATATCACATTGTGCATTTTAACCCGATCAAACAGTGGGAGCTTGACTACGTACTGTAAAAACCAACTGAGATAGAGAAGGCGACATTGCCACATCTCAAATTTGCGCCTATCTACTTAGTTTGATTTGCAGAAAAGGTGACTTTAAAACCTTCACCGGATATCAATAAATCTCAATTTCTTAATTAAATTAATAGTTAATTTTTAAAGAAGCAAGCGTAATAAAATGTTATTAACCAGAGGATATATGCGTTACTATTAAAGGGCATGTTTACTGTTTAATGTGCTGAAACGTCTAGAACTATTGGCAACGTCGCTGCTAGTCTTCCAGAATGAAATGAGCCGTCCGTCCCACCACCCCTCGCGACGGCCCTTGGTCCGTTATAGCGTACTACGTTTAGCTTACGCTGTGTTTGAAGTCGGAATCAAGTCCGAAGTGAACTTTTCAGTGTTTTTCAGTAGTTTTTGTTTTTGTTTAACGTACTTTTGAATCTGCGAATTTTCAGTATGCTACGAAAGTGTCAAATGTGTGGAAAAATAAGTTCAAATTACCCGAATTTGTCTTTTCACAGGTAGGTATTATTTCCGCCGTAATCGCCGTACATAGGCGTCCCACAAGGGAGCCTCTCACAATTAAAATAATTTCTAATTATATTTGAATTTTGATCTATTAAAACAAGAACGTAGTAGCCGGTGATTGAATTATAATTCGTCTCAATTACTACCTAACTGTTGTAGATCATAACCAATTTGAATGTAACATTGCATTTGAAACTTTATTATAAGCCAGAAAGTGACATTTTTTTTTAAATTGCGTCATATTTTGGTCATTATATACCATATTCTAAAGGAATTTTGCTCAACAAATAAACAGAGGTGTTTGCCCGACCTTTTTTACATTTTATTGCTTTATTATATCTTATATCTACCCCTTCGGTCTTGTTTGGACAATTTTTTACCACCGTACAATACAAATACCTCTTCCTAGAGTTATTTGTACGGTGTGTTTATTTTTTTTAGAATGGGACGAACTGTAAATAATTCTTAGGATACTAGTTTTATACAGAGTGACCCAGGCCTCCAAAAAAGCTTTTTACCTATTACGTTTTTGGTTTGTGATTTTTATTTCAATTTTTTACATAAGATCGAGGCCATTGTGACACACATTTTCAAAATATTTTTGTCAACATACAGGGTGATTCAAACCGCAATACATATCCTTAATACAGTTCATGTAGATTGGGACATTTAAATAAAATTTGATTGTCTGATGTAGCTACCTAAGTAATGGATTTGTAAATAAACGTAATATTCATTATTATGCGACAGAAATCTCATACAGTAGCACACAGATTTGATACTTTTAATGATAAATGCCTTCTATTGAGAGACTAAAAGGTAATTGCCTCGTATCAAAGCCATCATAATACGAGAAGAAGACCGAAAGTCAAATCTTGTCTTATGTTTTCAAAAAACACAATTTTCTCGGAATAGGAAGTTATTAATAATACAAGATTAAACAACTATTACACAGTACTTCAGAGGAAGCTATCGATTGCGAACTAACTAAATCGTTACTAATTACTAATTTTGAAAAGTTCTTTTTAAGATCAAAAAAGGTAAAACTAAAACCTAAACTATCATTTGAGAATAAACGGGAAGTTCTAAATAATGTTGCCTATTCTAAACAAGAAAAATGTATAAGTTTTATAACATCTCTAATTAAATTTGGACGAAAAGAATATTTCTGTTTGCTGTAGGTAATTTTCTCAGGGAAAATACGTAAATAAAAATGACTTTTTAAGTCAAAAAAAGTCAAAAGGACAAGTTATTCCAAAAAAGGACTGTCCTTCTCAAAAAAGGACAGGTGGCAACCCTAGGTATTTCTGGAATAGAAATTTAATGGCAAATCTACAACTTTAGTTTGAAAATATGTTCCGGCCACCAATGTTTACAAAAATGTCTAAAATGTGCTTTACCATTGCCTCCATATTCTAAAAAAAATTGAAAGAAAAGTCACCAACCACAAACCTAATATAGAACTGTTTCGGAAGCCTGAGTCACTCTGTAAATATTGAAAAGTTACTGAAAGTTTATATAGAAGTAACTGAAAGTTTAAATTGAATATCGACGTTGGAGCGATTTTCGAAAACTACCTACTAACGTTTCAACATAAGTATATGTGGGATATCAATTATATTATTATATTAGACCTTATAACAAAACTCATCTAACGAAAAAGTGTTAATGTAGTATATTAATATGGAGTAAAAATTTTACTAATTACTTTACTTTTACTTTACTAATTAAATTCGTTCCAAAAAACGATACGCCACTGGCCATTAGAACAATCCAAATGCGCCTAGTTGCCGGGGTCGGAAATTTTAGACTTCTCTGTCTCTTCTGTCCTTGTTTGACACATTGGAATGTTTGATACACTACCAACGAGTATTTATGAATGAGATGTTCGGCCTATCTTTATAATGTCTTTGCTATATACAAATACGTATCGAGAGCTGTCGTAACTTACCGATACCGACAATTGTCGATGCCGTGAACAGAATAGCGCCCTTGGGCTAATCTGGACGGGGCCTACTTTGTTTACGCGGAATCCGAACCGCGGTCCTCGGCCATATGATGGTCAATGGCCTACCGACTTGGCAAGTGTCTAAATCGACTCTTACTCACGAGATATCCGATCTCATCCGGCCTCGAACCGGCGCACGGTGGGGTATTAGCATGAAAAAGGTGATCGAAATTCGAAAAAGCAAATGTGTTTAAGATTTCCCCAAAAAAAGATAAATGATAAGTTAAATCATCTCTGCCATGAATGGCGTTGCTATGGGTGTGTTTAGTTGCATTCATTTGTTTCAAGGAAACGTCAAAGTTGTTACTTCTCACAGATAAGAGGTAAATGGCTAAATTTTATGTTTAAAATTATAAATTGTTGTTGTTCTTGTGCTCTTTTTACGTTTATATTATCGTTTTGATTGAAAATGGCTCAAGCAAGCTGCAGGTATGTATTCTACAAAAACGTATTATTTATTTTGATATTCTCTATACTAATTTTTTTTGCAACTAAAAGTTAGGCGTTCAGAAAATTTGATTAAATTTGTGACATTTTTATTATACTTAGAGATTTAGGTGCGCATTTCGAAGAATTCAGCATATTGTCTATATACGTTTTACTTAGTAAACATTGGGCTTTCATACAGTAAAATAAAATACTGCGACTTTTTGCGATTTTGCTGATAGAATGAGAAAAACATTCTTGGTTTCCTCTAATTTGCCAATCAGTGATATACTAATGCGAGGTGTAAACCGCGATGGCATTGTTGTGTACTAAGCGATCGCATTAGTGCCATTAGCAGTATAGCACAATTTGGCATTAGTAGCGACTTTAGTGGTATGGGCATTGCTCGCGGATCAGTCGTAGCATTAGTAGTAGTAGTTGCGATATTACTACTGGCACTGACCGTGGAAACACTGGAACAGTGATTTTTCTTTCTTTTTTTAGAATCGACGAATTATCCTTTATTTTGTTCATATTATTTCCTCTTTAATTGAAAATAGCAATAATTTATATAAGGTCTACATAAAAAAAAAATCGATCAACTATCAGTGTCAAATACCCCACTGTGCGGCGTGAATGAGCAGTGTAATCAATAGATGTTACACTTTTGCCTTTTTTTTGAACAGCACGATACAGAGTTTCGAACCGGTCACCCGTTCATCCACTAGTATCGCCTTACGTCGCTTAACTTCGGTGTTCTAATGGGAACCGGTGTTTCGACGTAGCTAGGCCGTTGCTCTCTAATGTTTTTTAATGTGTGGATACGTTCCGTTATGATGTATTTTAGTATAATCTTGTTAAATTTGATATTATACCCTATAGTAAATACCTTAAAGGGGATATCTATATATTCGAGCAAAAACATGTTCAATTGGGAAAGACAGATTTTTAAGTCTCCATCGGTAAATTCATAGGGTATGTTAAAGCCTAACGGTCCAAACTTCCTTCTTTCCAATAATATTCCGTGGAACAAGCAAAGAGAAAATGTCAGCAGTTTAAACTCTCCAGCCTTTTTGTGTTCTGATTGCATGAAGTCTGCCAAATCCGACACTTGATTCCTATATGCTCGCAGGATATTTGCCTTTATTCCTAAATAAAGAAACATTTTAACAACACCCATGTGATGAAATTATTAACGTGTTGTTTTATACCGTTTAAATTTACATACAGGGTGGCCCATCGAAAACGTTCCGCAAGGCATAACGGCCAGGGTATTTGTTTTTTCAAAAAATCCAAAAACACGTCAATTTTGTTTGTGAGGGGGACAACTTTTGCCCTAAAAATCTTCAACCTTCTAAGCGAGGGTGTCATCCCCCAACTTTTTTCAAAGGGGAAGGGGGGTCAAGTGGCGCCGCAATGAAAAGGGTTTTCTATAGCGATGGGAACTATCGAATGAATTAGACTATCGAATGGTTAATGAATGAATGATTTCAACTATCGAATGGTTTTATTCGAATAAAATCATTCATTCATTTGTATACTAAAGCATATGTGACAACCTCGCCGTGCGACCAAATGGTTATCGTTGCGCCACGACTATCGAATGCTTTTGATAAATGAAAAATGAAATTTAGTATTCGTTTGATTTTTTGTATGCGTCAGTGCATTATTAGTTCTTCAAATTTTTATAACTTCGCCGTATAAATACTGTGCTATTTTTGCGTTTATTAAAATAGTTAAAATACTAAAATAGTTATTTTTAATTTTATTTATTGACGATTGTGTGCATGTGCAGGTGGTCAACATTTTTCCGAAAATTTGTATGGTTTTCCGTAGTCCGATCTTTCAATTATTTAATTTTATATGGTATGTGGTCTATTTTTTAATGGGAAATTTTGAGAAGTAGCAATTTTTAAGAGATGAGATGAACTTGGAATTAATTTTAAAAATACATATTTGTATTTTAGATGTTTTAATAATATGAATTAGTTGAACTTAATAATCATATTTAAGTAATGTGGTTAAGTAAATGGTTATCGAACTCAAACTATGGGGTGAGAAAAATTAAAATGAAAGTTTTACACGTGTCAATTTAAAAAAAATTAACGATGTTTGTATTTTGTTTATGCTAATTCTCTAACATGTAGTTTTTGCGAAGAAATATTTCATTTATTTTTTAAAGTAAATGCCAGTAAAAGTAAATATAATTTTAAATAGTAATATAAAGCACCTAATATAAATAATTTTGATTTCTAATTTTTTATTTATATTTTCGTTCCATTACACTGCATGCTTAGAAAATTAATAAATGTTTATATTTCATGGTTTTAAAATTTGTTGTTAATATAACAAATTAGTTCTGTAATTATTATTATTTAATAAACCAACGTTGCCAAAAAATTTAGAGACTATATTATTTTTTAAATAGGATCTAATATAAATAATTTTGACATCTAATTTGTTGTTTATATTTTGCTACTACTTAAAAAAAATATTTATATTAAATCATTTTAAATTTTGTTGTTAATAGGTATAACAAATTATTACTGTTATTATTATTTATTAAACCAGTCTTTGCTTAAAAACATTAAAAATCATTTTCTTACATCCAAAATAACAAGTATTATTGCAGTGTAACAACAGTATATTAATAAAAAAAATGCAGAATATATAGACATACTATCCCTAACTAACTAAAGCCAAACAATAATTTTGCTAATATCAACTAATACCAAAATATGGCAACAGCGCCCTTCATAATGTATTTTCTGTGTAAATACTAGCACCTCAATAAAAAAAATAATGTGTCCTTATCTATATCTGACTCCGCAAAAAATCAAAGATGCCGGCTTCTTTCATAGCATTGCCACCGACCGCTGTCGGCTTTCTCGGAAAGAAACCTACGTCGCCGGGCGACAACTAAAATTCTGTTAATATTTTATTATAATCGATCCTGACGAATAAATGAATTTCATAAATGAATGAATTTTATAAATGAATGGTTTTTGCTGCCGAATTACTAGAATACAATATTTCAAGGCAGATGACGGATCTATTCGATAATTTTTATTCGAATAGTTTTCAACGAATGTTTTCTTACTATCGAATTATTCGAATGAATTGCAACTATCGAATGTTTCGATAGTATTCATTCGATAGTTCCCACTACTAGTTTTCTATTCTCTATATTTCCCCGCTTCGTTTTTAAAAATCGGTCGAGTCATTTTGAAAATATGAAGGATTGAAATATGAAAAGTATTTTTTGCAAAAAAAAACGCATAAATTGAATTAATTAAAAAAAATTACCTAATTAATGAAGCAAATGCTGAAAACGTTGCCCGCGAACCTCCATACAGTAATACAAATTATTTTCAAACCGTTCTCGAACATTCTGAAGAACTTGCGGGGTCACTTCGCGACAAACATCAATAATTCGTCTTCGCAGGTCTTCTAATGAGGCAGGTGGAGTGCTATACACTTTACTTTTTATGTATCCCCATAGAAAAAAGTCTAAAGGAGTCAAGTCGGGTGACCGGGGAGGCCACTCAACTGCACCCCTTCGTCCTATCCACCGACCAGGAAAGTTATTGTTTAAATAATTACGCACATTTTGAGAGTAATGTGGAGGCGCACCGTCTTGTTGAAATATTAGTTCCGCTTCAACGTATCCAGGATTGTTCTCTATGATGTCAGTTAGGGCTGGGTCGATGGTATTTTCCAGTAAATCCAAGTACATATCACCTGTTAGATTTCCAGGAAGAAAAAAAGGACCTACAATAGAATTTCCAAAAATACCAGCCCACACGTTCAATTTCTGAGGGTTTTAGGTGTGCACCTCGTGAAAAACCCTGGGGTTGTCCTCAGCTCAGTATCGACAGTTGTGCCGATTAACTACACCATTCAAAAAGAAAGTACACTCATCCGAAAAACACACGTTAAATAGGAAATTATTATCATTCGCCACTCGTTCACTCATAGTTTCACAAAATTGCAAACGACGATCAAAATCGTCTTCGTTGAGTTCTTGTACCAACTGAATTTTGTACGGGTGGTGTTTTTTTAATATCCTTTGGACACTTGTACGATTCACGCCGGTCTCATTGGCTAATTTTTTTGTACTCAGCGTACTTTCCATGGCAACTTCGCCCAATGCGAATACCTCCATAGCTTCATTTACTACAGGATTTTCCCTCTGCCTCTTTTTATTCATAACGGAACCAGTTTCGCGAAATTTTGCTAACTCACGAACAATTTTGCCATAAAGGTGTTTGTCAGGATGGCGTTCATTGAATATCTGCGCAGCCCGATTGCCACATTCATTATTTTTAAAGTAAAGTTCCATTATTGCCATTCTTTCTGCAAGTGAGTACACCATAATTGTTAAAAAGTTTAACGATATTGAAAAGAACTTCAACCGCTTCAACGCACAAGTCACAGAACAGCTCTCTAGCAACTACCGCACCTGATCGTTCAACCTTCTGGCAAGGGAAAAAATGCGTAAACATCTAGAAATAATAAGAAAAAACTGCAAATTGGTCGAAGGAATTTATTCTTATCCTTACTCTTATAAATGTTTAAATAAAATTTTCAAATTTCAATCCTTCGTATTTTCTCAATGACTCGACCGATTTTCAAAAATGAAGCGGGAAAGTATAGAGAATAGAAAGCTCTTTTCAATGCGGTACCACTTGACCCCCTTCCCATTTGAAAAAATTGGGGGATGACACCCCCGCTTAGAGGGTTGAAGATTTTGCAATCATTTTTGGGGCAAAAGTTGTCCCCCTCACAAACAAAATTGACGTGTTTTTGAATTTTCTGAAAAAAAAATTACCCTGGCCGTTATGCCTTGCGGAACGTTTTCGATGGGCCACCCTGTATAAAAAATTTAGATTATAAAAAATAAAAAAAATATATATTATACGATATTACTATTTAGAGTTTAAAATAGTGCGCGGGCAAGCGACAGCGTTCAGCGAATCAGATCGTTTTATTTGGTGCGTGCGCACGAAAATCCTGTCGAACGAAAAGGATAGACTTATACAAGATTGATATTCCTATTTCTTTTATTTGGCTTCACTTGCCACTCATTGTGTAAATGCGGTACTATTGTAATCGCAAAACATTTTCTGATGCACTTCATCAATCATATTATTTAAAGTCTTAGAATAATCTTCATAATGGACTAGTTTTTGCCAATATGTAATAAGTAAAATAAGCTATAAAACAAATAATCAATTAATTACTAAAATATTAGTTATTAAATTAAAAATAAAACGTAAAAATCTTAAAAAATGATACAATAAATATATATTGTTTGTCAATTTTAAATTAAGATTCATCTCATAAATCCATCACAATCTGGCAGCGCTGTCGCCATCGTTAGTCATTCAAAGTTGATCGCGTGCATCGGAAATTGTTTTGCGATTACCATAGCAATATATTCTTATATGTATTTGATTATACTATTGAAAGTTAAATACAGCTTATTTACCAGAGGGCGGTTCAATGGTCATCTTAATGCCATTTTGTAAAATAGAGACAGGGAAATATGGAGACGGTGTGGAAGTAAGCCAGATCCTAAAATCACGGTGAACAACATCTGGAAGGATGCTTTCAGTGATCCTCTCCAGACTTGGCATCCAGCTAGGTGCCAAATGACAGTTCTAAAAATATAAATAAAGAACAAATTATTATAAAATTTACTTATTTGGATAAGTTAGTCAGTTATGTAATTAATTAATTTCTATACAGGGTGTTTCAAGACTAATGGGAAACATTTCAAAGGGTTAATTTTGTCAATAACTGTAAACTTGTAACAGAGTCAATTATATGAACAGTGTGTCCCCTGATTGTCTTTACAAGAGGAAAAACTTATTATTAATGTTTTGAGAAAAATTTGCTTGTTCTAAAATAATCCAAGAAAAAGGAGAGAAAATTAAAAATAAACATGAAAATATAGATGAATTTTTTTAAGGTCTATAAATCAAAATGCGTTTCTATGGTAATAATTCTATGGTTTCTCTGTTATTGGTATAATTTTAATTAACGTCATATTTCTTGGTGTTTTAAAATGTTAAAGAAGCACAAAATTTATTTAGTTCAATACTACGGAAAGGCTGACAATATAATTATCACAAAATATGATACTTTAACAACAACAAGAAATATGACGTTAGTCAAAATTAATATCTATCAAAGGATGAAATCAAAATTATATTACCTACCATAATTTTAGCTTTTTGATTTTTAGAGTTAATGAAAAGGCTTGGAAATTCGGAAAAGTATAAACGAGGTGAACCATTTTAGAACAAGCAAATTTTTATAAAGAATGCATTTTCCTCAAAATATCAATATTAAAAAAGTTTTTCCTCTTGTAAAGACAATCCGGGACATACTGTATATCTGACCGAAACGTAACGATTTTTAATTAGGCTCTTTTGGTCATTTGACATCAAACTACAATTTTTCCCTTATTTGGAAAATTAAAAGCATAACTAACAAAACAATTTATTTATTTATGGTTTGACTTTTAGCTATCTGTCTAGTTTCCATTTGTCCAACTCTCAATTATTTGTTCATTGTACCTTATAATAAAATCGCAATATGTGTGTCCCAGGCTGAGCGTACATTTACATTACAGTTTTCTAAAGAACTACAATATCTAGATCGGAAATTTTTTGTACATCTTTGTTTCACAACGAGATCTATCGGCCTAAAATATATTCAATATGGCGACACACCCGGAAATACCGGAAGTTGACAGCAACTTATTTATTTTAAATGGATACCCCATTTTTATTACACACTTAAATGCTCTGTAAAATTTAATTAATTTTGATATTAAACACTTTATACCTAAGGTTAACCGTTTTTGAAAAAAAAATATTTACATTTTTTGGACGGAAAAAACTGCCTGTCAAAAAATTTTTATAGCCTAAACGCCTATCAACTGGTGACCGCAAAAGCGTGGTCTGGATTTTAATGTGCAAGACAGTGGTGTCGACAGCTTAATGGAAAATCAAATGTATTAAAAAGAGATAATAGGTATATTTTTTCTATGCGGTATTGCCGGATTTTGCATCAAAATTTCAAACCGCACAAGTAGGCGTTTATGAAAAATGTAGCATCTAGGATTGTAAGTTTAGTTTTCACAATTATTAGTTACTCATTTTACTGCTGTATTAGATTATATTTAACTTAGATATATTATCTTTATTTCAATAGTATACGTGGAAGTTTTTAAAATAGTTTATTTTTTCTACACATATTTTCCTACACAGGTAAAAACCGGCAACACTGCGTGCCGCTGTTTATTTCGTCTCTCTGACTATCAACCGGTCGTTTATACTTTGCCTTTATCTCTGCCGCATGCGTTAAAATGCAGACCACGCAGATGAAGTGACCAGGATGGTATAGTAGCAACCAAAGTTGGGTAACGACGCGACGCGTAGAAAAGTAATTTTCTACGTGTATGTAGAAAGGTGCGTAAAATATGTATAATATTGCGTAGAAAATGTATAAAATCTGAGAACAGGTACAAAATGAATTTTGTATATTTAAAGTCGTTTTTTTTTCAATTTAGATGTTTCTTTCTTCGAAGTTTTCGTTGTTCCTCTTTTTAATTTCACTATAGAAAGCTAATGTTATTGCTTATTATTTGTTAAATAATAAATAACAATTAATTAATTAATAAATAAATAACAAAAAGAGATATCATTATTTGTTTATTTCTTGTACCAGTCATTGTGATTGAAGTATTTGAAATAAATACAAACTCAAAAAAAAGAGTTACAATATACAAAACTAATTTTCTACGTCTGGACATGTAAAAAATGTCGAAAATTAGTTGGTGTAGAAAATACCCTGGTAGCAATGTCACTAATCACACAAAATGTACGCAAAATAGAAACCAGATATTGAATTTGAAATAAATCTGTTTGAGCTACTGTTTGCTGCCACTGAGAGTTGAACGACGAATCCGATATGTCGTGTCACTATTTTAAATCTATTATCTATCGGCGTCCAATACCGGAATCAAATGATTGGCCGTATTTCGTATAATCCTAATCAAGGCGGATTTTTCGATGACGCAATTGACGTTTTAACCCGATCGACTGCGTAACACAATTATAGGAACCGCATTCCGAGCTTTGGTAATCATATTTCGCGGACGAACCCAAAATGCTCGATCGGCGTAAAATTGGCAATCATTAGTGCAGTAATACTCGCCTGATTGATATGAGAATTTCGAGCTATTTTCCGAACAACTTTATGCGAGTTATTTTCCAAGAGATTTGAGCGACGGAACTTATTTAACTTCGTATCGAACGTTTTAATAACTCTTTCAGTTCAATAGGTTTAATAAAATACGTAGAAAATAGTTAAAACAGACTTTAGGTTTGCACTTAAACAAAATTCCCAGGTTTTTTTTTTATTCTAGGAGTTGTTAGTATTCTAAGAGTCTAGAAGTTTTTGATATGCTTCTTCTTTAATCTTGATATTGAAAGGTCATATGAGATTGCAATTTTTAAAGGGAAACACCTTTTTCTATAGAAGATAGACGAGAACTAATATCAGTTTCTGGAGCTCAATTTTTATCAAAAACATGATAGTGAAGGTGGGTTTTATTAAAAAAGCACATACCTAAAACCTAAGGATTTTGACATATTTCACATTTTGTGAAAATGAGAAGTAAATTTTAAATTTCGATAACAGCTACCTAAATTTTAGAAGACCTTGTATAGACTGATATTTAATTACAGTAACCATTGTATGTTAAACCAAATTGAAATTTGACCCGAAAAGTTATACAGGGACACACAGTTATACAAGACAAAATTAATATGTAACGTTGTCACTTTTCAACGCAAGTTGCTCCTTTATTTTAAATGGAACACCCAGTATATTATTCCGGTATTCAATGGGGAATTTATATGTCTTCAAAATGTTATCAAGGTTGCCTACCCCTCAGGCAAAGATTTTCCTAGATATTTTAATTTTTATGATTTTGCGTCAGTAGATCTTTATTATTGGAAAAATCTATGTGCCTGTGATATACCTTTTGTTAATTTAACAAAAATTAAAGATTGTAGAGTAAAATACTCAACGGTAATAAAAAGATACACGTTTAAAACATATTTTAATTATTACACAATTAAAACTAGATATAAACCTATAATTATGTGATAAAAATTAGCTATATGAAATCAAATGCTCAAAATGCTTCATTTCCTCGTAACTGCATAAAATAATTGTCTTTTCAAAAGGATCTTTTCATTTTAAAAGGCATATGTGGAGTTCTACCTCGAAAAGTAGCTGCAATAATTTCTCTCATGTTGTCGACAATAATTCGTCGAGTTTTTTAAACACAGTCTATAACATATCCCCATAAAAAACAGACTAATAGATAAAATCAGGAGCATTTAAGTATTCTCTTAATTGGTGAATGCACACTGCATTCACCAACTAATAGAATCATATCAATTCTCTCTAATGTAGGATAAGTTTGTATTTTCGGAAAATTTCTGTGAATTTTTTTTTGTTTTAAATGACAGCTATGTTGAAGTAACGTCAGACATATCACAGCCACCTAGATTTTATCAAATAATAAAGATCTACCCAGATCAAATCATGTAAATGAAAATATCTAGGGAAAATCTTTGTTTGAGAGGTAGGCAACCTTAATAGTATTTTGAAGAGACATGAATTCTCCATTGAATATCGGAATAATATACTGGGTGTTAATAATTCAATATTAAACTTGTCTCACCTTGTATAACTTTTTGGATCATGTTTTAATTGGATTTAAAGTACAATAGATATTTTCACTCCATATTAGGCTATACCTGGCAAATTCCAATTTATGTAGCTTTTATTGTAATTGATTTTGAATTGTTCTTTATTTCTAGAAAATTTTAATTATGTCAAAAGCCTTGCATTTTCGTCATACACTTCTCTTATAAAACTCACCTTTATTTTTCTCCCAGAATCAGAAAATCAATTAATATATAGGGTGTTCCATTACAAAAAAAACATGTATAGGTAACTTTTTTGGGGACACCCTGTAGAACTCTCTATATTTTTAAAAAGTGCTCTGAATTAACCTACATATGCTCAGAAAAATTAATTTCAATACAAACTGTAGTTCTCCTTGAAGCCTCCGCGGCGCCGGCGTATGAGAGGCGCCACACAGTGGTTCCCCTCAAGAACAGTTAACCATAATAGGACCAGGGCCATGTAAGTGAAATATTCAAAATGGTTCCAGCAAAAGTTTCCCAATTATGACGGGTGATGGCGCTTATCGTCACCCTTGAGCCCTAACTGAACTAATTGAAATATGACAGACGTTATCGGTAAAATAGGTATCTGCATTGCCTACCACAAAAGGCGGGCTGTTTAAATGTGAATATAAAATTTTATGTATTTTTAAAAATATTACCCCGACCAATCAGAATGATCAGTCTTTCTTGGACATTTGCCGGGGAAGTGTGTGTTAATTTCTGTTGTGATAAGTGTGGTTGTGTTTGAAAGTTTGATTTTTAAAACGGTTTTGATATTATGTTAAACTATTGTACATTTTCAAAGTATTGTATCACCTAAATTTATGTAATAGTATTTTTCTAGTTCTATGATCTGATATGTTATGATTTGTTAATGTTTGTTTAACAATGTTATACCAAAGAATTTATACTAATATATCAATTTGCATATCTTAACTTTTTATCAATAAACTTTGTAGTTATTCAGATTATTTAATTCCTTTAAAACGTATTTGTAATTTTATTTTTAAGACATATTATGTGATTGTTTGCAGATAATATGCTATTAAAACAGATAAAGATTTAAATAAGACATCAAAAATAATTAAAATAAAAGTGTTTTTACAAACTCCCCGGCCAGCACCCCTTGGCTAACCTGTAAATGTCAGCAAATGTTCAACACTATTAAATGAAGGCGCAAATTTATAGTCAGTTCGTTTTACGTTCACAGAGTTCAGAGATGGGCAATGTCTTTACATATCGAACTTGCTTTGCATGATACCCTTTCCTGGATCGTGTTCAAATCACATCATCGGCTGAACGAAATATTACATGATGATGGCAAAACACAGCACAAAATATAAAGTTCAAATCATAGAGAAATATAAGGTCTCTGGTTCCTCGGGAAATAAAACTTCGTCCATAATTTCTGTACGCACAAACACAAAACAAACAAAGTTTATGCTACACAAAATAATAACAAAATTGGAGCCCTAACTGAACTATGCAACATTATGGCCAAGTTAGACAACCTTTCAAACACTCTTTTATTTTCGTTAATATATTCTGTGAATAGGACTGCTCATTCAGCCAAAAGTGTCCGCCAGGTGCATGCGAAAACTACTCGCTTTGTGACGTCATTGTAGCCCTTGTCATTGTTATTAGTCCTTATCCGGCAACCAATAATACACACACGTTCATTATTGGTTACCGAATGCAAAACGTTCATTATTTAGTTTATTTATTTAAACACCTTATATGTATGCAGTATAGAAAATTAACTGTATAAATCGTATTAAATACTCGGATAATGCATTTTTAAGAAAAGCAGGTCCCAGCATCACCTTTTGCAAGCATTCTTTTTAGAGTACTTCCATATTTTGCTTTAAAATAATTAATAAACAAAATCGTGGGCACTTAGTATGCACTTTGTCACAATCCACAACACAAAATGAACGTATTTATACAGTCTATAGCTCTAAAAACTTTAAAGACACCTTTTTCACATTTAAAATTGACAAAATAATTATCTCAAAATTTCTCAGCTGTTATTTTTATAAGTTTACCATAGGCAACTAATAATACACACTATCATGACAAGGCCACGAAGGCTTTGACAAGGGCTACAATGACGTCACAACTGTCAGCTGAAGCGCGGAAAGAGACGAACGTACGTCTTATGAGGATGAGCAATCCTATTAGTTTACCGTTCTTGGGTTCCCCTTAATTAGCTGCGCGGTCATAACTGTTAGATATCTAGATATAGCTTGACTGCACCCTTTTTAATAGAAATTGATAACAAATAATGCTAAATAAATGTATATAAAAAAAATTAATGCAATATGTATTAAAAAAATTGGGCCCAGTTCGTGTGATTTGCAATTTAAGTTCTAACTATTATGAAAGGTATACAGATTATGTTTGCATATATGTACATGTTTTTTCATATGGAACAGGTCAAATTTATTTTAAATGTTGAAAAAATAAGAGACAGTTGTTTCATTTTATAAATACAATTTTATTGTCAATTGATGTACAGTGTGTCCACGAAATAAGTTGACACGAAGAGGAAAAAATAAGTTACTTTTATTTTAAGACAAAAAGTCAATCTTTAACAACCCGGTATAAGATCCGGCGGCAATTCGCGGCAGCCAGTGGCAATTAATTTATATGCAATATACTTTAAGCAACAAGTATTATCATGCCGTTTAAAAGGATTTGAAAGGGAAAGTAGTTAATAGTCTTAAAGAGTGACAAGCAAAAATGTAAAAATACTATTTTTGTTGCCTTCAAATAAATTACCATAAACTAATATTAGTTAGGTTTAATTAAGTGCAAAAAAGAAAAAAAAACAGTTCTTTTTACCTTCTTTTCGAACGTCCATTAGAGAAAAGGCAACAGCTTTTATCAATTTTAATAAAATAAGTAATTAATTGGCGTTATCTGAAAACTGTTTATGTCAGCTTGATACCAGTAGCAAAAAGGTGACATTTCTAATAAAAAAAGCGTTACACTAGGCTAACTTGATTTTGTTATTTATTATGTATCGTTTATAGGGGAATATAAGAAAAGTATTAGCAACAGTTTCATGCAAACATTTTGAAATTAATATTTCAAAGTAATGACCTATCTGGGAACCACTGTGCACCACCCTGTATTTGCATTTGACAAAAACAATCTTACCTGGAAAAAGACCCAGGACCCCGCCTCCGTCGCCTCCTTGATCATCTTCTCGGCCCTGGGCCCCTGTCCCTGACCGAGGGAGATGGACAGCAGCCTCTTCCCGAACTTCATCCTGTCAGCGAACTTGTAGAGCTCGGCCGCGGGGTCCGTGCCAGCGGACAGCACGAATATTAGCGGAACGACGCAGGAGGATTCTTTAAACATGGCCGACAAATCGGAGGATTGCGGCTCGACGAACTGCTGGCCTAGCTTTTGCGATAGGAAGTCCTGCATGCTGTTGGTCACTTTGTCCGGTCGGAGGCTCTTGAGTATCACTATTTTTTGGAACCCGTCTAGCGTCTTGTTGAACGGATGAGGTAGTTCTGCCCTGAATATACGATTTTTTGAGTATATTAATGCTCCACAAAAAATCAAATTATATAAAAATATTTAAAAGTAGTATAGTCCGTCTAGAAAGTATCCGGAAAAAAGAAAGCAAAATTACAATTATCGATTTATATTTTTACGACTTGAATTAAAAAAATTATAACAAATTATTAATTTTATTTACTTATACAACCTTCATTTAACTCCAAACACTTAACTAAAAGTCCAGGTACACCCGAAACTAGGTCCGCACCATAATAATATTCAGTGGCGGTAGTCTAGGCATGTAAAACTGAGCTTTCACTTCAATCTTAATTAGTCCCCATATGTTTTCAATGGGACTAAGGTCTGATGAAACTGCTGGCTATGGAATTGTCGCCAAATGGTGTTCTTGCATTCAAGCTTGAGTATAGGCAGACGTATGGCATCTTGCATTATCCTGCTGAAAACGCCACCCCTCTGGATATAAAACATGAGCCGTTTCAAGAAAAAACCCATTTAAAATAACAAAATATTTTGCACTATTAACAGTTGCATCAACTATACACAGAGGTGTAGCACCACGCTGAGATATTGCTCCCCAAACCATTATTTTAGTGGGAAATTTTGAAACTTGAACGGTAACATTTTCTTTTGATAGGATTTTTAGGTCGTTCACACCAAGCTGGAAACAACTTTCGTCAGAAATAAAACATTATTAAAATTATCTTCTTGAAAACGTTGACAAAAATCCATTCTTCGCTGCCTTTGTAGAGGTGTTAATGCAGGGATTTTTTTTGGCTTCCTTGATATGTAGTGTGACAAAACTTTCCAGATTTGTCCGTTAACATGGTAGTGTGGCCTTTATATAATTATAATTAAAATAATTTATTGAGCGGTAGGCAGAACTTGGATAATGAGAACACCGACTTTTCAGAGCGTAAATATAGTTTATCTTTTACATATAAAACAAAATATAACCAGCTAAAAATCGAAATTAAGGCATCGCACTTTTATGGCAAGGGCTCTTTCTAAATTCAGTTACTATAAACTCTATTGCCACTTACCTTATTACGTCAACATCCATCAGCAATACATCAACAACAAGAACCTGTCGAAGATTTCATTGATCCCCTTGTAGATCTACCTCTTCGGTCTTGGACTCATACTTTGGATTACACTCGACCGGTTATCACAGTGTTCTTGTAAATAACTTAATATTTTAGTGATTAGGTGAAATAAAGAAATAAAATGCCGATTTTTCACAACACCTAACTATATTTAATATAAAGAAATAAATAAATAAAAAAATAAAGAAAAAGATTTAACAACAAAACATTTATAATTAATGAAAAAGAAAGAAATTGAATCAAAAATAATTAATGACATTTAGAGAATTGAAATAAAAACTCAGAGATAATAAAGTTAAAAAAATACAAAATATTCTTCTTATTAGTCCAATTTAAATTATCTACAATTAGCATACACTTTCAAATCTCTCTTAGAATTATCGTTGGCAGAAAATTAATATATTAAAAAATATTCACTGAACAATTAAATTTAAATTAGAATTTAATAAAAAGAACAATTGCAAAATAATCACTTATGCAATGACATCTAAAATTTACTAAAGCCTTTAGAACAAACAGAAAGTCTTAAATCATTAATAAAGAAAAATATTAGAGAAAATCCAAAAACAACAATTAAAATACTGTAAGCATGAATAGTTTAGAATTTCCTAACTTGAGAAAATCTTTAGATAGAGAACTTACTAAAACAATTAAAAAGACCACTGGATAATATAAGATCTACACGGAGTAAATTCGACCGTCTAATTTAAAAGTCAGTACCGAACTAATTTTGAAGATCAAAATACTGATGCTGGTACTATCTCGGAAAGGCGTTACTACATCTTCGGCACGCCCCTGTTTGAGGAACCTTCGAATACCCATCCAAATGCATATTTCGCACCTTTTTAATTGGCCGAAGGGCTCCTTCCCCGAAAGATCCCTAGACTTCTTTCACCCTTGTTTCTGGTCCTTATCCCGAGAGGGCATCAGCATGTCCTATTTATTAATTAAATGTAATTTTTAAACCCTTCCGTGTAAATCTTACTCTTTTACCAATTTGCTGAATAATATTCATAATCTAAGCCTTAACTAATACAAATGATATCGTGACATAGGATTACCTTTAAAAAAAACCGCCTAGAAATGAAATCTTTATTTCTTCATTCGTTTAACTCATTTCTATTTAACTCTAGGAACGGAAAAAAAGATAATCCTATTTCTATCATTTTCAGACATTCATCTCGTGAACATTCGGATTCTGATTTTAAAACATATATTTAATACTTTTAATTTTAAATGCAAAACCTCTAGCGAGGGGATGGTTTAAGTTTACTTGTTTACTTAAGCATGTTTACGTGCTTTTTCTGTGTTGTTTATTTTCTGATATCCGGATGGTACACAACTGGTCCTACTTCGTCAAATAGAGTTTTGATAATAAGGGATGAATGTTTATTCTACTTTACCCTCGTTTGTGTGATCTTTAAACATTTAGAAGATTGTACTGACTGGTCCATACTTCATATCTGTGCCATTTTTTATCCTCTTTATTGTCTCATATACTGCACTTTTTCCGAGTTCAGTCAATTGCACTAATTTTTTAACGTTTCGAACACCTTTTCTATACAAATATTCCACCATTTCTCTTTTTTTACTTGCGACATTATTTTTCAAATCTTAAGCCGGTTTACAATCAACAATATTTGACAGATGGTGTTGCCATGCGATTTTGGTCATAGCCTACTATCGGCACAACCTACGTGATGGATTACCGTTTTCTCAGAGTGTTACAGAAAAAAAATACATTAAAATTAGGAAAAATATAAAATTCCGGATACTTTCTAGACGGACTATACCTTATATTTCAAGAAACTGTAGTTTGATAAACTCGTTAAATTTGAAACTTTTGTACTTAGGCATAGCTTAGGCGTAAAAGTGCTTCACTTTTATGCCTAGGCGTTAAAATGACGTTGCATAGGCTTGGTGCATTCTCCTCCGGTGCTGCCACCATCGGAGAATATCGCAAACAACTAGTATATACAAGTACACGGGTTTAAATAGCGAGTATACGAAAATATTATACAGGGTGGTACGAACTATATTCCGGAAACTTCGGCAGCATATTCTGCTGATAAAAATAAGTAAAAAAGTTCTTATAAATATATGTCATAAAATGCTTAGTTTCGGAGATACAAGATGTAGAAGTTTCATTTTTATTTCGATTTTTTCCAAATAATAGCTGAAGTAACGTCAATATTTGGATGAAAAATGGTGTCTGGGCGTTTTTTGACATGAGAAATTTGATTTTGATGTCAATATGACTCCTATTTGTAGGGGGCGAAACCTACATGTGTTTTAACTGTTTTGAAGAGAATACATAACTTTTCGTCCGTAACTGTTTAAAACTACTGAGTGAAGAAATATACATTTCCGTGATTTTTTACGTAAAAAATGAAACTTCTACACCCTGTATCTCCGAAACTAAGCACTGTATAATTATTCTAAAAGTATTAGGAAGTATAATTTGTGAAAATTCTAAAAATAAAAATAAAAAGTAAATATTTTGATATCTTTAGAAGGGCTAACTTGTATTATAAATTATTATTCCAGCTAAAAAAAACTTTTTAGATGAGTTCAACTGCGGTAGCGAGCATAGTTTTCATAATTGGGGATATTTCGGCTATAACGAAATTATTTGAAGGCACATAATTATAACTTTAAAAGATGCTCATAAAACTTTTAATCACTAAATAGTTGATTAAAAAAAGTATACCATTAATATTGCAAATTATATTTTATCCCCTCATAATTGCTGTCCTCGATTCGCGAATTTCAAGTTCCAGAGCTTTACGCCCTGGGCTACTCGAGAACGGTTCTGAAAGGAGCTGTGCGTGATAGCCTGATGCCTCCATATGGCGCGGAAAAGTTGAGTTATTGAATGTTATTGCACCCAACAGTCATGTAATTACGCCCTCCTTTATGTGTTAACATTTTTTCAACAATTTCATTAACATTTGAAATTATCACAACAAATGACGCCTAGTTTGAATTCTTTTTCACTTATTTTTTACCACCCGAAACAGCGTTATATCACACAAACCTCGTACATGAGTGTTTTATAGTTTCAATAACTGCACTAGAAAAAAAAACTAAAATATTTAAATATTATGACAAAGCCAATGATTTCAATATTATTTTAATGTTGACATTAAAATAATGAAATTAATGTTAACATAAACTGTAACCGGGACGGCGTGAAATACACAGCGAAAATTTCTAATTTCTGCCGTGTACAGCGCTGCGGTCGGAATTTTTTGAAATCAACTGAAATGCACCAATCGTCAATGAAATGCGTCAATCACGTCAATGAAATGTGTAATACTTTTGTGACGTTTGCAAAAAACTAGCATGTTCTTTTCTTTTACTTGCCTATGTGGTTCAGGGCTCTCAAATATTCCTTTGTAATTTTCAATATCCTTACTGAAAGCTAAAACCAAAGGCTTAAACGTTGGTAGGACCGCTAATGCTAGAATTTCATTCCAAGATTTGCTAGATAACCAACTGGGTGCAGGGTTGGGTATATCCTAAAATATAAAATTGCTAAGCTTTATATTCTAACAGTTTGAAAATATACCCTGTCCAAAGGGAGGATTTCTGACAGTGACAGTTGTGTCTGTCATTTTTTGGATGTCATCTGTCGAAATCTTCCCTGAGCCGTTGGACAAATTATACTCGTACTTAGCGATGGGAACTATCGAATGAATTAGACTATCGAATGGTTACTGAATGAATGATTTCAACTATCGAATGGTTTTATTCGAATAAAATCATTCATTCATTTGTATACTAAAGCATATGTGACAACCTCGCCGTGCGACTAAATGGTTATCGTTGCGCCACGACTATCGAATGCTTTTGATAAATGAAATTTAGTATTCGTTTGATTTTTGTCTGCGTCAGTGCATTATTAATTCTTCCAAATTTTTATAACTTGCCTTCTAAATACTGTGCTATTTTTGCCTTTATTAAAATATTTAAAATACTAAAGTAGTAGTTTTTTTAATTGACGATTGTGTACGTGTGCAGGTGGTCAAAATTTTTCCGAAAATTTGTGTGATTTTCCGATCTTTCAATTATTTAATTTTATACGGTATATGGTCTATTTTTTTAATGGAAAATTTTGAGAAGTAACAATTTTTAAGAGAGATGAGGTGAACTTACAATTAATTTTAAAAATACATATAGGTATATTTGTATTTTAGATGTTTTAGTAATATGAATTAGTTGAACTTAATAATCATATTTAAGTAAAGTGGTAATGTGGTTAAGTAAATGGTTATCGAACTCAAATTTTGGGATGAGAAAATTAAATTGATTGATTAAAGTTTTACACGTGCCAATTTAAAAAAAAAGTTAACGATATTTGTATTTTGTTTATGCTAATTCTCTTACATGTAGATTTTTGCGGAGAAATATTTCATTTATTCTTTAAAGTAAATGCCAGTAAAAGCAAATATTATTTTTAAATACTAATACAAAGTAATAAAAAGTAATACACATATATAATTTTGATTTCTAATTTTTTATTTATATTTTTCTTCTATTACACTGCATGCTTAGAAGATTAATAAATGTTTATATTTCATGATTTTAAAATTTGTTGTTAGTTAATATAACGAATTAGTTCTGTAATTATTATTATTTAATAAACCAACGTTGCCAAAAAATTTAGAGACTATATTATTTTTAAATAGGATCTAATATAAATAATTTTGACATCTAATTTGTTGTGTATATTTTGCTACTACTTAAAATAATGTTTATATTAAATGATTTTAAATTTTGTTGTTAATAGGTATAACAAATTATTACTGCTACTATTATTTATTAAACCACTCTTTGCTTAAAAACATTAAAAATCATTTTCCTACGTCCAAAATAAGAAGTATTATTGCAGTGTAACAACAGAATATTAATAAAAAAAATGCAGAATATATAGACATACTATCCCTAACTAACTAAAGCCAAACAATAATATTCTTTGCTAATATCAACTAATACCAAAATATGGCAACAGCGCCTTTCATTATGTATTTTCTGTGTAAATACTAGCACCTCAATAAAAAAAATAATGTGTCCTTATCTTTATCTGACTCAAAATCAAAGATGCCGGCTTTTTTCATACCATTGCCACCGACCGCCGACCGCTGTCGGGTTTCTAGGAAAGAAACCTACGTCGCGGGGCGACAACTAAAATCCAGTTTATATTTTATTATAATCGATCCTGACGAATAAATGAATTTTACAAATGAATGAATTTTATAAATGAATGGTTTTTGCTGCCGAATTAATATATTTCAAGGCAGATGACGCATCTATTCGATATTTTTATTCGAATAGTTTTCGACGAATGTTTTCTTACTAGCTATCGAATTATTCGAATGAATTGCAACTATCGAATGTTTCGATAGTATTCATTCGATAGTTCCCACTACTACTCGTACTAGTTACCAATGTTGGATTTCCACCCGCTAAGAAATGGTGCCATTCGTGCGGGTCAATTTTTTTAAGATCCATTAAGATTCTGACGCACATGAGAAAGGCAAAATGCAATTTATGTTTTTCGAATAGGCTTCGGCATACATTAGCAAACAAATTAAAGGTAAAATGGTCGTTTATTGTTTGCACCCGTACGTTGATATCCTCTAAAAATTAAAAAAATGTTATCTTTTGCATTTTTAAACACAATTCCTATTTTTTAAAATTCCGAGAATTATATAAAAAAATAAATATTATTTCCTAGAATTTATTTTTTATTAATAACAATTCAAAACAATTATCGCATATTAAATAAAAGTAATTATTACATATTTCTAAATGAAACATGCATTTTTCTGTCTTTCTCTTATGAGTTTTCTCAGATGACCTTAACATCGCATTAAAGAATAGACACAGTAATGATTCATTCGTTCGAGAAAAATCGAGTCCCACTGGAATGGACTAGTACATACGAAAACATTCGAAAACCTTCTCTACGCACCTAACGATCTATGGACTATTCTAGAGTTCTTTACCTGTCGGTATAAAAGCCGGCGGCTGTGGCCTACAGGGGGCAGTTATAAATAAACAGTACAGTTGACGCGCTAAAATTCAAAATAAATTCTTAGTTATAAATCGTTTGTAAATAGTTCTATAAGTCTTTTATCGTTATTGTTTTTGTTAATTAGTGTTAAATAAATAGTGTTTAAATAAATTGTGACTTTCTATCCACACGGAACCGACGAAAAACGTAACAATAGTTATTTTATGTAAACACTTCTGCGTTAATCCCAAACGGAAACTACTTGTTAGAAGTTAGGTATAAAGATATACAAATTTGTCTAACGAACAAAAAAAAATCACAGATTTTGCAACATGCGCAACCATCATAGGCGTATTGAAAATACCAGACACAAAAGTCGGCGTTAGAGGTGTGTAGTTCGTGAACGAACTAGTTCCAATGAACTATTCCGACCCCGGAATGAAAGGAACTAGTTCCTGGTTTCTCAAAGAACTAGTTCCTCAGGACCTGTTCCGGGATCGAGACTGTGACCGATATAGAATAATATGCGACGGATCAGCTAGCGCCCGTAGCTCGATGGTAGGCAGGAGTGGGGAGTGCCAGGCGTACGTTATCGGATGTTTCACTTTAGGTCCCTAAAATTAAGAAATATCTTATAAAACGAAATAGATATTCTGAATTTTTAGACAAAAACAAAAAGCTTGAAGTGAGGAAAAATACATTTTTTCGTATTATTTCCTCCAATTGATTTGTGATATAGTTTTTAAACTCTGATTTGAGTTTCTTTAATTTTTTTATCTGCTATAAAACTTACCTATATGTTTTTAACATACGCAATTACACGTCTTCTTATATTTCGTACATTATAAAAATTATAATGATCTGTATACTTTTTTTTATGGTATACTAAATTCCGTGGTATACTAATTTTGTGGTATATAAATTCTGCGCAGGCGTTTCTTATATTACCTAATTGCTTCTTAGTGCTAAATTACGTTACGTAAGGAACGTCTGCACAAAATTCATACTTCTAAAACCGATTTTAATAAATTTTTGTAAAAATTTTCATCTCTTATTTTTTAGGGGATGCATGTCCAAAATTCACTTCTGGTACTCACTTTCATCACTTAACGGACCTCTGTACAAAATTGCATACTCCTAGTCCTAGAACGGATTTTACATAAAAATTATACAAATTTTTACCCCTTGTTTTACCCCCTTAAGGAATGAATTCCAAAAATCGCTCTAATTATTAAATTACGCTACATAAGGAACCTCTGTGCAAATGTTCATATTCCTTCAACAGAATTGTTTTAGAACGTTCACCCCATATTTCACGCTTAGTGGTAAATTACGTTGCATAAGGAACGTCTGTGCAGAATTTCATACTACTAAAACCGATTGTAACAAATTTTTGTATAAATTTTGATCCCTTATTTCTAGGGGATGAATGTCAAAAATTAGCTTCCAAGTACTCACTTTCGTCACTTAAGGAAACTGTACAAAATTTCACACTCCTAGAAGTACATTTTTTTGTACACAGTTTCACCCCCAGTTTCACAACCCTTAGGATATAAATTTCCAAAAATCGCTTATCAATGTTCAAATACGCCACCTCTGTTCAAAAGTTCAGACTCCTAGTACAGATTTTTTTTTTGTATAATTACACCCCTTTATCTAATTACACCCCCTTATAGGTCGAATTTTAAAAAAATACTTAGTAGTGCTCACCTTAGAGAACGAATTATTATTCTCCGTATTTACTCCAGTTTCCTAAAACTAGTTAATTTTTATTGGAATAGAAGTAATTTATATTAGCAGATACAAAAAAAAATAAAAATCTAAAATTTTATTTTCATAGCTACGTTTTTCTAGCCTTAGGATGCCTCATATACTAAGGAATACGAAATATGTAATCAATACATATTTCTTTAAATATCGAGAAATAAAATATATTTTGGCATCACCGTACGAAATATCGCCGCGCGTAGTCCTCAAAATTTAAAAAATTAGCATTTTCAAGCTTCGTTTATGTTCAAAAGCGCCACCGTGTGACAAATCACTAAAGCTTCCACACGAGCGTTCTTAAAATTATAATATTCTTTGCTACTGTTGACGACCGACGAAATTGCGACCGCTGGAGCTAAACACGTCGCTATGAGGTTACTACGGTTCGAGCTAACTTCAAGTGCGATTATAAATAATTTATTTGCAAATTATAAATAATTTATAATTTTGTCGTCATTATGATCGTCGTTCTTCAGTAACAGGTTCCTGATTCGTTGTGGAGCGCGACACGACATTACAAAAAAATACCGCTCCAAAATCGCGTTACTCAAATACCGACACATCACTAATCCAACCTATTTAAAACTGGAAATCATGGAATTTAAAATGTCTTGTTTTTCAAATTAATATTTTTTAGAAAATATGCGATAACTGTTTTGAGTAGTTTAGAAATGTTATACCTGATTTTTCAGTTTCCGACATTGACGATATAAATATAGTTATAAACCACTCTAACGAATATTGATACATAGGATCTACGTTGGATAAGTCAGCCAAGCAAAAGAATAAAATCTGAGCTCTGATGGCAACAGGAATATATAAAGCCCTCGTATTATCAATATCTATCTGCGTTATCTCAGCCGATTCTACTTTATTCTGAAAGACAGTGTGAATTTAGGTAGAGTTAGAAAAGAAATTATAAATATAACTTTTATATCGTCGCTTTTGACTTTAGACGCTTCCAAAGTAATAATAAAATCGAGGTCATCTAACGGAGAACCTTCTGAAGCGCTCAATTTAATCAGTATCCTGTCTTCTATCTCTTTGAGTTCGTGTTTCATTTGAGCTACGCTCACAACAATCTGACTTCTCTGTTCTTCCAGATCCGGTCTTTCTTGCATCACGACCAATGCGAGAAGCTGGTCCTGTAAACCACTAATACAGACGTAATTTGATATTTATTCTACACAGATGCAAAATAAACGCAACAGAAATTTTTGAGCAAATTTAAAGTGTTATATTTTTGTTATTTTTTGTCCTCGTGTGTCATTGAGGCTGCATATATCATATTGCGTTATGTTTTCCCATTCTTCTTTAGGGACCAAGTGAAGTTCATTTAATGAAACTGGTAACGCTTCGCGACCTCTAACCCCCCTGCCAAGCATTTTCGAAACGTCGCACAGTGCTTCGTCCCATGGACAAAAATCAAAAAATAAGTTAAAATTTACTAATATCTGAATATATAATTTTATACCTATAGCAATGTTCAACCATCCTGTATATTATTTTTCATAAACAGCGTTTTTGTTAGCAAATATTTTCACTAAAAATAAATTTTGCGATCATTATCTCATCAGTGAAAGAATAACATTCATAGTAGTTCTGTATATTATGGAGTTAAACGGGTACGTACTTAATTGAAAGCCACTATGGATATTGTTAAACAAGGTATGTACTTTAAATTTATTTCTAAACAAGTTCGTGATTGTTTAGTTTTTACTTATTTTTAAGATGATTCTTAAATGGGTATAAAAATTTTACGTTTTCAAACTTCAAAAAGGCATTTAAAAAAACATAGCAAAACATATCGTATTTATTGAATATTTTTGTTGCCATATTCATACACTTTTAATTTTTGTATAGTTCACCTGCGTCTGCTTGCGACGAACTTTATTTTATAATACTTTTCAGATGGAGTAAAATTGATAAGCAATGCCGATCTGGCTAATACTTGGCTTGATCACAAGGACAAGAACTCAAAATTATTTGTATTTCAAAAAATGTGTTCTTTATTAGATACTGATGAACCTTCCAGTCAAATGAGACACCACTTGTGCCTGAAAAAGCCCACTATGTTGGAGCGAAACGTCGCATAAAAATTTTCCAACTTTCAATTTATTATAAAACCTCATACCCAAGAAAAGGAAAAAATAATATATGGATATGGTCTATTAAAGAGGTAACTATTAATATCCGAACCCCTCATACCAGCAAGAAGAACAGTAACAACGCGAAAAATTAACTTATTAGAAAATGATGTACAGAAATATCTTATATGTGAGGATACTTCATCTACCTGTGATTTGGATACTATAAATTTGGAAGATTCTGTCAGCAGTGATTCTCCTGAATCAGAGTAGTTACGATCTATGCGTTTTGTTGTCCTAAAGTAAATTTATAGTATTTTAAGTTTTTTTTTAATTAAATATAACATTAATGTTTCTTTTTCATTAAAGAAAAACATTTTTATCTTATATTAGGCTTATATTGTAGGAATCATGTTCTAATGTTATTTCAATTCTTTTTATCACAGGAATTTATTTAATACTTACACCGTTTTCATACTATAACTTATTATTTGCTTAGATGGAACACAGCTCCAACATTATTATTATTTATAAGATTTTTTTTTCATAAACGTGGGACTAAGAACATCATCATTTAGTACAATGAGAGTACTCATCATTTGTGTCAAATAAACCTAGTTTGAATAAATTGCTTACAATAAAAGAGAAGTTTTGGATTTTTGTCCTCTAGAGCCATATGTTCGAAGCACTGTGCGTCGAACATGATGGGCAGTTCATATTATTATATAGTTAACAATAATCACCAAAGCTGCCTTGTCGCCTTGTCACATTGAAAAAAACTTAAAAAATAAATTATAATTGAAAAAATTGTCAATTGTTGGTGACAAGTTCATTTCGCTCTTAAAAATTAACCAAGGCATGTATTGACATGATCCAAAAACAAAATGCTCAGGAGACATGGTTCTGAGCCTAAAATTATTTTTCAGGAAAATTTATACAAGAAATTATAGCACAGGGTGTGTCAAAGTTAGGGTAAAAAAACAACCCCTCGGTTAACCCTGTATAATATAACAAATACTAAAGTTTATAAAAAACTGAGTTTACAAATTAAAGTTGATATAATTATACACAGCTTGCTAAAAAAATCATGAAAATAGGGCTAAAAATAACAAAAATATAACAGTTTTAATTTGACCAAAATTTTCTCCGTCGCGTTTTTTGTTTTTGAGTGTATAACAGCCTCTTTACACTATCCCCGAAATGTTTTTTACAAAATATTTCCAGAAATATTTCGTAAAACATTTCGCAAAACATTTCTGGAAATAGTACGATAAATATAAGCCCGTGTTATAAAAATTAGTTCCATTGTTAAGCCAGATTAACAATAAAAAACAAACAACCAATCACGGCGCGTCTCCATCAATTTCAGGAAACGTGGGAACTAATTTTTATAACACGGGCTTATATTTATCGTGCTATTTTGTGAAATAGCATGAGGCAATCAAGGTCAAACCAAGTCAAACGTTGTGGTGGTTTCAGAAAAATAAGTAAACATAGAAAAACTGATATGAAAACAGTTACCGATGGTTAATTAAATTGTCTATTCCTCGAAGGTTACACAAGAATATTTAGTTTTAATCATTGTCCAATATTATTAGTTACAATATAGTAAAAAAAATAAAACAGTGGCTAACTAGCGGTCTACCATTTATCGGCTTATAATCCACGGTATTGCGCCTCATGAACAAAATATACACAAAATATTTAAAAAATCGTCTAATTATTTCTTATTTCTGGTTATGGTAAAGTAACATTTATACTGTAGTCTGTAGCAAAGTTTAGTTTACGAATTTGGTTTTGTTTTTCTAGTTTTAATTGTCTAAATCCCTGCATAATAAATACTAGTTGAATGGATTTATATCAAACCATGCTGGATGCTAATAAAGTGTCGTTTACAGATTTCTCTTAAGGACAGTAAAAGAACATTGCTTTTAAATAATATTCGTAGACCATACTTTTGTTGACATCGGGTCAATTAATAATTTTCCTAAGCGGATATATTGATAATGTTACCAGTATTCATCAAGCAATACTGCTGTTATATTAATCAATTAAGGCCGTAAACAAACATATCATATACAATTTTATATACTAATTCATTATAATAAAATTAAATCATAAAAATATTGTAATTATATTCCTGCAGTTTAAGTGAAAAGTTTTGTTCCTAGATATCTACTATACATATAATAAATGCGTGTTCAAATATTAATTCGGTGGAATCAATATAACAAAACGAGATGTAATTAACGAAATATCATCGTAACAGCAGCTATTTTAGAAACGTCTAGGTTTACTTATTTCACTGAGATTTATGAAAAAAAAATCCTTTGCCTCGGATACAGATACCGCCACGTTTTTGAAATAGCTATGATCTATAGAAACATTTACCTTGATACCACTGTGAAGTTAACTAGCAAAACTTTAATGGAAACTTCGGGAGTATAGTGAGGATTGGGTAACTTTGTAGTTATAAATAGCTTGAAGTTATTGTCGTACGGTATCACCGCATCGCCTAGCTTAATCATCAACGTCCCCCCTTGATGGTAAACTTGTCGTAGAAGTATGGGATCTAAAGCTGGATCTAGTTCAATGCCAATATTTTCTATCAGGACGGGTTTCCCAAAGCGTATAGCTGATTCAATCGTTCTCATAAGATCCTTGTCGGAAAGTTTGCAGACAGAGAGACCTTGATTTTTTTCCTTCAAAGAATGAGTTCAATACTTTATATTCATAAACTAATCGAAAAAAGTTAAGGATACTGTTTTCGCTAGGAAGAAAATTTTTCAGAAAAAATGTGTTATAGCTATTAATACCTATGTCGTTTGTGTTTAAAAAAAAAACACTGTTTGTAAACATAAAAAATTGTACCGACAGATCGATGTGGCTGACCGATTTGAAGTCACCTAAAGTGTAATTTCTAGACTTAAAAAGCCGATTTAATGAGACTGGATCTGTCATGGAGAGAAGTCCATTAAATCGCTGTTTATGTCTAGAAATTATACTTTAGGTGACTTTAAATCGATCAGCCACATCGATTTTTCGCGCACCGCCAAGAAGCAACCCAATGGCTTGATTTGCTTCCTCTACTGTTAAACACGTCTGTTCATATTATCGATGACAGAATAACCATAATATCGCAAACTGCCGCTTGGCAGCAGGCAAACAAGTTCTATTCTAATATTCTAAATAAACATTAAATGTACATTTTTGATGATAATGCTTTTTATTTGTTTGGGTACAATTTTTTATGTTTACAAACAGTATTTTTTTTAAACACAAACGACATAGCTATTAATAGTTATAACACATTTTTTCTGAAAATTTTTCTTCCTAGCGAAAACACAATATCCTTAACTTTTTTCGATTAGTTTAGATTAAAATTACTAATTCTATACCATATTTTTCACCCATTTATTAGCTTGGCCTTGTGGGTCAACAAACAAAGGCCACCGACGCGAACAAGATACTAAGACGGCATTCTCGGTAGATAGGTAATCCCTGGGTAAGCCGTCCAGTTGCCACAATCGTATTTGGACAGGTTCTCCCAAAATACTGACCGGATTACAGTTGGGAGTAAAGGGAATACCGCATTCCTAATGAAATGTTAAATATCATGGTCCTGATAGAAGTAAAACGTTTAATTTCATAATTCCTTAGAAAATGTTAAGATAAATTACAAACGGCCTCTACACTACTCGCGACATAAGCCGAAGTAGCCACACGTAATACCACGAACCAAAATATTTGACATAATTTGACACAAATTATAACCTATAATTTGGCAAGACTTTGACAAGCCTCGAAAATCTTAAGTCGAGTTTAAGATTAATTTTTAAGGGTGGCAGCAACGACCTCCCGTAATCCTGCTGTTAAAACATAACAAATGGTTTTTATATGTAAAAACCAGCTGTTATTCAAGTTTAAGATTTTTTTTAATTTAGATTGGAATGCCCGTCAAAATATATAATTGTTTTGGGTCGCGACCGTTGTACGCGATCTGGCGCTGCTATACCGGTTGCTAAAAACAACCGCAAACAAAAACAGAAATAATTTTCTCTTGTCAAAGTCAGAATCTTCAAAAATTATAAAATCGTTCAAAATTTAAACCGCTCTCAAGCGTCCATTTTCAAAGTAATTATTGCTATCTTGTGAGTTTAATTTAAATTTTATTTACTCAAACCCGTGATAATTCTGAAAAAGTGGCATTAAAAACTTAAAAAGCTGTGCTGTGAACTGTGAACTGCAAATACCATCGTGGAATATGTATGTATAAACCCATCCATAGATAGTTAATTTAAAAATATTAGAAACTTTTTTTAGCGAATTAAATGGATTGGTATGGACGTCATCTGCCTTTTTCCTGTCATCGTCTGTCGAAATTTTACCTGAGTAATGAAACAGAGCATAATGTAGAGGCCGTTTGTGATTTAGTGATTTATTTTACTAATATCAAATTGTGTTCATTAATATCAAATTATAATAATCAAAAAGGAATGAAACAGTAGATAATTAATTAATTAGGGCAATTATATTACTCTCACCTCAATAAGCTTCATCCATTCAGTAAATAAACGGCGTCTGTATTGATCAGTAAAAGGCGTCATGTAAGCTACAGAACCAGAACTTATTAAGATATCTCCGGTTACATTTATGACATTTTTTTCGATATTTTCAATAGTTTCAATCCACCTGAAACAGTTATTAATTAGATTTCATATTCATATTCGTTGAATAAAAATATTAAAAAGATTAAGGAATTATTCCTTTACCTGATTTTCTCATCTGACAACCCTGTGATTAATCTGACAGCTCTATTCATTCTTTCTTCGCACACTGCTATACTTTGCTCTTTTTCCTCTTTGTCGGCAATTTTCGCATTCAGTTGAACTTGCAGTTTCTCCAATCGTATCGATACATCCTTCATCCGAGCCTTGGCTTCCGCAAGAATTCTCTCAGTCTCCGCTAAATCATCTTGGGCCTTTTTGAGGGCCGCTTTTTTAGGAGCGACAACTAGATTCACGAAATAGTACTTGTACATTGCGTGAACCCACATGCACAAAGAAGTACAAGCTTTAGATATCTGAAAGAGTGTGTGCAAAACTAGTACTGGTTCTCTTAAGAATTGTATATACATGGTGAGTATGGATAGTATTATACTCCTCCTTAATATTTTTATTCAGTTGAAATGTTCGGCGATCGTTCAACCAGATGAAAAATACACAATACAAATCATAGAATTCCAAAAAATATAAGTCATTAAAATTACAAATAGAACATACATGGACAATTGCAGAACAGTAAGCAGTAAATAGATATAATTATGAGTTATAAAATATTAAATACTTGACCTTTGACCAGTGTGTGAGATGATCAAAATTTTAAAATTCAAAGTTGTTCATGATTAAACATGAACAAAAAAGTCGTTTACCGCATATAGGGCTCTATACTCTCCAGTAAGTATGATTTCAGAGCTTTGCGAAATGCGGGAAAGAATGAAAGCGACTTAATATTCTAAGGCAGATGATTGTACATTTTTTTGGCATTGTACAGTATTGAGCCTTTAACTAGTTCTGAGCTCGGGGTTGGCAGATAAAGATCGTGCTCCGCATTCCTAAATGAATAGTTATGAGACGACCTTTCGGGAATAGCAGATATGTGCTTGCGCATTAAGCAAACGGATTCAAAAATGAATAAAGAAGGAAGAGTCAGTATTTTGAAATTTTTAAAGAAATTCTGGCAGTGAGTTCTACTGTTCAGTCCCAATAAATATCGAACTGCTCTCTTTTGAAGTCTGAAAACACGATCAAATTTTGTTGCGCAGCAAGTACCCCAGAATGTAAGGGCATAACGAAGATGTGACTCAAAAAGGCCATAATAGGCTATTCTAGAGGTCGATAAGTTAAGTTCCTTAGAAACTGATCTTAGCGCAAAACAGGCAGCGCTTAGTTTCTTTGATAGAGCTTCGATGTGAAAGTCCCATTTCAACGAGTTGTCTACAACGAGTCCAGGACGTCAATAGTGGTGTTATTAAGTACAAAAGGTTGTATAGTACTTTTATATAACTAAAAACTAACCTAACCTAACTGACCTTGGCGATTTTTAGTGGAGTAAAATCAGGATCTTCCACGTATTTCTTCAATTTGTCAATCATTTCAGCTGTAATCGAATCACGGTCGAAGTTCATCAAAGATGACAAGAATACTCCGGGATCTGCTAACATTATTCTTCCTGGATCCCAGTAATCCAGGATCTTTTCACCTGGTCTTAATCCTGGAATCTAAACAACAGTAGGTTATTCAGATTAATTCTTAAATAATAGAAAAAATTACATAAATATAAAGACACCGACACTTTATGACATCGTCTGTTGATATAGAAGGAGTTTTGCTTGCCGTATCGGTGAAAACCCGATGAAGGGTAGGCCCACAAACCGGTTGTGGGAGTGGAGCTTGGTTTCCCCCTTTACGACAAGCAAGACAATTTTCTTTTTACTTTTTATTTTTTCTCTACTTTCGATTTTTCGAAATTAGAAAAAATACACAGCTAAAGTCAAGAAAATATTATTTATTAATATAAAGATTTCGATATACGACATCCAAATAATGACAGAAACTACAATTTGACTGTAAAATAAAATGACAGACATAACTGTCACTGTCCGGGATCAGACTATATGCTTAAAACATGCATCCATTCAGAGATACTAAGATGTAGATATCTATATTTTCTGTAAGTTTCAAAGAAAAATATCTGTCATAGTTTTTGCTATCATACAACCCTGGATAAGTCCCAAGGGGGGTCAAAAAAATCGACTATTTTTTTTTCAATATATACTCTGAAAAAAAGGTTGGTAGACACCTCAAAAAAATTCTCTCCAAGTATGACCTTAATTTTAATAGAAAGGTCCTCGGCCTTTCAGCTTTCTATTTTTTGCTTATTATTAGAAAGAAAAATTACCGGTACCTACTATTTGGAAAAAATATCTTGAATTCTCTACAAGAAAAGTCTCTTATAATTTTTTTGTAAACCTCACCGTTCGAAAGTTATTAAAGGTTGAAGTTTGATTATTTTAAGGCAGTTTTCTTTTTTCTTTTGAATTTTATAGTCCGTTGACAAAAAATCATTATGATACGCGCAACTCATGGTTTTATAGGAAATTCACTACACTACAAAAATAGTTTCTTATGATCAGTCGATTAAATTAACCGTTTAAAAGATATTCATCGTCAAACTTCAATGCACAATAATTTTAACAGTTTTTGATTAATAATGTTGCGGACCGGTGTGGACTCGACCTAACCTAACTATATGGCCCGCCCTCGGATGACCTTAACATCGCATTAAAAAATGGACACCGTAATGATTCATTCGAAGATTCGAGAAGTATCGAGTTCTACTGAAATGGAGTAGTACATACGAGAACAATCGAAACCTTCTCTATGCACCTAACGATCTATGGACATAAATGACCTAAATACAAAATATTTTCATGGTGTCTGTCTGTCCGTCTGTCTGTAACACGATAACTCAAAAACCGCTAAACCGATTTTAACCAAATTTGGCACAAAAATACTGTGGTACCCGAGAATCTGGCATTAGTTTTTGGTCAGGGTGGGGGGTTGGTAAGGGGGTATGGGAGAGGGTTAAAAATTTTAAAAAATCGTAACAATTTAAGATTAGGAATAATATTTGCAACAAAATTTGTGATAACATCAAAATCAGTCAAAGTTTTTGAGATAAAAAAAATGGAAAAATTCCTTTACTGGGAAACTAAAAGAACTGCTTACCAACTTTTTATGTACCAATTTTTTGTAAACGAGTTATAAAATTTATAAGAAAAGATAAAACTGCTTTAAAATAATCAAATTTGTTAGGTACCTTGTTAGGTTTAATGTTCTTGACTATACAAATCGATTCTATAACATATACAACACCAGATGGCGGCCTTTTCATGGACCTAACCTCAATAATGTCATTTTTGTTTAGAGATTTTAAGCTTTGTTCAGCTGCGAGGAGAGCCGGCATAGCTTCCTCTAAAAATAGCATTAAACATTTTTTACAGATATATTTTTTGATATAAAATAACAAGTTTACCTAAATCTTTCTGAGCATCAGCGGCAATAATCTGAGTCTCCTCTGATTTCTTTGCTGCTTCTTCTTCTTCCCTTTCAACAATTGCTTTAGTCTCTTCCGCAAGTATCTACAATATGATCTAAATAATGAAATGTCACTTGTAGGGGAGTTTTCAGAATTGCCAACCGTATCAGCGGCAATTGTTTTAATCATTTCTTCGGCATCCTTAGCCGCTATCTCTAATGCTGGTTTCATTTTCGTTAACTGTAATTGTAGTACTTTCACCTCCTCAGCTGTACTTTGTAATTTACCCAAGCCTTAAAATGAATTTAGTTTTAATTAATTATTGTATAAGGAATATAATGATGCACAAATGGTGACATCTCCAACGCAACGGTCTAAAGCACTCGTAGAAACTTTTGGCTTTTTTAACTCGGACTCAGGGGATCTATTTGGAGTCGAATCAAAATAATTCACCTAAATTTTTAGCTCTTTACCTCAAACGGTTTTCGAGATTTAAAAAAAAACTTTTTTCAATTTTGTTTTTATTTTTATAGTAAAATTCAAAATTAATTAATGATGATTTTTTTTCTAATTCTTATAAGTCTAAGACATGAAAAAGTAATATGATCATGATTCTTAAATAAAAAGCCGATTTTTAGCGGAGGAAAGAAAATTAAAATCTTCATTTTTTTAACCTTTGTGAAATATGCCACCCACTGAAAATCGTCAGAAAATAGATTTTATACTCCTTAACACTCTCTAATTTTTTAGAATTTTTTGAAGTCGTGGAACAATATGAAAAAAATTAAAAACTATTTTTTTTTCTAAAATCGTCTGTTTTAACTAACTTATATTTTTTTTAATTTAAAAAGTGCTTAGAAAATATTTTTTTACTTAAAATTCACAATGCTATTGAAACTTTAGAGGAATATGATTGCTGGTTACTGAAAATCCTAGCAGATGGTGTTATAATGCGTCAGTTTGACGCGAATTCTTCAAAAACCCAGTCTTTACGTAATCATTGCGTAGCAATATGATTGAAAATGTATATTATCATTGTGAATTTGAAGTAAAAAATATTTTCTGCGCACTTTTTTAAACTAATAAAAAATAAGTTAGTTAAAACAGAAGATTTTAGAAAAAAAAAATGAATTTTTAATTTTTTTCATATTGTTCCGCCACTTCAAAAAATTCTAAAAAAATCCAGTGTTAAGCAGTATAAAAGACATTTTCTGACGATTTTTAGTGAGTGACATATTTCACGAAGGTTAAAAAATAAAGATTTTAATTTTCTTTCCTCCGCTAAAAATCGGCTTTTCGTATAAGAATCATGATCATATTATTTTTTCATGTCTTAGACTTATAAGAATTAGAAAAAATCATCATTAATTAATTTTGAATTTTACTATAAAATTAAAAATAAAATTGAAAAAACAGTTTTTTTTGAAAATCTCGAAACCCGTTTGAGTTAAAGAGCTAAAAATTTAGGTGAATTATTTTGATTCGACACCAAATAGATCCCCTGAGTGCGAGTCAAAAAAGCCGCAGAGGCAGATTTTCATATTAATCCGGCTATACCCTCCCTTTCTCAGGACTTACGACCAAGAAAAATCAAAGATTATCTTTACTTAAATCAAAGAAAGATTTTTAACAGGAGGCTGTTAAACAATTAAAATGGCTGAAATACAATTAAAAATATATTTCAGTTTTAATATATTTGTTTTTTTCACGACGGGAATGGTAAATAGACACGTCAACCATTTGATATACTCTCTCTTGCTATTTCTTATGGATCAAATCGATAGAGCCGATTACGACAGAGGCAATCTTAAGGGAACTGAAATAAACCAGCCTAACAGATAGAGACAGTACAGTCACTTTAATTATTGTTTACACCTAACATGACGGTTACAATAATATGAATTGGTTTTAGTCTGTATTTATTTACACCAGTTTGTGGCTCTGTCTCTATACACTGCTCAAATATAGAGCATACCAATTACACTTTTAGTCACGAGATTCCAGCGTTGCCCACTTTTACATATTTTCTTTTAATAATAATATTTTAGGAAACAAAAATAAATTAATTATGAATATATTATAAACAGTTACTATTTGCATCAACAAAACTCACCTCCTTAACAGCAATTTAAAGAAGGTCATTCTTCTCAAAGAGACCTGGTTTAAATTAAAAAAGGTAGAAAACTTTGAGTCTTTTTTCTACCTTCCTTAACAGCACTCAAGGGACATTTTTTCCCGCTCAAAATATTCTAATAAGGTTGCAATGAGTTTTTTGTAACGGCTATTAAGTTACCTTGTACACTTCGCACTAAAAGAGTTCGAAATGTTCGACTGCAAGGTCTGCTGGTAAAAATTTCTAAGCTTAAAGTATCACCACACAATTCATTTAAACCAAAAACTCGAAATACAAAACTAAAGTGTTAAAAGGAATGACAATGTCAGGAAATAAACAAATAAATGCGGCAACTTGACATTTTTTACAACAGAGCTACCACCTGAATATACAGCGAATATGTCCATGATCCATAGCAACAATGAATTTAAAAATGGCGCCCTCGATTACGTAACTAAAAGTTTAAGTGGTATAGCTTATATCATACTCCTTCCTCAATATTTTTATTCAAAGGTTGATAATAAATTGAAAGGCACCTGCACGATGCAAAAATCTATTTTTTTTAATCCTATAACCGGTTCTCCTTCAAGTATAAAGTGGAAAATATACAGGGTAAGTCTCAAGAACCATAAACTAATAGGATTGCGCATCCTCATAAGACTGTTGCGGACCGGTGTGGACTCGACCTAACCTAACTATATGGCCCGCCCTCGGATGACCTTAACATCGCATTAAAGAATAGACATAGAATGATTCATTCGAAGACTCGAGAAGAATCGAGTCCCACTGGAATGGAGTAGTACATACGAGAACATTTGAAACCTTCTCTATGTACCTAACGATCTATGGACTATTCTAGTAAACTTTAACTGTAGGTATAAAAGCCGGCGGCTGCGGCTGTGGCCTAGAGAGGGCAGTTATATAAATAGACGAGTACAGATGACGCGCTAAAATTCAAAAATAAATTCTTAGTTATATATCAGACTAACAAGACGTACGTTCGCCTCTTCCCGCGCTTCAACTGACAGTTGTGACGTCATTGTAATCCTTGTCATGATAGTGTGTATTATTGGTTGCCTATGGTAAGCTAATAAAAATAACAGCTGAGAAATTTTGAGTTAATTATTTTGTCGATTTTAAATGCGAAAAAGGTCTTTTAAATTTTTTTTAGAGCTATAGAGTTTATATATACGTTCATTTTGTGTTGTGGATTGTTACTAAGTGTCTACGATATTGTTTATTAATTAATTTAAAGCAAAATATGAAAGTACTCTAGAAAGAATGGCTGCAAAAGGTGATGCTGGGAACTGCTTAAAAATGCATTATGCGAATATTTAATACGATTTATACAGTTAATTTTCTATACTGCATATCTACATATAAGGTGTTTAAATAAATAAACTAAATAAGGAATGTTTTGCATACGGCAACCAATAATGCGCATACTATCATGACAAGGACTACAATGACGTCACAAAGCGAAGAGTTTTCGTGTGCACCTGGTAGACACTTTCGGCTGAATGAGCAGTTCTATTAGGTTAACTGTTCTTGGGTTAGTCTTAAATAAGTGCTTAACTTTTTAAAAATAATTTGGAATTTTTTTTAGTTTTTAGTTAAAAACATAATTCGTTGATAATATGGCAACATAGGTAGTAGATTAAATTTCCAATAAAGAAAATCCAGAAAAGATCCAGTGGTTCTCAAAATTTTAGCAAAAAATAATTTGTTTAATTTTCAAAGTAAAATAACTCGGTTATTTTGGATTTATTTGAAAAACGGCAATGAAAAAAATGTTTCTTTTATCGAGATCTACCAGCCCTGAAAATATTTACACTTATTTAAGAGTATTTACGCTGTACTGTTCGGGTTGCTCTCAGGGGTCGGGTAAAGCGGGTTTGTGGCCGAAGGAAATATATATGATATTTCAGAAATCAGTCTAAGGCTTAGCCCATCATGTCATATTAAGCCACACCCAAAATTCCAAACACACCTGTTTTGATTAAGGTTTGCAGAGCTTCAGCATTTGCCATAAAATAGCGAGCAATTTGTTACAAAACCATATAAATTATATATCACTGTAATCACAAAACTTCAATCTATTTCCGTATTGTAACGGAATTTTAAATTATGTCTTTATTTTCGAGAAGATTTAGTCCAAACATAAGGAATATTTTGTTGATATTTGACCATCAAAATCTTAAAAATAAAGAAGTTGCCTAAAAATGTGCTACAATACGGATTTAGTACAATCCTTTATCTTTAATTTCCTTCTTCGTTTATATAAATATACCTAGCCAGTTTTACATAAAACGTTAAATTCCGAACGATTATTTTGCTACTTTTTCGAACTAGTGAAATGGACTCAAGACTCTTTTTTTTTCCGGAAACACTAAACTAATAATTAATTTCTCTGTACCTGTTTTTAATCGACCAACTCCTTCGGTAAGCGACCCCCTCTTTTTGTTCATTAATTCCGTGTAGCTGGAAAGCAGTTCGAGGTAGGACGTGGGAGTGACGTAGTTGTGCCTGGATAATTCCTGCCTATAGCGTTCGCTAGCTTCCACGACGCTGGCGTGCATAAATTGGAACACCATGACGATCCCCTGCAAAATTTCAGGGGAAACATCCAGGTCCTCGACGTCCTCCAGGAATTGGAGTGCTACGGACTGAAAAAATGGAAATTACACTTCGGTTTACAATTGAAGAGCTTATTGTAATAACATGATATGCCACAATTCCATAATTCTGAATTATTAGACCTCGAAGTGTTGAAAAAATGTGTAAATTTAACTATTAATAAATATAAATTTGAAGACGTTTTATCATAGTGAAGTGCTTTAAGCCCTTATGGGATACAAACCTCGAAATTCATTTACTGTGAACGATTTTTTATAAAACTTTTTGCATTGTATTGTTAATAAGATATATTACAAAGTTTACCCATTTAAATTCGTTGCTTTCACTTTAGCATTTAAATGCATACATACAGTACGTCTGTCCGTTCTGTAGCTACGGGGTATCCGTGAGAGGGGAAACGATATTCTCATGATGTTTTTCGTAAAAAATTAGACGACGCGTCCCATCAATAAAAATTCGACAAATTTGCAATAGCCAATAAAATGAGTGGGCGGAGCGATTTGCGGTGACGTACTCGTCAAGGCGACGTATAAAATATATTGCTGTTTATTTAAATGTTTTTTGCCCGTATTCCTTTCATAGACACAGATCGAGCAGACGAACTGTACAAGAAGATGGCTCCATATTCCGGAAAAGTTCTGTATGAGGATTCCTATTTGGGATTTTCGCTTCAACCTTTTTACAAAATATGTGTTTAATGGTAGTTCACATTTAAAAAATATTTTTATAGAAATACAGGGTGAGTCAAATATATATCTTTATTTGTTTAATTCAGTGAATTTGCTAAAAAATTCCGGTTCCAAAAATACCTTAATACCATAAAGTACACTGAGTGGTTTTTTAATTATAACCACGTTCATGAGGACGTGAATCTAGACGTCCAGGAACCTTCGTATGAGAGCTTCTAATCGAGACGATCGACTTAATGTAAGTTTATCGCTAAGAAACCGCCGTTTGTCAGCTTTTCAAATTGGTAATGAATTGCACTTAAGGAACGTACATATTAACTAACGGACTATAAGAAGAAGATTAAATGAAGCAAATCTTATGTCAAGAAGGCCTGCTTCGGGACCAGAACTTACTAGATGTGTTGACTAGGCCCAAAAGCAAACGCATGGTCTTAATGTAAAAATTACGAAAAAAATGTTAGTGTCTTCTTCAAAAGCGAATATTTCCAACAAAAATAAAGCTAATGAGATGAACCCAAAAACAAACTATCGAGAAAGGATGATCTAGATGGTAAAATGATTTTTAAATTTCTTAGTGTTTTAACATATTCCACAGGGTGTTACCAAAATATAAACATTTTGTTTTCCCTCGTATAATTAATAGATGGGGAGTTTCATTTTTAATTTAGAAGAAGATACTAAAAAGTCAAATAATTTGGCTACACACTGCTTAAAAATCATCAAAGTCGGCACATTAAAACAAAATATATAAACCTTTAAAATACATCAAAGTTTTAAGGTGTCCATTTTTCGTGCCTGTGAGTGTATTTCAAAAACTATACATTTTAGTCATATACTTTTCTAATAAAACATACGTTTATTTTTTTACTAGAATCCAAAAATCAATGAATATATAGGGTGTTGTAAAACCCGCGTCGTATATGACGCGCCACCCTGTATAATTCGATTTCAATCAAAATTTCAATGATTAGAAATTAAGCAGAATAGGTATAGCTTATGCATTAGATTTATTTATTTCAACAAATCTACTTAGAAAAAGAATTTAAAAAATCAGAACATTAAGAAGGAAAATTTACTAAAATTACTAAAATAAAAAATTAAAAGCAACGAAAAAAATGGGTAAACATTTTAGTATTTTATCTATAAAACACAGTACAGAAGGTTTTACATTAATACATTCACAGTAATTGAATTCCGAGGTAAACGTCTCTGGGCACTCCACTATCATAGTAGAAAGAAAAGAGTAGTTGCACTCTCCCAAATAGTTTCTCCAAGTTTTTACAATCTGTCGAATATCGGCAGATTGCAGAGCGTTTCAGTTGTTCCGTCCGTCGACCTGCGAGGTTCGAGCGTTGCGTCCCAGCACAGAGACGGATTGACAAAAAATGAGTGCCTTACTGTGTGCTGCTATTAAATGTACTAATTATTTAAAAAGGTGTGCTTTGTTGTTTTTTTTTGAGTCATTTGTGATCATGTTTGTGTTCAGGTTAATTTTCTCATGACTGATTGTTACTTAATAATTTGATATTATTTTCATTTAAACGTCATTTTTTTATCGATTTTACTTTTGACAACCATCCCTTGCTTGCTGTTTAACGAACTGCACCATTATTGAACAAAAATTTGCTAGTACCGAAAGTACCGAAAAAAAACTGGAAATCCCGGTTCCTTAGAGGCATGGTACCGAAATTACCGGTTCCGAAAAACAGCTCCGGTTCCGGAAACGGCTATAAGGTACCATAATCGCCCTATACAGGATGAGTCTTAAATAAGTGCAAATATTTTTAGGGGTAATATACAGGGTGGTCCGAATTGTATTCCGCAAACTTCGGCAGAATATTCTACAGATAAAAATAAGTAAAAAAGATCGTATAAATGTATGTCCGAAAATGCTTAGTTTCGGACATACAGGGTGTAGAAATTTCATTTTTATTTCGATTTTTTCCAAATAATTTCTGAAGTAACGTCAATATATGGATGAAAATTGGTGGATGGGCGTTTTTTGACGTGAGAAATTTGATTTTGATGTCAATATGACTCCCATTTGTAGGTGGCGCCACCTAGATGTGTTTTAACTGTTTTGAAGAGTAATAAATTTTCGTCGGTACCTGTATAAAACTACGGAGTAAAAAAATATGCATTTACGGCTTTTTACATAAAAAAGGTCTCCTGGTAAAAATCGCTACGAGTAATGGTTCTCGAGATATTTGGAATCGAAAAAAAATTAAACATGTTGACTAAAGCTTTATTTTCATGCATCCGTTGTCCGACGATACGTTGATACGATATTAATTTCATTGGTTGCATTTAAAGGCTTCGATTGGTTAACCGTTTGTAACCAATCGAAGTTTTTAAATTCAACCAATAAAATGAATATCGTATCATCGTATCGTCGGACAACGAATGCATGAAAATCAAGCTTTAATAGTAATTAGACTGAAATCATAAATTTGAAATATTTTTGTGTCAAAAGTTCAAAAGAAACTGTTTAATCATAATTTTTTTCGCAGAAAAACTTATGATTAATTTAAAAAAATAAAAATTTATTATTTCAGTCAAATAACTATACTCAACGCGTGTGCTTATTTTTTGTCAATAATGACATGTATTGACTATTTCCATTCTAAATATCTTGTGAACGGTTGCTCGAAGCGATTTACCAAGGGACATTTTTTACATAAAAAGTCATGTAAATGTATATTTTTTTAGTCACTGGTTTTATACAGGTACGGTCGAAAAATTATTACTCTTCAAAACAGTTAAAACACATATAGGTGGCGACCGCTACAAATAGGAATAATTTTCACATCAAAATCAAATTTCCCGTGTCACAAAACTCTCAGATACCAATTTTTATCCAAATATTGACGTTACTTCAAAAATTTATTTGGAAAAAACCGAAATAAAAATAAAACTTCTACACCCTGTATCTCCGAAACTAAGCATTTTAGGACATACATTTATACGAACTTTTTTACTTATTTTGATCTGTAGAATATGCTGCCGAAGTTTCCGGAATACAGTTCGAACCACCCTGTAATTTGGCCCTAGGAATATGAGGATTTTTCTGCAATTTTTTTTGAAAAAAACCTGGGCCCGTATTCTGTAACTTTGAAAACGCTAAGCGCTTTTAGACGCTCAGCGTATATGACGTCAATTTTCGCTGAGCGCGCACTTAATTAACAATTTCGGTATTCTCGTCTGACGCGCTTAGCGTCTTTACTGATTGCGCTGAGCGCTTTGAAAACGGTTACCTTAAAAGATCGTTTTGCTTGTCGAACTGTCAGTGAAAATCGAAAAAATGTGATTTTGTGCGTTATCTTGCTCTTTAGTGAAAATTACTACTTCTTCTATAAATTCCTCAAAAAGTAATTGATAATTTACGACTTGGTAGCTATAAATATTATTCAAAACATCGGAAATGCTGAGAAGCGTCTTCAACACTTCCCTCGTATAATAAGAATAATGACATCCATAGAAAAATAGCTTGACATAACTCAACAATAGGTTATGAAATTCACGTAACATTGACATTTTTCATTGTTACATAAGTCAGTTATCAGCTTTTGACTATTACCTACACTAGAAATTGTGATGTTGTCAATATGTGCTCGACTATCCACGCGTATCCAAAACTCCAGAACACGAATCGCATGGCAACGAGAATACCAAAATCGACTGCCTTGCGTTTCGCTGATCGAATACTTGCGCTCACCGCTTTGAAAGCGTAACGTGTTTATGACAAAGTTACAGAATACGGACCCTGGACATTTTTTCAGTTTTTAGTTAGAAAACATAATTTCTTGATAATATGGTAACTACAGGGTTCAGAACCGGAAATTCCCGGTTCTTTTGAGATATCAAAGAACCGGGAATCGAAATCATTAATTCCCGGTTTTTTCGGTACCTTAGGGACTCGGTAACAATAACTAAAAAATTATTCTTTTATTACGCGAGAAAGTAGTGATGCTATTTCTCATTCTTGTCGCTTCTTTTCCCTTTTAAAATTTCTGTAATGTTTATTAGCAATTATTGAAGTTTAAATATGTTATTTTATTATTTAGTACAATGTGTTGTTCAATGTATTAGTTTTCCAATGAAAATCACCTAACCAATATATTACTACAAAACAAACACATTAATGTTAAAATTAAACTTGTAAATTAAAAAAAAGTTGCAGAAAATCTTTGAAATAGATAGTAATATAAAAATATGTTATTATATATATTTTTTCGGCATTTCTTCCCATCAGAAGATTTTCAGATAGAGAAGAATTTTTACTTACACGAAATGTGAAAATATTCTCTTTTCAAGCAAATTTTTACTCGATGATCAATTTA